GGGGGGGGCCGAAAATGAAAAATAAAACAAGTCTGAGACCAACCCCTCCCCCCCTGATACAAGTAACACTCACCCATGCGCTGCATGCTAGTCCACGCTATCTGAAAGCGTTCAAAAAAAAATAGGTAGACAAATAAAACAAAGGTAGACCATTCGCGTTCGTCGGTGCTTCTTCTCACTGTAAGCTCGTGACTAGGTAGGTATTTCACTTCCCCGCATCTTCTCATGGGATGGTCAGGTACGAGGAAAGCTTGAGCAAAAGATGGTTCGAAACCTTACCAACGGCAACAGCGCAAGGTTGACAAACCGCAACCGAGGGGAAAAGAAGAATGCCTCCTTCTCCAAAAAGGGTAAAAAGCTTAAATTGTCTTTTCATTATGACGTGTGAGGTCGTCGTCTTCGGAACCCTGACAATAACATTGAGATGATGACGTTTGACGGCGTTGTGGTAAGGCAGTGATGGGAGTTTGACATCAGGCCAGATTCCGCCTGACACGCACTCGAGCGATGATCGACCATTGGGCACATGCGTCACAGCGTTGGAATAGTTTGACGTACAAGGCACTTCAACATTTGATGTGAATTGCTTCGAACCTCTCTCGGCGGCGAAGATATAGTAAAAGCAACGATCCCACGCTACGTTCTTACACTCGTTCCCATAGGTTTCGGCATGAGACCATTCCGGGTATTATTCGTATGTTTAAAAGCGCAAAAAGAAAGGGCAGCGCAGAAAAGTAGAAGATGTAAGGGGTGCTAAAAGCTCCATGATGATGGGGTGTATCAAAAAACCAAGCCCTCCCTTCCTCCCATCCATGTCCTCGGCCAATCGGGTCTTGCACATCAAACGCAAGACCTCGTCAGCGGATGAAGATAGAGACGGGCTGACGCTGAATTGAGATCGCATCTGGTGCGCAACGAAAGACGTCGAAGTGGAGTGGGGGGGACGGTGAAAGCAGCGCAAAGAAGAAAAACCAAGAGCAACCCCCGCACCGGAAAATGGACTCCTTCGGACACCAAGCAAGCCTCCCACCCATCCCATTGAGCAGATACATTTCCCGGTATATACGAGTGAGCAGCGTGCCGTTGCCCGATTACCTTTCGTATTGGGATTGGGGTATCGATTTTCCTTTGTAAACCAGCAAATTCCTTAATGTCGGAGTTTCTCCCCGTTGACATCGTAGGCACGTCTCCCGTGAGCAATCGTCTTACGCCAGCTTCTGGTCCGGCGGATACTGTTGCGGGTGCCTGGGCATGCCCGCCTGCGGCGCCATACCAGGGTACTGTGCGTTGTGCGACTGCTGCTGCAGGTAGTTCTGGTACTGCATGGCCTGAGCCTGCTCGGGCGTCATGTAGCCACCGGGCATGCCGGGCGCAGGAGGCATGCCGGGAGCACCGCGGGGCACCTGGTTGTGCTGGTCCTCGGGCGAGTCGCCGACGTTGTCGCCGTCCACGCCGTTCTCGTTGGTCGCGGGCTCTGGCGCATTGAGGCAGGCCTGGTGAAACGCGTCAGCATCCGTGGCGCGCGCATCGGGGGCCGGCACAATGCTTACCTGGATGAGGTTCTTGCCCTCGGGCTTGGTGACGAGCGGCTGCAGCTTCGGGGTGGTGAAGGTGTAGACGAGGCCGGTCTCGGAGACGACGAGCAGCAGCACCTGCGTGCCGGTGAGGACGGAAAGCTCGTAGGCCTGCGAGCGAGGTTGGTTTAGCAAGCGAGGTTGGCAGTCAATGGGGTCAATTGGCGGATGCGACGCGAGCGCGTCGCGTCGCGCATGGGGCGCCGGTCAAAGCTCCAGTGGAGTGGGTGCTCACTCACCTTCTTCATGATGCCAGCCTTGCGCTTTGAGAAGGTGATGTGGCGGCGCGACTTGTCCTGGATGAACTTGATCTCAATCTTCCTTCTCTCGCGACCGGGCTTGTCGTCGTCGTCATCGTCATCGTCGGCGGCAGGACGCGGGCGCTTGGTGCCGCGATTGGGGTCGGCCTGGGCAAGAGCGCCGTTGCCGTTGTTGGCGACGTCGTCAGTGGCAGAGGGCGACTGCTGCTGCTCGTGGTCGGTGATTTCGCTGGCCATTGCGGTGGTGGTGGTTGGTGCTAGCGGTGACGATTTGGGAATACTGTATTGCGATTTCCCGTTTGGACGGATGGCGGGCGTCGCAGTGGTGAGCGAGGCCGACCGAGGGAAAGCGGTTTGGTGAGCGGACCGAAAGAGCAGCGAATGCGCGTCGCTGCGACCAAGCCTAAAGCAACGTTCAGTTACGGATGGAACAGGCAAGGCCGCTCAGGTAAAGGCAGACGGGTCGGGGCGGGCTGCGGTGCGGTGGCGGGTGAGGCAAGCAAGGGAATGCAGGACCGAGCTGGATTCGGGGGCGTGCGGGTTGCACAGAAGGGAAACAGCCATACCGAGTTCTGCTGGGCGACTTGGCTTCTGCCTTGGACTTGTACCGACCGGGGATGAACTTATTTTGCAGAAGTGTCTCAGAGAGGTAAAGGTTGGGTGAGAGATTGGGAAAAGCCGGACGGTGGGCAGTAGGTATTCGTTTCTTGTGGGCGGAGTGGAGAACGCGCCGGGCGAGCCAACCGGCGGCGCAGAAAGAGATCCTGGGCGCGCGAGCCACGGTCAGCCTACGGCCCTGCTCTGGCACGGCTGCGCGAATCGAGCGACGCGCAACCCAGCACGCCCGAGCCTGTGCCCGGCCGCCGACGATCGCGACCTGGGGCGCCGTCTTCAGCTGGCGGTGCGGCACGGGCAGCGCTGCGCGCGGGCAGGCGCCAGGCCCGGGGCGCGCGCTGCGCGACGTGCTCTGCTGGGCCGGCGGGGTGAGGGCGCTGCGAGGGTTCGCTTACCTTGCTGTTGCGGTGCCTAGCGGGCGTCGTGTCGCTGCGAGAGAATGGCTCACGGGCGGTCGCCGAAGGGGGATTAGGGTCGAGGGAAGCTGGCTAGGGCATGCCGGAGAAAGGAAGGCGCCAGCTGCTTGAAATGGGCTAGCCATGCCGCTCCCCTCACATGACCCGCGACCCGGCATCCTCCGGGGCCGAGGTGCAGCCGAGCGCAGCCTGTGAAACACGCGCAGCCGTTGCATGCCCAGCGACCGGGGCGCAAGAGAGAGAAGGCAGCCGCCCGTCGCTGTCGCCGTCGCCGTCGCCGTCGCCGTCGCCTGCTCCCGCGCGCTGAGGCCGCCGACCGGGGCCCGCCCCGGCTCCGCACGACTCAGGCGACGCCGCGCCCGCGACTGCGACTGTGACTGCGCCGGACCTGGGCCTGCAACGCCGCGACTGCACTGCGCAGCCGCTGAAACGCAACGCTGCGCCAGGGCGGGCGCGCCTTCCGCATCCGATGGCGCCTCGCTTGCATGCCCTTGTTCATCGCGACTCAGCAGCACACCACCGCCCTCCGAGCCCTGCGTGCGCCCTGGGCCGCGCCGAGTCGCCGACGCCGCCCGCCAGCCCGCTGCCCGCTGCCCGCCGCCCGCTGCCTGCGACACCGCCGGCCGACTTGCGCAACCGCCGGAACAGGCAGTTCGATCTCAGTCGCACAAGAGAGATCCGCCTCGAGGCTGCTGCAGCGCGACGCGGTGCGGTGCGGTGCGGTGCGGTGCGGTGCGGGAGCCCAGCCGCCCGCCGCCTGCGGCTCCTGGCGCTCGATGGCGCTCATGCGCTCCCAGCCAATGATCCGCTGCTGCTTGTCGCGCGCCTGAGACGTCCCGCGTTGGATCTCCTCCACTGACACGTCGATGAGCCTCAAGCTTGCGGCGGGCGCTTGCAATGCGTCGACGATGCCCTTTTCTTCCTGCTGCTGTTCTTCTCTCCCTCGACTCTGTTTCCTTTGGTGGCTGTATCTCTATTCTACGCCCTTGTAATTCTTTCATTCGGCCGGGTTGCCGTTGTTCATACGTTCATTCACTCACTTCTTTTCTACGCTCCTTCTTTCGGCCGCCGTAGCCTCTCGCGCTGGTCGTGAAGGTCGTTGAGCGACCTCCGCCCGCGTTTAATCGAATCCAAGTCGTTCTCGCGTCTTTTCTGACACCATGGCGAACAAACTGATGCTCACCTTCCTCGGCTTCGAGGTGCTGTTCCTGCTGAGCGGCGGCCTGCTCATGGGCTTCGCCCTGTTCAGCGAGAACAGCATGCACTCGAAGCCCACGGCCGACACCGTCGCACCGCACCTCCTGCTCAAGCGCACGCCCTTGACCGCTACCATCGTCAACGGCATCTTTGTCTTCGCCACCTTCCTGATGGTGCTGCCTGCCGTCTTCTTGCCCACTAACCGCGGCTGGCTGCGCTTCCATGGCTACATGGTCACCTTTTGCGGCACCTTCACGCTAGTCATCGGCCTCATCCTCTGGATCGAAACTCTGCAGACGCGCCGCATGCTGGGGTCGATCTGGGCCGGTGAGGCTCCCGAGACGCAGAGCCTGCTGCAGCAGAAGGTAAGCAACTGACTTTACCATGCAACATCACACATGTTCGAAGTCAGGCGTATTGGGACACGAAGATTATCCCGGCCTCGGTGGGGTCTGTGGCGAACAAAGCACCGCATGGCATTCCATTTATTGGACAGATGACTTGCCGTCTGATGCCACATGATGCCAAAGGGCCCAACAATCTCACCGCTGGATGGCTCTATCTTCGTTTCTCAATGCGTCTTACTCATACTTTTTCTTCCGCCGTTACACAGCCGCAACCCCCAGCATTTACTTTTCCGCAAATCCGCCTGCCTATGCAATGTTCCCCCACACGCGCCGCGCCGCCATCCCGTTTGTCCCGACCCGTCTATCCGTCTTTCTAGACCGCAATGGGCCCGAGGGGAAAGAATGGCATATGGAAGCTAACGTTGCTCGTTTTCTAGTTCAAGTGCTGTGGCTACAACAGCCCGACCTCACCGCCTTTCGTCGCCGACGGTACATGCACGGATGCAGTCGTCGCGGCCAACCTGGGCGGCTGCATCGGACCGTTCAGCGGCTTCGCCAATCAGTATCTCGATGTCATCTTCACGGCCGCCTTTGGTCTCGTTGGTAAGTTGCGCCATTTTCGAAACCCCCCCTGTATCGACATTTCCTTTTGATTGTGGTCGGATGTTCTGGGCTCGCCGATCGATTTCGGCTCGTGGTTGGATATTTGAAGTGGGCCGCCAAGCCTTTGATCAGAGGTGCTATCTCCAGTGCTGAGATTATGCAAAAGGAGGCCAAACTGGTCCGCAATGTGCAAGCAGCAAAATGAAGGATGAAAGCATGATAAGAGATGTAGATGAGCTCTACAGATCGGCGGTTGCAACGGTCGATCCCGCTGCACACCGGAAGGATCTCCTTCGGCACTTTTCGTCTTTCGGTCACACCAGCCAATGCAACCGATGCTGACCGATTACTTCTCAACAGGTCTCGATACCCTCCTACTTCTACACATTGCCATGGTCCTTAAGGAGCGCGCCGAGCAGGCTCGCTACCGGCACATCGATGAGAAGAACGGCACCCGTACGTAACTCCGATCCGACTTCAAGCACATCTCCTAACACTGCGGCAGAATTCTATTAAGCAAACATAACATCATGTTGATGATCATCGATACCAATACTTTAGCAGCGTCTTGATATGCAGAAGGATGCTTTTCTAGATGGCACTGTAGGGAGCTCGAAACCGATCAGTTGAGATCTCGGTATTCTGGAGCTGTTCTGCGTTTTTGTCTGTTTTGGAAAGCGGGCAGTTGCCTATGTTTGTCATTGGTTGCGGGAACGCATTGCTTAATCGATGGGCTGGCACGATTACAATATTTCAAGAAGAAGAAAAAAAAAACCAAGCTATTTTTGCTGGATGGAGACAACTATGGCCTTCTAATGCTTGTGATCATGCCTCTTTTGAGCCCTTCCGGACGACATAAGTTCAGATAAGTCATAAAGGCTTGTCTTAACGGAGAAGGTTGGAAGATTACGATACGAATAAAGAGCCATATTAGATAGGAACGGCAAGACTAACCTCGCTACGTTTTACTATTTACTATTAGCGTCTTGAATAGAAGAAAATATAACGGAGTGTTTAAATTTGCAAGATCACTCTTTAGCTATTCCTACTCCTTTATAATAGGGTGGACATATAGGAGCTGTTCGCTCTGTGCGAAATAAAGGCACACGGTGTCTTTATAGGCCGTCCAGCCTGCTGCATAATAGAAGATGTGATGCCTGTCCCATTTGGATTCGTATATTAGAGTATTTGATAGTCTGTGTTCTTCAAACTCCGCTTATGCCTTGATCCCAAACACAATATTTGCAATGCTAGGTAGAGGTCCTTCTATATCTACCGTTTGTGACAACGAGTGTCTGTCTAGTAAGATCAGAATAAACCACAGTTCTTCTTCATGTTCGTAACCTGGATAATCTCTTGCACCAAATCAAAGGAAATCTTCTCTGACACCTGGCTGTCACCAGCATACTCAGGATGCCGCATCACAAAGTCCCGCATGAAGCGTGCCGTCGTACAGAGCTTTCCACTTGCTCTCCCCCTCACGACCTCCAAGTACGGCTGCAGCTTCTCCGTCTCCACTGAACCAAAACCTTCATCCCTCATATACTCGTCCACGAGCGTCATCAGCCCCTTGAAAGAGGCACAGCCATTGACAATCTCGTCGACCGTCAGCAGCATCGGCGTGGCCGGATCCCCAACGACCTCTGTCCCACCACCCTCCTCCGCCCCCTTCCACCAAAACCGCTGCCACCTCACGGCATCCCTCGCATGCGCCCTTTCCATATTCTCCCAGACCCGCTCCATAGGCACGTACCAATCAACGCCGCCACACCGCTCGACCGCGCGCCGCACCAGCGCGACGAAGACGACGAAGGCAGCGTTTTCGAAATCCGTGATCGAGTTCTCCATACTGCGGAACTCGACGCGCCAGCCGAGCGCGGGATCCTCGGGAGACGGGTGCTTGAGCTTAACGGACGGGTAGACGGTGCCGGTGAGGCACTCGAAGTTCTCGTGACGTCCATTGCCCTTCTTCACCGCGCAACTCTGGCGAGCTGCAGGGCGGCGGCAGCGGTTGGCTTCCGCCGCGGCACCGGCGCGCATCGACTGCGACGACGAACTCATCCTCTCCTCTCCATCGACGACGACACCGGCGGCCCCGCTGTCCCGTCGCAGCGGAGCAAGCAGCTCCTGCGCGCACTCGACCGGATACACCAGCAGCGGCCGCCCCAGCACACGCGCATAGTACCGCGCCAGCACGCCGTCGAGCCCCTTGCCCGCGCACTCCAGCCGCTCCGCCACCGTCGCCTCACGCACTCCTCCCCCTCCCCCCTCCTCCTCCTCCCGCGGCTGGCACCACCCCGGCGCCTCCCACGCAACATACCTCTCCGCGCACCAGTACCGCGGCCGCACCCCCACCCCTCCCCCCTCGCCCCGCTCCTCCTTCTCCTCCTCCGTCCGATCGTCCGTCAACGCAGAGATGACGTTCCACCTCGCGTCCGTGTCGGCGAGGAAGCCGCGGTAGCAGGGCGTCGCGGCGGTGAGGGCGAGCAGGACGGGCGCCAGCGGGACGAAGGCGTCGTGCAGGCGGCGGGCGGCGGATGCGTCGGGCGCCTGGAACGTCGCTTGCAGGCAGCATTGGGAGACGCCGATGAGGGTCTCCTCGGGGGTGAAGGTGATGGTGGCGCGGGCGGGGTCGATGAAGGATGGGAGTGCGTGGGAGGGGGATGGCGCGAAGGTGTTTTGGTCGAGGAAGAGGGGGATGTGGAGGGTTGGGGTGGTGGAGGTGGTGCCGTCGCGGCGGCGGCGGCGGCGGCGGCGGCGGCGGGCGGTGATGTTGTGGTGGACGGTGAGGTGGCGGGGGGTGGGGGCGGTGAGGGCGGTGGTTGTGGTTAGGGAGTGGTGGATGTCGGAGGGGCAGCCGAAGCGGGGGTGGATGGATAGGGTTAGGGGGTGCTCGTTGGGGGCGAGGTGTTTCTTGATGGTGGTACGGCTGGGATGGGGCGTTTTAGTTTATGGCTTGGATAGGGCTGGAGGGGAGTAGTATATCGTACCGGTCAGACATGTCTTTTTCGACTGAGAGCAACGATTCGACACTGTCGACGTACGGAACCGGGGGCTGTGATTCGATCTGGAATTGGGCGAACTCTGGCGAGTATGTTCCTGCCGCTGAGACTTTTCGGAGCTTGTTCAAGAGGTCTGGTGCTCGGAGGCAGTGATTGGCTGTCTGGGCGTCGCTGTCCACAGCCAACAGTGCGTATTCGATCTGCGGAAAGTTAGGTTTCGGAGTCTGATGCCTCTCTATCTTTCTGCAAGACACGATACCTCATCACCCCAAAGAGGTTGGTATTCCTTCAGATCCTGCCAATCGTCCCACGCATCGACTGCTTCCTAAAATAGAGTAAGTATTGCGGCGCCACCGTCGCACAGCTGCGTCACTTACATCAATTGCCCTTTCGCGGACGAGAGGTGCAATCACGTCGGTTTCGGGCCAAAGCACGCATTCCGGCACACTTGAGTTTATCAACAGGGGAATGCTCGCGTTTCCAGATACAGACATACACTTTCCCCATTGTCGAAACGTCAAGCAACACACGTTCCCGCAATTGACGAAAGTGCCCTGTCTTTTAAGCAGACGGAGTCAAGTGCAGAAACCAGGAACCAGCCACTTTAATACTAGACTTGAAGGGTGTACGAAAATGACATCATCTGTTCGCTTTGGGACTTTGGGGTTGTTGATATGTCTTGGTTGCCGTTTTCGGACTGCAGCTGTTCTGGGAAGCATCAAAGTCCCAATCATTTGCAAGCGCCGCATCCCTGTGTCCCAACGTTGTCGTGTGAGTCGTGTCATCAATCGTGTTGCACGGTTCTCACGCCATTTCTGGCTGCGAATTGGTAATCGCTCTGCGAACCAATCGGCAAGTAATGTTTGGATTCTCAGTTGATCTGGTACAGGATTAGGATCTTAATTTTATTAGTATATATTTACAAAAGATCAAGCTTATTTTCATGGATTAGTAATACAGCATAAAGTTGTATCATACAAAGGCGTTGTGGCGGAGTGGTTATCGCGACAGACTAGAAATCTGTTTCCTTCGGGAGCACAAGTTCGAATCTTGTCAACGTCGATCTTCTTTTGCCTCCTGAGCATACGAGGCGGTGTAGTGATGTCCCTTTTTGGGCGTCCAATTCCTAGCGATTTGGGCTGGGCCGTGTGTAGGTGGAGATTCGGGGGCACGGATGATCCTCGTGCTTAGCTTCTGAGGTCATACATCTCCTCCCTCCAGGCGGTCAGGCTGTTGTAAAGCCGTAGAACGGGGTAACATATAGGGATGCCACCAGCGTGAAGATGGATAGACGACTATAAATGTGGCTGTCCATCGATTGAAGCTTTTTACGGAGACCATTCGTAAGGCAATGCTGTGCTTTATCCATTCCCCAGCAATCGTTAACGTAGTACACATGAAAAGGAAATGATTCCATCTTGAAAAATTCATTTCCTATTTAGGCCATCGAGCAGAAGGATTGTATGGAGCAAGTGTATTGAGTCTCCTTTTCACCTGTCAGTATTGGGCGCGTATGCTTGTCTTGTCAGCCACAAAGCCATTGGACGGCAATTGCTCTCATAGCATACCCAGTCAGATTCGCTAGTCTCTCACGGGGTTGCTTGAGTTGTAACAGGAGCAATCATGTAAAAGGATTCGAAATAAGTGTTGACGGGAACATGAATGCGCGGTCAGAGGTTTGGACACAGACGACCAGTAGCACTGTGTCGTTCCACAACAGTCGCTGAACTGTCCCCTGTACGCCTTGCACTTGGACGGATGTCGCTTAGATGCAGCCAGCAAGGCGAACAAATTTTAAAACCCCTCCATCTATCCGAGACCAGGCGAAAGGCGCGTATGCAAGAACACCCGATACCTACATCAACACCAACATAAGAGACCTCATGGTGCTCTTTGTTGCTTAGCTGCCCGCGCCTTACCGCCTCCGCGGCAGCAACCAAGCCACTCAATCACATCCACCGCCTTTTCCTCCGCTCGCGCGCAAACGTCCATTATTACGGCCTCTCTCCGGCTCCCCCGGGAATCCCCCTGAGATCTACCGAGCCGAGTAAGCGAGGACGAGAACAGGAAAAAGGGACTCCACCAAGCCCACCGCAACTTCAGGGGTACACGGAAGTTCGTGCGGCCGGCCTTTCCGAAGGATCGCCGAAAAGGATAGAGAAAAGAAAAGGACTCTGGGGTGATAGACTTCTGGCAGGGAAAAAACCGCTCCTTTCGATATTGCAAGTTCATAGAAATCGTCCATCATTTCCGTCTCGCAACACACAAAAGCCCAAGAGAAAAAAAAGGAGAATCCGCGCAGAACGCACGGGAAAACCAAGACCAACACCGAACGCCAAACGAGGGTTCGGTAATGAGGAGAAACTGAGCGGAAAACGGAGACTGTCCTTTCCATTATTGCTCCCAACGCCCCGCGACCGTTGCCGAAAACGCCACCAAGGAAATAATACCCCCATATCACCGGAGACAGGCCTATCCAGAAATAGTCGCGGTTCCAGAACCCGGTCCATCGTCACGGTCCAGACATTAACACCGTTTCCATGCAATCGACGGAGGCCGTCGCCACGGCAGGGGCGCGCCTGCGCTCGACCTACGTGTCCTCGCGGACGGGGCCAGCACGGCTACTACGGCTCCTAAGTCCCGTCGGCTTCCTGCTTGACGTCGCCGCCGACGTCGTCGTCGACGACTTTAACATCCTGGTCCACTTCGGGCGCGACCTGGTCTGCACGCTCGTCGTCTGGCTCGCCCTTGACGCCGCCGTCCTCTTCCTTCTTGGGCGCATTGCCGTTGACTTCCTCGATGCCACCACCGCCGTTGCTGCCGCCTCCCGCCTCCACCCACGATTCAAGGAGGCCTGCGCTTCGTCCGACGCCGTCGGCGAAGATGTCCTTACTGCTCTTCTCCCGGGTGCGTACGCTGGATTCGAGCCGGTAGACGAGCCTCTCCATGGCGCCCTTGGCTTCGCTCATGCGGACGCTGTCCGTCCCCGATCCGCGGATCTGGCCCATGATGCGACGGATGGTGGCGGTGAGGGCGTCGATGCCCAGGTTGAATTCGTCCTCGGTGGCTCGGGCCGCATCGCGCAGCTGCCGCGAAGCGGCGTCCCGGGCTCGGCGGTCGAGGCTGCGGAGGGTCTGCGTGAAAGCCCGGTTCGAGAAGCCATTATCGACAGCGGTGTCGAGGAGAGTGAAAGCGGCGGTGACGTCGGCGTAGTCAGTGCTTCGACCGAAACGGTAAAGCGGATTGTGGGAGAGAGATTGGAGGACGGCGGGGAGGATGCCGGGGGCGGTGAGGGCGAGAGTCAGGGGCTTGGGACTGTCGAGAAAGAAAGCGAGGGCGAGCCTGCGTTGGAATGCAGCCTCGCATTGTGTCCCGAAAGGGAGGGACTGGACCAGCTGAGCTTGTAGGCCGTGATTGATAAATCTGTCATCTTTGGGCCCATGATTTCTAAAATTGTTGAACAAAGATTGCGAAACGTGCTGTAAGGTTCCACACTCATATTGAGCTGAAGGTGTACGCAACATTGCCGCAATGGCCTCCTGGCATTGGGTTTGGGTGTATCCATCTTGACGTACGCTGTCATCGAAACTAAGCCGGATTAGGACCGCCAGCACATATTGTACCGCCTCACTTTGAATATTGGGCGCTGCTCTCCTCAGCAATTCAAGCAGCGGTCGAATGCCATTGTGGAGAGAGATCCTTGGGTCTATAGCAATCAGCGATGATACTATTCCACACCCATGGTAGTGTGTGCGACTTACCGTGAGCGGACACTTCGGCAGGTAATATCGCAGGCTGTTCGGACTCCATAGTTATTGCTTCTTTCCTTGCACCAAGTTTTGCAAAGAGGCTAGAGATAGTTTGTTTGTCAAGAAGCTTTCGTAACTGGGGTGCGGAAGCCTGTTCAAATTAGTGTTGTACCTCAAGAATTATGGTAGCAGATTGTCAATGCCGGCCAGCGACAAGAAACAACGTTGGGGGTATGTAGTAGTGCTGAGACGCCTGTTGCAATGCTGCGAATCAACCAATGGAAGGGACGTACATCTAAGACATCGAGATATGCGCTTGTGAGCTCTTCCTTCCGATTTTGGCAGAGCTCCTCGATCATCCACAGCATAACCTCGTCAGGCAGAGCTTCTTCATAGACCCGATTCTTTACAATCCCCGAAATAAACACCGCATTGCGGGTGGAGGGTTCTGGTACGTGTGAATTTGTGCACTATGATGGAGAGTAGAAAAAACCCACCAATCAGTATTCTGTGCCAGCCTTCTTTTGACAAACTTTGAGCCGGAAACTTTGGTGTGGTCCGGGCAGCTTTCTGGTGGCCATTCGCCATGAAGAATTGCCAGACTTGACTGGTCTCCAGCGCCTCGGTCCGTTCTAGCGCATCCAACGTCCTTTGCGCATCCTCGTCGTCCCCCAGAGCCGTGCTGAGGCCTTCTCTTGTGAGTCTGCTGCTCTCCTTGCACTCATTCTCCGCTCTTTCCGCCTCTTCGGCCTTCCTCTGGGCCTCGAGAACCCTTGCCTCGGCATTCAAACCTCTCTGCTTCGCTGCCACCAGATCCGACAGGTTGATTCTGTACTCCTTACGTGGAGCTATTATAGACCGAAACTCTCTTTTGGGTGGTGGGGGTTTGAAGTAAGAGCGCAAGCCGTATTTTGCGGGTGTGGCTTTGGCTTCTTTCACCTTCATTGCGGGTCTTGATTCTCCGGGCGGAGCTTGCGCGCGCCGCTTCTTGTTGAGTATCGTGCTCAAGTCCTCCAGGTCCGAGCCCGAGTCTGAGTCCTCCTCACTGTCTGAAGTCCGCACAATCATCAATCCGTCCTTCACTATGCGCTTGCTTGCGGTGGAAGACTGCGATGGTTGAGGGGCCGGGAGCGACGAACAGGATGAGATGAAAGAGGAACTAGGTTCTGCTCCGCCAACCCACCGGCTTGTTGCCCCCTCCCCATCTGGCGGTGACGAAGCAACAGGCAGAGACTGAGACGAACGGGATGCGTGTGTGGGCTTGATTTCGGATGGCGGCGTAGGCGACAAAATGTCTCGGCTCGGCGCAGACGGCGACGCAGGACGGTCCTTCACATGGTCGCTGGATGGCAAGCGCGATCGTTTGCTGGAATCTGGGGATCTGCGTCAGCGTGAGTGCGGCCTGAGGTGTGGTTATAGTTGCTCGGACCTAGCACGCTGAGTGACGGAAACGACGGGCCGCGGTCACGGCGCTCTTCTGATAGCGCGCGATGATTGCTGGGCTCAGCGAACGGCTTGAAGAAGCTAGTGATGTTTCCATTGCGCTTCATGCTGGCAGGGCGGACGGGCGGGCTGCAGACAGCCGTTCGATGTCGCAAACCGTCGGGCGTCCGCGCACCGCAGTGGGCTGTCGGTTCCGACAGACGCGGCGCGCCGGAGCGATCGCGATGGCACGTGACCGTACGCCCTGGCCCGCGATGGCCAAGCATGAGCCATCTCGACCCATGTCTAGACGCCCCGCGCGGACTCCTATTCTAGGCGATCCCGAGAGTCATTGTATAGCACTGTGGCTGCACAGCCGCCAAGCTGAACCGTAAACAACAACGCCCCCTCCCAACTCGCACGACAGGCGGGAGCGGTCGGGTATGGCTGGGCAGCCACAGGGCTGCGATGGCGCACCGGGGCTGCTCGTCCCGCTCGCGCAGCGTTGGTGCGGACGGGGGCGTTGAAACACCGACGCAGGGCATCCTGGGCAGCGGCTGCCGACAGTGCCGTCCATGTACCAAAGAAGCTCGCAAGAAAGGCAGAAAGGACCGACGAGCCGGCGACCCAACAGGTGGGCAGCGCCCAGAGCAGAACGCGCAGCACTGGCCGTTGCTTTTTGCGTGCTACTTGACGACGCCGTCTCCACGTAGCTGCAACAGGCTGACGTGATGGCTGCACGCGCTTGAAATCCTGCTGATCTAAGCGCTGCTCCCTGCCGTCTCCCTACGCGGCCGACCTCGAGTGCGACGAGTGCGACGAAAACAGCAGCTCGGCAGCCCGGCCGAGTCATTTGCGAAATAATGCAGCTGCCGCCTGGGGGGCAGATCCGCCCTCCTGTTTCCGCCGCGCTGGGCGAGGGCGGCGGATGCACGGGGCTTCCGAGCCGGGGCTGTCACCACGGCGCTAGCCTCTCCACGATGGGTTTGTTGCGGTGCGCGAGCTCGAAATAGGTGCGGCTGCGAGGGATGACGAAGCGCGGCGGAGCCCTGTGGCCCCTAGCAGCAGCCAAGGCGGCGGCACGATCGCAACTGCAGGAACTCGAGCAACCCGAGCGACGGCCGGCGTGCTGTTGGAGACTCGGGGGCCGCGTCCTCGTCGCTGTAATTTCTCGGATTCGGGGCCTGAAGGGCAGCAACGGCGCGGCGTGGGCATCCGCCAGATCGCTCGTGAGGCTCGCCGCGCTCGTTACATGACACAGCGGCCGTGACCCACGCCGCTCAGATCGTCATCTAATCTTCAAGGGTTCGCGCTGAGCCTCGCCCATCCCTGAGCGTTGTTTGGCAGTTGGCAGCCTGCTGTTAGCACCTGCGCCTGCCTCCAGGCATTGCGGCGCCCTTGGCACCGGGGCGCGGGCGTGTCAGGAATCAGGCACGGCAAATAATAACGCGGGCGCGCGCCTCCTGGGATTACGCTATGCATCACACTGCTGCACCAGCACAGCGCGCCCTCCGGACCTTCGGCTTCAAGACGTTGCGGGCGGGCTGCGGCGAGGCGCCAGATCTGATTCTCGGCCGGCCACCTTTCCCGGGCGAGGCGTGAGGCGCGCAGAGCTACGACACCAGCATCATAGAAACGCACCAAGCCCGCCTCCCTCCCGCTCACAGCACCACGAGCGCCCCGGCTCCAGCCCTACCCTATCTCTAACGCGTTCCGACCCCCGAGCGACCCGCATGACTGGCCGACTCTGCGCGCGCTTTTGACATTCCTTGGGCGCAGATTTTCGCGCGTGCTTACAACATCCGTCTGGCCTTAATTCCGGCCTAACCGACAATCACCGCCCCAGCTCTCCGCTCTCTTCCACGCTCGCTCTCCTTCGCTCGCTGCCCTGCGACCGCTCGGATCGCGCCATCCACGCCCACACGACCCTCGACATCCTGTCCCCGCTGCCGTCCGCCGCCTTGCGACGCTCCTGACCAACTCCGGCTCAGGCCGGCTGATCGCCGCTGCGTTCCTCTCGGCCCCGGGCTTCTGTTGTCAGGCCGCCACCACCACCACAATGGCTTCCCAGAACCCTCCAGAGGACAGCGAGGTGTCGAATCCCGTCAAACGAATCCGCTGGGCGACCCATCGCGTGCAGGGAGAACAGGGTAACAAGAAACGCGCGTCGGTCTTGGGCCGCTTGCACAAGCGCATTGGTTCCGGAGGAAACGAGAAGCGGGACGAGGCCGAAGGTCACCCAGAGAGCAAGGAAGCTCCAGGCGCGCCGAGCGACGAGAACGCGACAGTATCTGATGCCAGCGACGACGGCGATGGCGGCCGCGTCGTTTACTTCAACATACCGCTGCCGCCCGAAGCCAGGGACGAAGAAGGCCATCCGCGCGTCTCATATGTGAGGAACAAGATTCGAACCGCCAAATACACGCCTCTCTCCTTCATTCCGAAGAACCTTTGGCTGCAATTTCACAACATCGCCAACATTTATTTTGCCTTCATCATCATCCTCGGTGTAAGTATATTTTTGGAACAATTTGGCCCCAGCTGCGGACGCTTACGCAGCCTTAGGCCTTTTCTGTTTTCGGAGCCTCGAACCCCGCTCTCAATGCCGCTCCCTTGATTGTCATTCTTGCCGTCACGGCTGTGAAGGACGCCATCGAGGACTGGAGAAGAACCGTGCTTGACAACGTACTCAACAATGCTCCGGTGCACAGGCTCGTCGACTACGAAAACGTCAACACTGCTGAAGATCGCGTTGGACTTTGGCGGCAGTTCAAAAAGGCAAACACGAGGCTGCTGAAGACGATTTGGAGCCTGTGGCAGCAGAGAAAAAACAAGGGTACCAGTGGCAAAGGCAAGACTTATTCGGAACGGGCAACGGATGAATCGCGGCCATCCATCGAAACTCGACGATCGTTTGCTTCCCATCGCGATTCCCACATTTTCAGGAAGAGTGACGATGGAACACCGCTTGGCGAGCCGAATGCCATCCAAATGACCCCTGTACCATCTCCCCTCCCAGGCCAAGGAAATGGCGATGCCCCCGGACATGCTACTTTTGAGGGTATCCACGCCGGACCGAAATCGGAGAAGGTCAACCCCGAGCCAGCGTCGAAATTTCATGGAAGCATTATGAACCCGTTCCGAGACGCGCCCGGTAAGGCTCGGTTTAAGAAGGATTACTGGAAAAATGTCCAGGTTGGCGATTTCGTGCGTTTGTACAATGAAGAGGAAGTTCCAGCTGATATTGTGGTTCTTGCCACTTCGGATCCGGACGGCGCGTGCTACGTTGAGACCAAGAATTTGGATGGCGAGACTAACCTCAAAGTCCGTCATGCGCTCCATGCCGGTCGGAAGGTCGTTCACGCCCGCCAATGCGAAAAGGCCGAGTTCTCCATCCAGAGCGAACCCCCGCACGCGAATTTGTACTCGTACTCCGGTGTCCTCCATTGGAACCAACACGATCCCACGGACCCGCAAGCACCTGCGTCGGAAATGGCCGAACCAATCAGTGTCAACAACCTCTTGCTGCGTGGATGCAGCATTCGAAACACAGACTGGGTTCTCGGTGTCGTCATGTTCACTGGTGAAGACACCAAGATCATGCTCAACTCCGGAATCACTCCTAGCAAGCGTGCCAAGATCTCCAAGGACCTGAACTGGAACGTCATCTACAACTTTATCATTCTTTTCGTCATGTGTTTGATCGCCGGCATAGTTCAGGGTGTGACTTGGTCTGAAGGCGGCAATTCGCTGGACTACTTCGAGTTTGGCTCCTACGGCGGTAAACCTTCGATCGACGGATTCATCACGTTTTGGGCAGCCGTCATCCTCTTCCAGAACTTGGTGCCCATTTCGCTCTACATCACCCTCGAGATCATCAGGACGATCCAGGCCTTTTACATTTATCTCGATGTCAACATGTACTACGAAAGACTCGACTACCCGTGCACCCCGAGGTCTTGGAACATTTCGGACGATGTCGGCCAAATCGAATACATTTTCTCCGACAAGACCGGAACGCTGACGCAAAACGTCATGGAGTTCAAGAAGTGCACCATCAATGGTGTACCATATGGCGAGGCTTACACGGAAGCACAGGCTGGACTGCAGAGACGACAAGGAATCGATGTCGAAGTGGAAGGTGCCCGGGCTCGTGCGCAGATCGCACAGGACAAAGTGAGGATGATTGAGATGCTGCGGAAACAGCATGACAACCCCTATCTCCGGGACGAGGATATCACCTTCATTGCTCCGGATTATGTTGCCGATCTGGGAGGCGAGTCTGGAGAAGAGCAGCGCCGCGCGAATGAGCAATTCATGTTGGTGCTCGCTCTGTGCCATACTGTCATTACCGAAAGGACCCCCGGCGACCCACCGAAAATCGAGTTCAAGGCTCAGTCGCCCGATGAGGCTGCGCTTGTGTCGACGGCTCGTGATGTTGGCTTCACGGTCCTGGGCAGAGTGGACGATGGTTTGATCGTTAACGTCATGGGAGAAGACCGGAAGTTCCAGATCCTCAACACTCTCGAGTTCAACTCCTCACGTAAGAGGATGAGTGCCGTCATGCGTCTGCCTGATGGCAGAATCATGCTTTACTGCAAGGGTGCAGACAGCATCATCTACTCGCGTTTGAAGAAAGGTGAACAGGCTGAGCTGCGCCGGAGTACCGCAGAACATCTCGAGATGTTCGCTCGCGAGGGTCTGCGTACTCTTTGCATTGCTGAAAAGGAGCTTACTGAGGAGGAATACCGCGACTGGAACATACGGCATGAAGCAGCGGCATCGTCCGTTGTTGATCGTGAACAGAAGCTCGAAGAGGTCGCTGATTCGATCGAGCGCGATCTCATGCTTTTGGGAGGCACAGCCATCGAGGACAGACTGCAAGACGGTGTACCGGATGCCATTGCTCTGCTCGGCAGAGCCGGCATCAAGCTTTGGGTCCTTACCGGCGACAAGGTTGAAACCGCTATCAACATCGGCTTCTCCTGCAACCTTTTGGACAACGACATGGATCTGATCGTGCTCAAGGTCGACGAGAGTATAGAAGTGGCAGAAAAGGAACTGGACAAGCATCTAGCGACATTCGGCATGACCGGCTCGGACGAGGAACTCAAGGCCGCCCAAACCAACCACGAGCCCCCGGATCCGACTCATGCAATCATCATCGATGGTGACTCGCTGAAGCTGGTGCTGGATGATAAGCTTAAACAAAAGTTCCTGCTTCTTTGCAAGCAGTGCAGATCCGTTCTCTGCTGCCGTGTCAGCCCTGCCCAGAAAGCCTCGGTCGTCGAGATGGTCAAGAATGGGTTGGATTGCCTTACCCTCTCTATCGGCGACGGTGCCAACGATGTGGCTATGATTCAGGAAGCTCACGTTGGTGTTGGTATTGCTGGTGAGGAGGGCCGAGCAGCTGTCATGTCGTCGGATTACGCTATTGGTCAATTCCGCTTCCTGACTCGGTTGATCCTGGTCCATGGACGTTGGTCTTACCGCAGGCTAGCTGAGACCATCGCCAACTTCTTCTACAAGGTAGGATCCATGACACTTACGAGCTATTACCTGTGCTAACGAGATGCAGAACTTGGTCTGGACTTTCGCTCTTTTCTGGTACCAGATTTACGACAACTTCGACTGCGCCTACATCTTCGACTACACTTACATCATCATGTACAACTTGGCCTTCACGTCTCTGCCCGTTATCCTGATGGGTATCCTCGACCAGGACGTAGACGACAAGGTTTCTCTTGCTGTCCCCCAGCTCTACCGCCGTGGCATTGAGCGCAAGGAGTGGACACAGACAAAGTTCTGGTAAGTATCAACCGAGCAATCGAGCTGCCCTGTATTAATGGTTTGCAGGGGATACATGGTCGATGGTTTGTACCAATCAGTCATCGTCTTCTACATGGCCTATCTCCTCTTCATCCCGGCCAACTTCCAGAGTTCAAACGGTCTTGACGTTGCCGACAACAAGCGCATGGGTATCTACATTGCCAGCGCGGCAGTCATCATTGCCAACGTCTACATGCTCATGAACACGTATCGCTGGGACTGGTTGACGTTGCTTATTGTGGCAATCAGTATTCTGCTGATCTGGGCTTGGACCGGTATTTACACCGCTTTTGATGCTGGCTTCACTTTCTACAAGGCGGCGCCGCAAGTCTACGGGCAGCTAAGTTTCTGGGCCTTAACGCTACTCGGGGTGGTCGTGTGTCTTCTACCCAGGTTCACGGTGAAGTCGATCCAAAAGATATATTATCCTCTGGACGTTGACATCATCCGGGAGCAAGTCGTTCAGGGTAAGTTCGATTACTTGAAGGAGAGCAACTCTCTCATTCCTCCGCCGCCGCCTGTGGACGGGGAGAAAGTCAACTCAATGTCTTCGTCGGACCTCTCCAAGCCGGTCAACAAGCCTGAGCGCAACACCATGTCATCGATTCCGGACGATGAACGGCCCATTTACCCACCTTCGGTTGCACCGACCGCGACGACTCACAACCCAAGGAGTCAAAACGGCAGTGACAGCACCAACTTCACCGGTCCGCGGTCTTCTTGGCCGGATCAACAACAAGGCCTGTCGCCTCACGACGTTACGGAAGACCGGTTAGGTGAAATGCGCCCATCTATGGATCGACCAAGAGTGTCAATGGATCCACCACGAGTTTCGGTGGATCCACCACGACAATCGATGGATGGCCGTCCACGAGCATCAATGGACCGTACCAGGCCATCATACGACAGAGCAAGAATGTCGATGGACAGGATACGGCAGAGTTTCGAGGCAAGCAACGATTTCACCTCAGCAGCACGGCTCAGCAGGTTAGAAAGCAGCCACTCGGGACCATACACGATGGATCCAGATTCGAAGATAGGCATGGCGCAGTGATAGCTGGCCACGGTCGTAGGTAATGCCAGCACGAGCTTCTGTATATGTTTTGAACGCGAAAGAGATTTGTCACAGTCATCTTGGGGGCGTTTGAGCGGCGGTAATGTTTTTTCTTTTTCTGTCTTAACGTTGATGGCCTTTTGGGGATTATTGCTCTCAAAGAAAGAATACCAAGCAGAGCGAGGCGCATGGCGGATACCAGGGTCCCTTTCATCTACTTCCACCTTTTGCATCAGCAACCTTTGGCACTCCTTCAAAAAGTCGCGAGGTTGGTTTGGTCCGTCCGTTTCCTTTTCCTCAGCAGCTTCAATTCTTTCGCTGAGTAGTTTTTGGCTCTCGTTCTCCCCTTTCTGCATTAGCACAGCCGTACTACCTATGGTACGGATTTAGTTTCCCTTTTCACACGCGATCGCATAGACGGCATACACTTTTATGGCTTCTGACTAAGTTTTGATTATCCCCTGGCGATCCCCGTTTGAGCAGCCTGTCGACTGCCGCGGCGGCTGGTTTCCTGTAGATAGGAATGCGCAGCGAAAATATCCCCTGATGTGATTCAAAGTTCTCGGATGGTGACAGCGTGCATTAGGATGATCCCGCAATGTACGCGAAGGCAGGCTGGCTGCCTTGATACAGTCGCAGTGCCAAGCTAATGTACATGGTTTGCACACCGAGACTTCTCGCCTACGATTGTGACGTGAACATAATCTACGTGGTAGCCGGCATGTGACAGCAGCCAAGTGTCCCTCTAACTAGTAATTCTCCCCGCCTTCGCCTCCCCCCTCACAGTAGTGCTGGAAGATGATGTTCACTTGGGGTGATCGGCAGGACTTTAGCCCGGCATGCCAACCATCTTGGCCCGCGCTTTACGTAACGGAGAATCCGGTATCACATAAGAATGAGTCGGGATCTGTCTGCTGGAAATGATGTTGACGTTGGCCCCGCCCAGCCCGAAGTCGTCAATTGGGAAATCAACCGGCAGCTTACCTGGGTCATGTGATGCCGCGTTAACGTTCTTGAGTCACTGTTCTACCATCCTCCGGGTCCTGCTACTCGAGAAGAGAGCGCATCCCGTATGGGCAGGTGGAGTAGCATGTGAGTTGTGGATCAGATAGTCCCTCTGATATGTTTTTCCTGACATGACGTCCGAGTCTATCGGACTGAGCTCAGACAAAGCAACATATCCGTAAGCTGCAGGAACATGTGACTGCCGTGCGTTGACTGAGCTGGACCGTTGGAATTGGGAGGCTGTTGTCGACGCGGGTGGCGCTCGGTCCCTCGCGGTCGGCTGGGAGTCGCGCGCCCTGGACGCCCGGCAGGCGCGATGATGCGCATGTCGAAATCGCCGGCCGCGGGACCCTGCACCTCAAACTTCCGCCTTCCTTAGTTGCCCACGCTCATTCATCAACAAAGGTGTCGTCGCCAGTCCTTGTGCACGGGAACGCGCACCACCGGGCTCCCGACAAAGTCAAACACCGTTCCATTCCTTTCGCCGCCTGTTGCTTCGTGAGCACCACGCACTGGGCCTCCACCAACCCCCGTCGCCGCCTTTGCCCGCCTTTGCATTGCTGCATAGCCTCATCCAAGCTCAGCTATCGTGGTGGAAGCCTTCTGTCGCGCCGCGATTGGCGGATTCCTACGCCGGATAGCCGACCCTCGCAAGCGCACATTACCGCTGGAGCCGGAGATGCCAAGGTCGTGAACCGTCGCTGGATCAACACTTGTGCGCTTCTAAAAATCTGGCATCTCGCTCAGCTCCGTCGCTATGGGTGAGGTGCTGGTCAACAAGCTCAAGTAAGTGTTCGCTCTTCGCCCGCGTCACCACCCAACACGGCTAACTTGGCGTCTTTGTTGCAGCGAGCTCAAGGCTCTACCTGACGACCTTCACCTTTTTTGCCCCCGCACGACTTCTGATCCTTTCGGCGTTTACCTTGACGAAGATCTTCTTGGCCAACTTGATGACGAAACTGTGGCGGAGAGGCATGAGCGACACAAGCAGCTGGAAGAGGCAGAGTTTAGGAAAAATCTCGTCCTAGATTGCCTTCCCATCTTCGCTTTTGATGGCGCCGACGCGGCGGGATACCAGCAATGGCTCAAGGAGAAGCTGAGCCATGCCATGGGCTCATGCGATGCGTGCATCAGGATATATCACAGGGCACGGAACGAGTTGAGGCATAAGCTCGAGGAGGACTACGACTCTGACGAAGTCGCAGCTTTCATGGGTGTCTTTGACGGCATGAACCTGGAACGGATCACTGCCGGCCTTGACCACGCGACTGAGCTCCTGCTGAGCACGCCGGAGGAGTCGCGCGGCATCAGAGCTCTGGATGACCAGGGCATGTATGCTCTCTTTGAATCTCTCAGCTGCGAGCCGCTCCTCAAGAACGAGGCGCTGCTGACGAAGCATTTTGACGAGCCCTTCGCCCTCGTACAGACCAAGAAGAAGCTGCGGCTCGGTCAGTACTCGCCGGCCATGACGCGCTTCCTTTTCAGCTACAACAAGGACCGCTTTGTCTGGGCCTTGGGTTCGTGGTCCAAGTTCAAACGCGGCATCACCAAGCCGGAGTTTGCTGCTGCAGTCCGTGACCCCCTCTTTGACGCCATGAAAAGGGTACAGATCGCGTGCATGGATGTTGAATTTCTGCCGACTTTCTGGATGGGTGTTCGCCAAATTGTGGAGAAACTTGACAAGGACCTCATCACCCACTCGCTTCGCGCCATCGAGATCGACGTGTGCAAGCTCGCCCTCGAGCACCTGCAGTTCAAATTCTCGGGGTTCAATGATCTCATGGCGACCGTTCAGCAGCTTCTCGAAAAGTCGGCTGTTGACTTCTGGGATGCCATGGGCCCCATCTCACCGGTAACCGTCATTGAGCAGATCTTGGGCAACCAGACCTTGGATTCTCTTCTGCTCAATGTGGAAAAGGGAGATGGGACGCTAGGCGAGGTGTTCGGGTGGGTCGAGCCGTTCTTCCATTCAATCAAACCTGCAAACCAGACGCCCGCCTGTCGCGCACTCGTCCACCAGCTCCTGGATCGCTTTCAAAACGACAAGTACTCACGCCTCTCGCGAGCGTACTCTTATCAGCTTGGTCTACACACTCTTCTGCAGTCATTGCGAAAGATGACCGAAACTGACTCCCGCTCGAACTTTGTTGGATACGCGACCGTTTCGGACATGCTTGATTTCGTCAAGGTGCACATTGAGGACATCCTGGCTACCATTAGGGTGAACAGGAGTCTTCACCAAGATCAGCAAATTGTCAAACTCGGTCTACAGGTGGTTCAGGATACTCTCCAGCTCGACTGTCTTTCCTTGGAGATGGACAGGGAGACCCTCCTACACGGGGGACACCTACACCACGATATGAAAAGTGGGATAGCACCTGTCTGGGACACCGTCATCAAGTCGATCCATCCTGGTGATGTCGACCTCGCAACCAAGGTGCTGATGGGTGGAAGTCTTCTCGTCGGCATGGAGATGTTTGTTGTCAAGTCCAGCGTGCAGATGTCGAAGAGCATGGTCTGGTGGAACAGCACCTTTTCCAAGCTGTCGGAGGCTGTGACCGATGTCCTCGGGAAGCTCTCCGATTTTGCTCCCGGTGATCTCGACAAACTCTTCGACTCAAGTGACTCTGCACATGCAGTCATAATCCACCTATTCTCTTCCGATGAAACGCCGCGTCAGGCTGCCCTGAACGTCGTCAAGACGGTCAGCGCCGAAACCAGTCGCCGGGATGCTCTCGCCCACATCACTAAAGCTTTCTACTTGAACACCCTCACGCCCATCGTACAAACTTTACGACGTGTGTCCAAGAAGCAGGTGTTTGCACCAACCGAGAACCTGCTGAAGATATGCACCGACATTGTGGACATCCTTTGTAACCCTCAGGACGGTATTTTGAGAGCACGCAGTTTGACGGTCAAAGAAGCGGAGGTCACGGAGCTGGTCTGGGCAAAGTTGTGGCACGAGCTTTACACCATTTTCTCCAAGACTGAAGACTGGAGCAACGTTGGCCACGGCACACAAGTCATGATCCAATTTTGCCGTGACACCATGCAGTTTGCGGACGCATTGTATGATGAGTACAGCCATTTCGCCAATGCACTGAGTCAAGCAGAAGGGAAAAACGTGCAAGACGGCGAACTGTCCAAGTCGGATATTGCCAAGAAGCTCCTCAACTGGCCCAAGACCACCATGGGAGGCATCACTGGATGGCTACGCCTGCGTGATGAATACCTCATCAACAAATCAGTGGCGCTCACCAGCAAGCTTCTCGTTCGCTTGAGGGATGCAGACATCGACATTGCTGATGATACCCGACTTTTCATTGAAGAAGCCTTGAAGGGTGCTATCAAAACCAAATTGACCCCTAATCAGCAAGCTGAGCTTGAAAGAGCTCTCGAAAAGCATATTGGCTATTCACTCAGGAAGGAGGTGAAGCTCCCAACTAAGGCTAAACAAGGCTCAATCAGCGCGTGGGCAACGAGCGGCACTGGCAAGTCTTCTCCGCTCAGCTCAGGCACCGAAGAGTCCGATGGCATTAAGAAGCTTGTCACCGATATCACGCCCGGCGCCGCAGCGTTCAGGGAGCGGCAAAAGGCCGTCCAGCAACATGCGATTCAGATGAGGAAGGCGGCTGTTGTCCCAGATAGGAGCGACTACTTGAAGAAACGCGAGCTTGAGAAGGAGGAGATGAAGAGGAAGAGGCAACTTGAAATCCAGAAGGCCAAGAAGCCCCTGCCTTTCATTGGTCAAACAGCAGAGGGCGGGTCAGGTACTCGCGGAATTGGTGTTGTGGGCAAAGACCACACCGCCAAGGGCGAGGGCGTCATGGTCTCGTCCGATGAGAGTTCAGACGATGACGATGACGAGATTGACGAAGAGCTTTTTGGCCCGTCGGCGAAGGAAAAGAAGGCCCCCAAGGCGAGGCTACCCCTGATACCCCAGGGGCCGGTCAAGAAGAAGAGGGTCCAGCGGTCGTTCAAGGATATGCGGGCACGGTTGGCGCCAGATCTGTCAAACTTGCATAAGAGTATTCTCAGCTGGGATTACTTCCACGAGGGCGATTTCCCGCCAAACTCCCGGACCGACATTTACACAAAAGTTCCCAACAAATTCAACTCGCCGTTCGACTACAAGAACACGTTCCAGCCGCTCCTTACGTTGGAAGCGTGGCAAGGTTTCGTCAAAGCTCGCGAGGAAGGAACTTTCAGACCGTTCGAGGTGAAGGTCGTCACTCGTTCTACTGTTGACCAATTTATCGAGCTCTCCACGAACATGTCTCATGCAGACAACAAGGAGATCATGATATCCGAAGGAGACATCTGCCTCCTATCTAAAGCTCCCAGACCTGCTACTACACCTGATGCGCCGAATTGCTTGGCCAGGGTTTACCGCATCACCCGCAAGAAAGCGCAGCTTGAAATCTTATACCGCCTTTCGAACGACTCGCGTCTAGGTGGGTCCCTTGCCCCCCACAGCGTAGTGTACGGAGCCAAAATCCAGTCCATAACGCCACTTGAGCGTGAATATGGCGCCCTGGCGGGTCTGCAGTACTACGACCTTTGCGACGAAATCTGCAAGGCCAAACCTTCACCACTCCTGAACTACAACGACAAGCAGCTGCAGCAATACAAGGAGACATACAGTCTGAATAGGGCACAAGCAAAGGCAGTAAGGTCGGCAATTGACAACGACGCCTTCACGCTTATTCAAGGGTAAGTGAAATGATCGGGTAGAGAGATGAAATTCTGACGAGCGTACAGTCCTCCGGGCTCGGGTAAGACGAAGACGATTGTCGCAATTGTTGGTGCCCTCTTGACGGACAGCCTTCGGAACGGTGGAGGAACAGTCATCACCAAACCTCAGCCCACAGGCGTAAACACCGCAGCAGCTCGTAACAACTTACCGGCCCCGAAGAAGCTGCTTGTTTGTGCGCCGAGTAATGCTGCTGTGGACGAACTCGTTATGCGTTTCAAAGACGGCGTCAAGACAACAAACGGCCAGCATCGCAAAATTTCAGTTGTAAGATTGGGACGTAGCGATGCCATGAACGTGAACGTCAAGGATGTGACGCTAGACGTGCTTGTCAACGCAAGGCTCAACATCAATCCTGAAAAGGATGGAAACAACGCGTACGAGCAAACGGGCAAGATCATGAAAGAGCACAAGTCGGTTTCGGAGAAGCTCAACGAGACACGCGAGAAGCTGGACTCGGGCGAACTGAAAGGCGAAGCTTTGACTGCTGTCAAGGAAGAATTTGACGCCCTTCGTCGCCACAAGTTCAACTTGGGCAATCAGATCGACAAGTTGAAGGATGCCGAGGTCGCATCCAGCCGTACAGCCGACCTGAACAGGAAACGGGCGCAGCAGGCTATTCTGGATGAGGCCCACGTCATCTGTGCGACGCTGAGCGGTTCGGGTCACGAAATGTTCCAGAACCTGAACATCGAGTTCGAAACCGTTGTCGTTGACGAAGCCGCCCAGTGCGTGGAGATGAGTGCCTTGATTCCTCTCAAGTATGGCTGTGCGAAGGCTATCTTGGTCGGCGATCCCAAGCAACTGCCTCCCACTGTGTTCTCGAAAGAGGCGGCGCGCTTCCAGTACGAGCAGAGTTTATTCGTTCGCATGCAAACAAACCATCCCAACGACGTCCACCTGCTCGACACGCAATATCGTATGCACCCGGAAATCAGCTACTTCCCCTCTCAGACGTTCTACGATGGCCGCCTACTCGATGGCGACGGCATGGCAAAGTTGCGCGTACAGCCCTGGCACAGCAGCACACTTTTGGCGCCCTACCGCTTCTTCGATGTCCAAGGCCAACATCAGGCAGCACCGAAGGGCCATTCGCTCATAAACATTGCAGAAATCGATGTAGCAATGGCGCTGTACAATCGCTTGACGACTGATTTCAGAGACGCTGCGGATTTGCGCGGCAAGATCGGCATCATCACCCCGTACAAGTCGCAACTACGAGAGCTCAAGGACCGCTTTTCGCGCCAGTACGGCGAGAGCGTGTTCGAATACGTTGAGTTCAACACGACGGACGCGTACCAAGGTCGCGAAAGCGAGGTCATCATTTTCTCGTGCGTGCGTGCCAGTCCAGCGGGCGGCATCGGTTTCTTGCAGGACATCAGGCGTATGAATGTTGGTCTCACGCGCGCCAAGAGCTCGCTGTGGGTACTGGGCAACTCGCAGTCGCTCGTACGCGGCCAGTTCTGGAAGTGGCTGGTCGAGGACGCACAGAAGCGCGGCCGCTACACTCAGGGCAACGTCATGGCGATGCTGAAGAAGCACAGCAAGGAGTTCCCCGCGCCGAATGGCGCGTACGACGGACCGGTCACGAACGGCATCCAGCCGATCAAGCGCGAGGAGCTGCCGGCGCCGCAGATCAAACAAGAGTCTGGTGGACGGAAGGGCAGCAGTAGCGCGAGCTCCGAGGGCAGCAGAAGCGACGTCAAGACCAAGGAGAAGAGCGTCGTGGATGACGATTGGGGCGAGTTCTTCGGCGATGGCGCGGCCGCCGAGCAGGACGGCGATGAGGACGTAGTCATGAAAGAGGAACCGATGCCGGACACGGTCAGCAGGTCACGCCCCAGCTCCTCAAGACAGAGTTCCGAAGCCTCGGCCGCCACCGCCGATCGGCCTCCGTCGAGAGCGAGCTCGGCAAAGGGCAGTGGTGGAAGTGGAGGAGTACCGGCCAGGCCCAAGATGGTGCCGTCGAAGGTAGCCAAGAGGAAGGCGGATCCGTTTATGCCGAGACAGCCCCCGAAGAAGCCGCGGCCTTGATTTGGGGTGTTAGATGGGGAAAGCGGACATTTGCACACCAGCATTGACAGGCGTTGCTCATTGAATTTTCACCCAGAACAGTTTTCTACTTTTTTCTTTCTCCTATCTTACAGCAGGCAAGACATGCATGACTTGGGTGCTGGAGGGTTTCCTACTCATTTCATGCCGGAAGCTTTCTGCCTTGGCAAAAGCAAAAGTTCTGGATTAGATGGGGATAGGAATAGTACTGTGGATAGCGGCAGAGTACCGTTCGGAATCGGGGGGAAGGCCTGCTGAACTGTCGTCCTATATCTTGACCAACACAGGATGGAGATGGGTTTCTTCCCCCGAGCCATGCTAGATAGAGAGCAAGCGGATGAGCGGGCGAGTGCAGTGAGTGAGGCATGGTTGCAGTGAGTGGATCCTCGTTCCTTTTCCCACGCTGCGCACGAGGTTGGCCACGAGGCGATGGGGGAAAAAGCAGAGCAAAGCCCCATCTCTGCCGTGGGGGAAAGGAAGGCAGAACAAGGAGCCACGGCAAGACGGAGGCTTGGGGAAAGCTGGTGAGCTCTTGGACGTGGCGCTGTGGTTGCACGGCTCAGGGGACCCGGCCATTAGGGACACTTCCATGCAAATGGGGCCGGAAGCCGTCGACCTTGTGCTCCCGCACTCTGCGCAACATCGAGAGAGAGCAAAATCCCGATGGCGAAGTTGCGGGTTGCGACCATGCATGCATGCATGTCAGCCGGCCTGATGAGGCGTGACGTCCGGCCGTGGGCCCATCAACGCCTTTTGCTGCACGCCCGCACCCCTCCATCTCGCCCCGCGTCGTCGATCCATCGGCGCCCGTCAGTCGGACCCTTCTTCTTCTTCTTTGCCCAGCTCCCCGTCCGTCATGCTGGTCGATCGACCGACGCAGGCCTCATGCGCGGATCAGCACGCACCGCAATCGATGGATGGATCAACAGATGACGATATGAACGTGTGTGTGTGTGAACCGCAGAGCTGGGACGATGCTGGGCGGACAATATTCTCGTGGGCGTCCAGCGCCTTCTTTAATCTCCGCTTGACGCTTTCCAATTGACGGTTGCACAACGCTTGTCCCCATTGCCCAGCTCCTGTTTCAGAAAAAACACCCACGACCACGCCTGATGCTCCTCTCCCGCCCATGTGTTGGGCTCGCCCTGGTCCCTGTTGCCAACGCTGTTTATTTTTTTTCCCCACGCACTGACAGCGCCTGCGATGGGCTCCAATAGCCGCCGTGTCCCAGCCCGGCGGCGGGTTGGCTGCAGCTGGAGCGAGAAAGCCGACACCGGGACGTTGGGGGGTTTGCTGGGGTTCTACTCCGACGCAAGGGAGGCAGAGCAGAGCATAAGCGTCAGTGATTCGCCGTGGACCATGGTGGCCTCGTCGCGCTCTGATGACTGCTGCTGTCGGCGCCGCACTCGCCCTTCCCCGCATCCCTATCGCCCACCCGGTCACTGGATCGCCCACCGCTCATTGCTGATGCTTCACAGACGGCGTCCCTACCTTCTCCCCCCCACTCGCACCCGCCGCCTCCGGGCGTGAGTTCTGTGCGTGTCGTCCCACCGTCCGTCAACCCGTTTCGGACGGGGGCCATGTCGCACTGCAGACGCCGCCGCCGTGTGCTCGACCGGCCTTTTCCGTCTATGGCCACGCCTCTGCTGCCTTTGGGAAGAGGGCGGCTGCGCTAGGGAAAGCTGAGGCACCGGCTGTCCACGACGAGGTTTGCAAGAGGGCGGACGGAGTGCTTCGGGATGGATGAGGTGAGATGGATCTGGGGGAATGCGTTCAGTGGCCACCGCTGCTCTCTGATGCTGTGCGACAGGCGGATCCACCGCTGTCGGCCCAACCCACGTCCAACACTTGCTCGGCCTTAACTCTCACTGCATGCCCTCCCAGCTTGAGAGGCTTGTTCCGGGAACGTGTACGCACGCATGCTGACGGTTGCACGGCGAAGCTACGAAGGGTGGGTGCTATGGGAGCAGCGGTTGGCAATGCCGTCGAGTGAAGCGCGAGTGCCACTCAATGGGCGGAACATGGCACAAAGAGCACGTTGCTTATATTGCCGCGGCGCCGGTTTCTCTCTTGCAGCTCCACCCCCTCCCGGGTGTGGCTAAAAAAAAAATTTAATGAGCTTGGCCCTTCAGCTTTTTGCTTGGGCACCTGCGGCGGCAAAGCCAGCTCCATCAGATGAGCAGGCCGGCCGCGCCCGAGTAACCCACACCACAACTCGACCACGCGCTGTTGCCAATTGCATCTCCCCGCTGCCCGCATTTCCCGCTTTCTCTGCCACCGTTCCCCCGGTCCCTTTCGTCGTCGTCAATTGCTTCAGACTCCCCGACCCACATAGTCGCGCAGCTACTGCGCACACGACGCTTGGTATCAAGCACGAGAAAGGATCAGGCATTGCATGCACGTACGCAGTGCACGCGCCTTGTACAGACTACACGGCCTCCGCAGCAACTGCACTCGCACGAGAGGTAACCGGTCACGCAGACCTCGGAAGAAAAGCGAAGCAGCCATCATACCACGGCTCAGGGGCTCCCGACAATCCAGAACCACTCGCCCACGCGCCGATTCTGGGCGTTCGGGACTCGCTCTTGCATCCTGCCTCGATCGATACGCATAACTGGGTGTGACGGGCCACGCCGAAAGACGTACCGGGTAGAGCACCGGCGTCCCGACAAAAACCAACACCTCAGTCGAGGACCCCCCGTCCCGTCGTTTCGTCGCCCGACCAACTGCGTTTCGCGCTTTGGTTTCCCGGGACCTCCTACCCTGCTGTCCAGCTCTATTTGCCACCGTAGCTAGCCTCGAGACGCAAACAGATGCAGCCGGCCGTTGGCATCGGTGCTACCGCCGCCCCCCTCGGCCAAAGAGCTCCCCCTCCTCCTCATGATACCATTGTCCACTCACTTGGCGCCGACGACACCACCGCCGGCGCTACCGCTCCCTCTCCCTCCTCGTCATTTCATTCTCAACCCCCAATCTCCACCACTACGCGCTCCTCTCCCTATAATCGCAACCCGACCCCGCTACTCTTCATGAACCACACCCCACGTACGCGCGCCAACACCACTACCATCGTCCAGCCCTCTCGTACTGCTACCACGCGTAGCACACACGCCGAACTTTTCTTCGAGGACGGCGCCCCTTGCCCCTCGGAAGACCAGCTGCAGGGTGCGGTCGAACACGTACATCTGCTGGAAGGAAGAACCATCCCGAGCGACGTCACTGCCGAGCAGCATCACCGTCGACGGAACAACGGGCCGTTCCCGACCAACGACGACACTTCGTCGTCCTCGTCCGCACTCGAGGACGAGGAGAAGGACGAGTACAGTCTCGTCGAAGTGAAGAAGAAGGGACGCGGCGGGCGGAAGAAGAGGACTGCCAACAAGAACGGCAAAAGGCAAGGTAGCAAGGACCACATCCGGCCGAGCACTGCCAACAGGAACAACAGCAACGACAACAACGACGACGACGACAACGGGTCGATCATCCGCAAGGGCCGCAACACCAGCAGCTCCTGCGACCGCTCTCGTTCCGGCTCGCCTTGCTGGTGGAACCTGCCCGACCAGCCCTTTTGGCCCGAGTTCAGCGGCAGCACCGCCGCCGCCGCTGACAATCGCACGAGCGACGCCCCATCATCCGCCATCGTCCCCGGCACGTTAGGCGTGTTGCCCGACACGACGGCGCCCTCCACTCCGACCTCTTCCGCCGCAGCCCCGCCGCCGCCGGTCAGCGGCCACGGCCACACGCTCAACCGCAAAACCGAACGCGCCGTCCTCCGCAAGCCCCTCCGCGTCGACACGTCCTTCGGTGACCACGACAACAACGCAGCACCACCACCCCACCGCCACCCCCGCCGCCCCTCCCTCCCCATCCAAACCCTCTCCAACACCTTCACCGCCGCCGCCGCCACCATCACCGGTGCCGCCGCCGCCGCCGCCGCCGCCGCCGCCCACGCGAACAACAACAACCCCAACCCCAACAAGTCCTCCACGTCTCGCGCCCACCTCGTCCACCACCGCCGCTTCTCCTGGGACGAGAAGACGACGCCACCGCTCCAACCGCCGTCGTCGTCGTTCCCGCCCCCGCCCGCCGCCACGAGCAAGAAGAACAACATGGCAGCAGCGGCCGTGCCCCGAGCGTCCGGCGGCTTCGGTCTGCTCTCGGAAACGGCGGCGGCAGCGGCGTCGACGGACGCGGACGCGAGGTTCCAGCGGTTCGACATCCAGGACTTTTTGAGGAACACGGGGCCCGAGAGTGCGGGGTTGGTGAGCATGGGGATCGTGGGGGCGGGGATGGCGGGGACGGGGGCGGGGGGGAGGAGGGGGGTCAGTGGGGGGAGTGGGACGAGTGGAGGGAGTGGGGGTGCGGGGAGTGGTGCTGGTGGGAGGAAGGGGAAGAAACACAAGAGTGCGTTGAGGTTTTTGGGGTATAAGCGGAGGAAGAGCTTGGCGGAGAGGGTGGGGACGGTGGAGGGGTGAGTTGGTTTTTTTTTTCTTGATCTTTTTCTCTTCCTTTCTTCTTGTGCTGTTGCTGTTTTTCTTTTTTTTTTATTTCTTTCTTCTGTGGAGGAAATGAGGGCGTAGGTCCTTTGCTGACGGGTGTGGGAATTAGGGGCCCCGGCGTGTCGCAGCCTCCGCCGGAGGCGTTCATACCTGCCCGAGGAGTCGTGCAGATGGAGACGAAAGGAAGTGAGTTTCCCCGTATATCGTTCGTTGTTCGGAGGCTGTGGACTCGAGTGGACGAGAGCTAACGAGGTGCTGTTTGATCAAAGAAGGGAAGCCTACCAAGTATCTCCAGATCGTAACGAACCAGAGCTCGGCGGACAGCCAATCCCTCGCGGGTCAGTCGTTGCTGAGTAACCCATCACTCACCACTTCTAAGAGGTAAGTAAGCCAGTAGCAAACTTCCGAGTGCACCATGAGTTCAGAACTACGGTATTAATATCATCGTCACTTCCCCCTACAGCAATGAGATGCTCTCTCTCAAACGTCGCTCTGCCTCCCTCCCCGACAAGCTCAACTCCTGTCTCGGAACCGAGCAGTTCGACACCTGGCTGTCCACCCTTGGCATGCAACAGCAGTCGCAAACGCCGGACCCGTCGGAAAACGGTTTCGTCGACTCGGGGAAGCCCAAACCGGACGCTGCACAACACCAGCAGCGTCGTCCCCCGACTCCGTCTTCCCCCACCGTCACGGCCGTCACCGACGCAGGCAGCAGCATCCGCCATGCCAGCAGCAGCATCCGACTCGTCAGCTGCAGCATGAGTCCTGAGCCGCAACCGCAACCGCAGAAATCCTCAGGGGGCGAGGACGACGACAGCAAGAACAACAACAGAAGCAGCAACAACAACATCAAGACTAGCTACGCAACGCCCATGGACGCCAAAGCCGCGCTCTTCAGCAACCCGCCCTCGTGCCTGCCCTCGCCGACGTTTCCCGGCAACACCAGTGACGGCAAGAACAACACGAACAACAACGACGCCTCTGCCTCGTCGCCCAACACCACCGCCACCCCCGGCGGCTCGGGATCCCGCTCGGGCTCCGACGACGGCGACGGCGTGGCCACCGCCACCGCCACCAGCACCTGCACGACGCCCTTCGTGACGCCGATGGAGGAGATGCAGAAGCAGGTCCGTCCGCTCTTTCCTCCCGCCCATCTCCAGCGCCGCGCGACGACGTCGGATACGGACAACCGCACGGCGGCGCAGGTGGTGGTGGAGCGTCCGCCGCAGAGGCGCGAGAGGAAGAAGACGACGACGAAGAAAAGCAAGAAGGAGGAGAGGGAGGAGGACGCGGAGGTGGCGAGGAAGGAGGACGCGAGGAAGAGCTTGCCTTCGCAGATGGCGCTGGTGGCGAGGGCGCAGCAGCAGCAGCAGCAGTTGTTGTTGGCGGGCCAGGGGAATAAGCGTGGGGAGGGGCAGGAGGGTGGTGGTGGGCATCATCATCATCATCATCACCACCACCATAATCGTACAGCTGCTGTTGGAGAACAGCAACATGTTCGAGTCGACTCGGTCATACCGGACACGTCTTCGGCATCCAGTTCGTCGGCCTCGTCTTCGGCCGGTTCCTCGTCGTCGTCGGCGGAGCGCGAAGAAAAGCGCGGCGCGACCCAGTCGCCGACGACACCACCCCGCCATAGCAGCAGCAGTCGTGACGATAAGATCCGCACGCGTAAACTGCGTGACTTGCAGCAGCGCAGGCGGGCGAGCAGCGACCTGCTACTTCTTCACCACCGCGGTAGCAGCAGCAGTCCTCGTCAGGGCATCGACGAGATCGTGGCGCAGGCGACTGTTGCGAGCGGTGGGGGAGAGGAGAGGGAACTGCAGCGCCAGCGGCCGAAGTCGATGGTTGTCATGCCAAGCGAAGCCGAGGCGACAACGACAGAAGTCGCTGCGTTGCGGAATGCCATGTCGCTGAGCCCGGTGGTGACGGTGGCGGAGCAGACGCCCGATATACAACACACGACACCGGCACCGCGGCCGCTGCCACCGCCGCCCCCGCCGCCGTTGTCTGCGGCCAGGGGCAGCAGGTCGCATGTGAGGAAGCCGACAGCGGAGTCGGTGCTCAGGGAAGAGGTGGGAGAAGACGAATATGAGGCAAAGAACGAGGACGACGAGCAAGCCCACCACCACCATCACCATCCTCTCCACTCGCACCGCCATCACCGTCGCCGCAGTTCCGCGAGCCTGCTGGCCGCCGCCGTATCGAGGAATCACCACCACCAGCAACAGCAACCGGCGTCAACGACGACGACGGCGGCGGCGGCCATCGGCGGAGGAGGCGCCAGCAAAGACGATCTGGACCACCACTACCAACAGCGGCACCAACGCCTCTCCACCGCTTCCGTCTCGTCGTCTACCACCACCGGCCTCGGCCGCTCCGCATCCGCGTCAACGAACGACAACAACAACACCATCACCACCACCACCACCACCCGCCGCGCCTCCTCCCTCCAGTCCGCCGCCCCGGGCCGCGAAGAACAGCTGCGCGAGCTGCGCGCCCACCTGCACGCCCACTCGAGCCAGTACGGGCTGCAGTCGCACCATCACCACCAGCACCACCCCTCGAACGGGCCGGGGAGCCACGCCGCGATGAACAACAAAGACAGCGCACAGAACAACAACAACAGGCAGTGGCGCGACAGCGTCGCCACCAGCACGAGCAGCAATGGCAGCAATGGCAGCAATGGCAGCAACGGCAGCGGCTACGGAAGCGGCCCCTTTGGATACTATTTCCAGAACAACAACAACGGCAACAACAACAACAACAACAACGCTGCTGTCGCTGCTGCCGCCACCATCATGGCCCAGCGCCTCTCCCTCTCCTCCTCCTCGTCCTCGGACGCCGCCGCCGCGAGTACCGCCGCGCACGACTCCAACAGCTTCCAGACGCCCAGCGCCATGTCCGTCGCCCTTTCGTCTTCGGCCGGCCACCATCACCATCATCACGGTCATCGTAACGCTGACGACACGAAAGGCAGTGATGATCCTGCTGCCGGTGCTGGCAACAACAACAACAACAACAACGACGAGGATGACGATGTCGCCGCCACCACCTCGATGCGCGAGGCGCGGCTCGAGGCCCGCTGCGAGGCGCTGGCGCGCCAGAATCGACTGCTGGAGGCGGCGCTGCAGGCGGTGCTGAAGACGAGCGGGATGATGGGGAGGTGTGTGGCGTGTGCGGGCGGTGAGGGGCTGGCGCCGGCGCCGGCGGCGGGGCTGTTGTTGGAGGAGGGGGAGCAGCAGGAGCAGCAGCGAGGGGTGGTGATGGAGGGGGATTTGGGGACGATGGTGGAGGTTGGTGGGGAGGAGGGGGGGATGGAGAGTCAGAGGGGGTGATTAGGGGTGGGGTTTTTTTTCTTTCTTTTTTTCTCTTTTGTGGTGGGTTGGAGGGAGGGGAGGGGCGGGCTCTTGCTTTCGGTGTAATGGGCGGTTGGTGGGTGGGTGGGTGGATGGATGGTTTGGGAGGCGATGGTTCTGCCTTTCTGAATCTTCTTTCTCTCTCTCTTTTGGATGTGATGTGATGACGTTCATTCTTCTTACGATGTTTCTTTTTTTTTTTTCTTGTGTACGTTTAGCTTGGGATATCACAGCTAGGGTCTCGGAGATGGGCTGAAAGAACTCGGAGTGGGGGAAAATGAAACTACAGATTTATACGAAGCATTTGCGTCTTATGTGCATTCCGGCGAGTGAGGGAGCGTGCCACGAGGGATGGACCTGGCAGGAAGGTAAGATTCATCCTGCTCGTGTCGTCTCCGTCTGGACCAGCGGTCGGAGCCAAGACGGAGACAGGTGTGAGAAAGGGCGCTCATGCAGTGACAGGCCAAGAATAATGCTGTTCCCCGATGATGACGGTGAAGCCGGCGTTGTCAGCTCCGAGGCTCAAGGAAAGGACAAGTTCGTGACGGGGTGTGCAGTGTGGCTGCGGACTTGGCGAGATGTCCGTCGCTATTTTTGGCGGCGAGGGTGCGACCGCAGCAGTGGCGCCGCCGATCAGAACGACCAGGGTCGCCCGAGATGCTGCCAGCCTGGGGCCAACCGACGTAAACACCCAGCTCTTCTTCTCCTTTTTCCTTCTCCTGCGCCCGCCTCATCCTCACTCTTCTCCCGCCCACACCAATCTCTTTCCATCCCTCCATCACTCGCTCCGTTGCGTCAATCCCGCCTCGACTCACCGCCCGACTCGTCCGCTCGCTCGCTCGCTCGCTCGCTTCCCTCCCCCGGACCCCGCCCTCCCTACCGCCGGCGCGAAACCACCTAGGTACAGAGCTCCAACCAACCGACCTACCCGCCCACCTACCTACCTTCATTCGATCGCGCCGTCCCGCCGCCCGATCCTCTACAGCAACCATGTCCACCTCCACCCCCTCCACCGCCGGCACCGCCACCGCCGCCGTCCTCTCCGACCCCGAAGCGCCGCTCTTCAGCACGGAGCTCATCTCGCCGGGGGTGGCGGCGGCGCTGCCGGCGGGGTACACGGTGCGGCCGATCCGGCGGTCGGACTACGGGCGGGGCTTCCTCGACGTGCTGCGGGTGCTGACGACGGTGGGCGACGTCGACGGCGCGGCGTGGGACGCGCGCTACGACTGGATGAGCCGCCGCAACGACGAGTACTTTTTGATCTGCGTGCTCGACGGCGCGGGCAAGATTGTGGGCACGGGCGCGCTGATTGTCGAGAGGAAGTTGTGAGTGTTCTTTTTTTTTTTTTCTAAGGTGTCGGATTGCTGACGGTTGCGGCGTGGTGGTAGCATTCATAACTTGGGGCTTGTTGGGCATATCGAGGACATCGCGGTTGCAAAGGACCAGCAGGGTAAGAAGCTGGGGCTGCGCATCATTCAGGCCCTGGACTTTGTCGCGGAGAAGGTGGGCTGCTACAAGGTGAGTTCTTTTTGCCCCAGGGCGATTATGAGATTGGCTGACTGGTGCTTCTCTTTCCCCCAAAAGACCATCCTCGACTGCTCCGAAGCGAACGAGGGCTTCTACGTCAAGTGCGGCTTCAAGCGCGCCGGCCTGGAAATGGCCCATTACTACTAGTCGTCCTGGACTCGATTGTGAGTTTTATGAGGTTTGGATCGGACGACATGTTGGAGATCTCATTCGGATCTGTATGACTATGATATGAAGGATATAGACAGGTGGTGAGAGGATATACATGTAGATGAGACATGGTCGGTTGAGACACCGTTCATCTGGTCTATCCATTGGTCATTTGGAACCTGTTCCTTTTTGCTGTGGCGTGGCTGAAGAACGCTCGGCATAGTCTTGCAGCTTGATTGTGAACTCCAATCGGATCCGATGTGTCTTGGATCGTCATCGTTGACGTCTAACTGGTTGTCCGGCTCTGGCTTGATGGGCGAGCAGCCGGGCAACCAGTGGAAACTCGACGTCGAACACTGGCACGAGATAGAAATGGCTGGTATGCAAAGATAAACAGTCGCGACAACGGCCATGGGTCTATCCAAACCCACATGGGCGTCATTCAACCGCCCACCAAAACAATAGAGGAAAAGACACTGTGCCAAAAACCAGGTGCGTCCATTCCAATGACAAAACCCCCTCCTCCTCTCTTTCCCCCACCTTCCAGAAATTCCGCAAGTTCTCCCTCTCTCGACCTCACCATCATCTTCGCCGTCGGCGAGGTGGCGCGGGTAGGGGGTTGGTAGAGTCGAGCTCGTGAGGAGCTCGATCGCGGGCGGGGATACTGGTCCGAATGGATGGATTCGTTGATGGGGGCGATTGGGGGAACGAGAGGGTGGTGTGGTAGGGAGTGGTCGGCTCGGGTGCTTTGAGTGGCTCCTGCGGCTTTTCGTTGTTGGTTTCTGTTAGACAATATATAAGGCCTCTAGCCAGCACTGAAAAAAGTGCGGCGTCGTACCTTTTTTCAAGTGCGATAGTTTCTCTCCGAAGCTGCTGGATTTGTTGTGTGTATGTGTCTGTTCTTCCCGACGGCCGATGGAATGGAGGTGATCACAAGAGCCCTTGTTCAGCTAGGATATCAGCTATATACTTTCGACCCTGGAAAATTCGGCCCGTTGTCTGTTTGACAAAGACGGATCGGCGTGTTGTCTGTTACAGGAGAATCGGGTGATTCTCGAAGAGGCCGTCAGATTTGAAAGTGGTAAAACCTCTTTGGACGATGCGCGCGTTGAGCTCCTCGACGAAAAGAAGCCATGAACGCGGCTAACGGCAGCGCCAAACGCGGTTGGTTTGACGAGGGAGTGCAAGATCGGGAGGCAGCAGGCGATCAGGGCAACGTTAGTCTCGACGACTGTCCAGAAAATGCCGGCACTCGTGATTCCCTACAAGATGCCATCAGACATGTTCACTCGAGAATGTGATGCATAAATACCAATATGTCATATGGAGGCATGCCCATAATAGTGGTCTTTTCAAGAGCACCTTTTATGACGTTAGCAAGAGAGACGTTGGACATTGATTTGGTAGTGGCTGCTGACTCGAAGGCGTGCTTTGTTGAATGCAAATAACCATGCGAACTAGTGCTGAAGCGACGGCACTTGAGATTATCAAGAATGTCAGTTAGACCAATTGGGCCTCTTGAAAGGGTGAAACATACATGCTACCAAGCATAAACACACCGCAGACTTGGAACTTGCGGGCAGTAGGCATCTGCAGTTGCCAAATCTTCTCACTGTCAGCCATTGGTCGTGACAGTGCGGGAAGGATGAAAGCTCACCCAAGGGAACGGCAGGATCAAGATGATGAAGTCCAAGGCTGCGTCCAGGATGGAATAGACAACGGTGGCCATGAAGCCAAACCCGCACTTCTGCTCGATCTCGGAAAGCGATGCCCAGTTTGTGGCGAAGTTAATGCCGCATGCAAAAGTAAAGCCGAAGAAAAAGGCCATGATCCACGCAACAGTAATTGCGACGAGAATTAGCGAGACAACCTGGAATGACTTGTACACAAAGAAGATGCGGCGATAGAAGAAAAGGAAGGAAAGCTTGATGAAGCCGATTGCAAGAGGCTGCATCACGAAGACCATGTAGACAAACTGGGGACCACGTTTGTCAGCATGCGCGTGCAGTATGTATGTACAAAAGGCGAATACTGGTACCTTTTCCAACAACACCAGATCGGGAGTCGTTGTTGTGATCCAATTTTGCACGTTGGAGGCGTCATTGTGCTGGCCAAGTACATTGACCTGGGCGCCTGAAGGGCATGAGCGGCTCTGATGCTGTGCTTTGGGTTTCGGTGAATTCTTACCATACACCAAGACCACAGCCGTCCCAATGGTGGGGATTAAGGCTAACAAACAGAAGATGTCGTCTAAGTAATTCAGAAAGCGGACGTGGCTAAGCTTGTGGTTTGCTTTGAACCGGTACGCAATTCTCACCGAAACAGCCAACAAAGCAAGCACTGCCAGAGCGATCCCAGCGGCCAAGCAAGACTCCCTATTCACGTAGCTCATTGAACTTGGTTGGTGATTGGCGGGAGATTGGAGACAGCGGCCAGCCGCTGGTGCTTTGGATCAGCGAGAACGAGGGACATGTGCCGATAGAGATTGACAATGGAGGAGCACCGAATACGTACTTATTCCGCCTGCCCTGCAGAACGAAAGGCAACCAGGCTAATGAGTAGCGTGGCATTTGGCGATTACGCCACGATGCGGCGGCACAACCCGGCCTACGCGACAAGCCACTCCGGAGGACCTGACCGTTTTAGTTGGGCACCCAGCCCGTGTTCATATACTAGTCATTTCTGCGTCCGAGCGGTGCCTGAGCTCTCACGCGATGCATGATCCTTACTATCGCCACTTATAACTGAACCACCACCGCCCGCCGCGAACACTTCGCATCCTACGGGTATGTAACATGGCTGTCGCATACCAACCTTTACCAAGCAATGGTGGGAAGCAAGTTGCAGACGATTGGAGGCTGCGCTGGCCGACTATCTTTCTTGTTGTCCTGTCTCTGCTCAATGCAGCTATGTTTGCAGCGTCCCTATACAACCTTCGCGCCAGCTCAACAATAGGACCTTTACCAGACTCGGTTGCGATAGTGGAAGACCTGCCCACAGATTTCGTTGGGTTCAGCTGGCACACGCCTTGGGGTTCCAACAACGACAGCGAAGCCGACCAGCTTTGGGACAACATCAACACTGCCCACGGCCATATCGCAGTGGACCGGGACTGGGCCACGGCGCATAATGTTGGGGCGCCTACTTTATGCATTTGACCTGATTGTTGCGCTGACTCGTTACAGTGGGCACCGTCTATGGACATCCCCGGGCAGCCTGACAAATCCATGTACCTCCTCGAAGCGTATCATCAGCTCCACTGCCTCGTAAGTCCATCTGATGCCTTTGTACAACTCCAGACCACCTGACAAGACATAGCGCCTCATACGACGAACATTACTTGACCTGTATCATGGAACTCCTCCACAATGGCCTATCTCTCACACGCGGCATTGCTTTGACACACTGCGCCAACATATCATGTGCCACGCTGACAACACACCCCTTCATGGTGCTGGAGACCACATGGCAGGCGACGGGCAGATACACCGCTGCAAGAGCTGGACAGCACTGCGTGACTACGCGACGGCGAACACGGCCTGCTTCCACGATGGGCAGCCTGGTTGGACCCTGGAAGACCACTTCTCGAAGTGTGATGATGGCACAGACGGACTGCAGTAACGGCTTACTCTTTTATATGAACGGGCAACTGAACAGTTTCAGTGAAGAGACACTCGACGACAAAGCATGATGCAGTATTTGGAGCCGCGCTTGCCATTGAGCACTATCGACTTTCCTGAACGGGCTAATCTGCTTACTCCACAGCCGCCAAAAACATACGATCTCGGATTCTCAGATGCCGAGAGTTATGGCGTGGTCTCGCCAAACCAGCCCCGGATATGAGCGAGCCGTTATTGGCAGTCGTATTCAGGCTAACGGACAAATTACCGATCATGTGGCGCGCCAAGGCAAACCTAATTGGGGCAGAGGCTGATCTAGTAACAGTTCTGGAAGCTCTGCCCTGGCTTGTATGCACCTAGCGCCGCGCGTTTCACCTACAGCCGGTCGGTCATAGTTCCCCGTACGCAGTACCGCTACTGACGCTAGAGAGACGCCCATGGCAGCCGCTGCCATGCGTTAAGCGCTCGTCCGGTTGTCTCCGCTTAGCCTCTGCCTTTTCAACGTGCTCCATGCACATACTATACAAGTGATCTGCCGTCTACGCGTGGGATGGACCCTCGTTTTCGCCAAGTCCTCTCGTTAGTCTCTGCTCAACCGCAGCGGCAGCCAACTTCGTTCATTTGCAACAACGCCTCTCTTTATTTCCAAACTCCCCAGGATGAAATCCGTCGCTCACTTCCTCGTCATATCTGGCCTTGCTCTCCTCGGTTCTGCTGCCCCAGCTGCCGAGGCTAGGCCGCTGAACGGTGATGCCGATGTGTCTGGTACCGTCGGCAATGTGGCCGACGCCGTCTCCAATCCCATAGCTCTTCCGTCTGATGTAAACTCCATTCCGGATGCAGTAGTAAACGCTGTGCAAGGCATACGTAAGCCAATCGCCCCAAAATATAACGTCCTGTCTGACCATACCATAGTATCTGGCACCTGCGGCATCGATTGGAAGTGCAACGTCACTCTCTCTGGTACCATTGAAAATCTCCTCGTCGATGGCGACAAATACAGTAAGCAAATCATATCAGGGGTGCGGCTTTGTCGTACTAACAAGCTCGTCTCCAACAGCCGGCCAAGCTTCGGTTGCCGCTTGGTGTCACGAAGGCCGCTGTTACGGCGCCTCGAACATGGACACGTCAGGTAGCGCTCCTTTGGTCATCACCTGCGACCAAGTCTCGGGGTCCAAAGCCTGCACTGGCACCATCGGCGCCGCCGCCAATGTCATCTTCTCCAATGGGAAGCAGCTCGGTACGTGGTCACTCTCCCTCGCATTTCTCTGACAGCTACGCAGTGACTGATTCTTGTGCGCTTGTAAAAGAACTCTGGGGCTGGATGACTCCGTCGGGGTATTGTAGCGACGGCACCTGCTACGCTTCGCTCAATGCACTTGGAGACCCCATGTATTAATGGCGTTGGCCACAGTCCCCTCTTAAGCCTTGGACATCCGCACCGTCAAAGCGTCATTTGTCCAATTCCAGCAATCGATCACATCCAACGATACCTCCACCACCCTGCAGAATTAAAAGAGCGACAAGCATGCCGCTGATTCATATTGAACGTTTGATGATATTCCCCTACAACCCCCATTGCGTCCCAACGCCCTACCACCACAACAAGTCTTCGAAATACATCCCAAACCCCCCTCCCGATCAAATCAAGAAAAAAAAAGAGAAAAAAAAAGGAAAGATAAAGCCCCGTAGGCCCCTACTCCTTCCCACCCTCACCGCCACCCAACCCCTCCTTCCCCCCCTTCACCTCCTCCCGCCCGCCGAACCCCGTCACCCGCGTCGGCCGCGCCTGCGGATCCGGCTGCTTGGCCGGGTGGTCGTCGCCGGTCTTGTGCTCGTCTTTGGAGGCGTTGCTCGTGCTCGTGCTCGTGCTTTTGTGCGGCGGCGGGGATGCGCCAGGGGTCGATGAGGATGAGTTGTAGAGGGGGCCGTCGCCTTGTTTTTCTGCGCCGGTTTTTGGTGGTGCTTGTTGTTGCGTGGATGAGGTGGTGGAGGTGAAGGGGGTGGTGTGGGTGGTGACCGTTGGGAGGAGGGCGAGGGAGGAGGGGCGGCGGGAGCGGCCGAGGAGGAGGAGGAGCGCCGGTCGTTGGAGGGCGCGCATTTTTTTTTTTCTTGGGTTGAGTGTGTTCTGGGAGGAGTTGGTCCTTCTTTTGTAGGGGTTTCTTTTTTCCCTCCCTTGTTTTTCCCGGCTCTGTCGAACCGTTTCTGTTGTGGCCTGGAGATGGAGGATTTCGACCGGATCGTGGTTCGCGGGACTGCCTGTCTGCCGGGCGGATGACAAATAGGGTTCTACCAAGGGTTACTCGAAAGCCACGCGGGGAGGTCGGATGGTCAGTGTTACCGTGGTAAGCTTTCTGGACGGTTGTTGCTTGGATATATACTTTGACGTCTCTAGAAGTTTAGACTGGCGACCGACGCGGGGCATGTTGATAATGACGTAGGGGTGACACGCATATAGGTACGCCCCGTCGTCATTGTCGACGGACTAAGCCGTTGCGGAACCGTTGCATTCACCGAGCTACATTTCGATACCTCTTTAAGAAGAGGGTAGAATGTTCAATCCGATCTCAATGTTATACAAGTTTGTGTAGGCATGCGTGGGCTGTGCAATTGCGCGACATCCAATAGGACAAAAGTCGGCTCTACAATCCTCATGCGTCCAATCAAGATGAATAGTTACCACCGTCCAAGTCTTACATCTCAACTAGATACAGTCAGGAATTATCTCCATTGTGTTCAATTGGTTCTCCGGCCGCTGTTCGAGTTTTGTTGATCCAGAGTCACCAACAAACGAGGAGTACACACGATCTGTCGAATACAACACAACAAATGGGATATATCGGCCATCTTCAATCAGTCTCCCCTTCCTCCCTCGCACTATCAAAGCTAAGCTATGCTTCTCTCAACAACGAACGCATTAACAAAAGAGATATAGCTGGGTATCGTAACCTCCTCTCCACCAATCCACCTCCAACAATCCACATCTAAACCAAAACGAAAAGCCTACCGGAATGAGGGTATCAATGTTCCGCACAAGAACAAACAAACAAACAAAGAAGCAAGCGACAAAGACCTCTCTCTCTCTCTCCCTCCCAAAAGAAAAGCCCCAGTCCGTTCCCAACCCACAAGCAAGTAAAGACAAAAAAACAAAAAAACAAAAAAAAAACGACAATCCACCACAACCCTACCCCGTATACCCCACACAAATTCGCCTTCCTACCGACTCAACAACAGCTCCACCGCCCTGTCCACGCGCAACCCATCCCCCATATCCGTCTTCCTCAGCGCCATCTTCGCCTCCTCGGCCGTGAAACCCATCTCCACGATGCGGAAGATGGCCTTGTCCGACGAGTGCGCCGCCGCGTCGCTGACGGCGATCTCCTGCTGGAAGGGGTGCTGGGTGGAGACGCGGTCGCGGTGGGCGGGGAGAGGGGGGTCGATTTCCGAGATGGGCAGGGAGTGGTGGCGGTGGTGTTGGTGTTGGTGTTGGTGTTGTTGGTATTGTTGGGGAAGGGGTTGGCTCGCGATGGAGGCGTGGCGCTGCTGGTGCTGTTGGTGGTCGGGGGAGTATGGGTATGCGGGGTGCGCGGGCGGGTGGCCGGCTGGGTAGGGAGGGTAGCGGGCGGCGAGTTGGGAGTAGTAGCGTTGTTGTTGCTGCTGCTGCTGCTGCTGCCGCTGCGCCTGGTAGTTGTAGCTGGGCGGCAGTGCGGCGTGGAACTTCATGTTGGGCGAACCGGCGCTCATCGAGCTGATGCTCGAGTTCGACGAGTGCTGCTGCTGCTGCTGCTGCTGACGCGACGACTGGTGCTGCTGCGGCGGCCTCACGTTATGACGGAACGCCGGGTGCACCGCCTCTTCGGAGAACAGCCTGCCGTTGCTGCTTCCCGCGGCCGGGGCAGCCACAGGGCTGACGCCGCTGTCGGCGCTGCCTCGCCTGCTGCTTGACTCGGAACCGAGGAAAGAAGATGAGGAAGGGATGGAGCGCAGTGCCGGGTGCTGCTCGGTCGGGGACGGTCCGCCGTAGTCGAGCTGCTTTGCGTGCGCGAGCGTCTGCAGAAGCGGGTTCTGCTGGCTGCCGCGAACACCGGAACTGGAAGCGCCTCGACGCTCCGACATCTGCTGCTGGAGCTGATTTTGTGGTGGGGCCACGGGGAACGGGAACTCCGGTCTCTGGTGACGGACGGGAGAAAGGCCCGGGAGCTCCGGCATGGGTGGTAGGGCAATGAGCTCACTGTGGGAGCGGGGGACGTTGGAAGGTCCCGGAGGACACGGCGTGGGGGCACCCGCCATCACGCTCGAGGACGTGGAGACATGACGGCGCGGCTGGGGCGAGGCGATGTTGTTGTTGCCGTTGCCGTTGTTGTCCGAACGATCCAGAGAGTTGAAGACGCCTTCCCAATCGCTCATTGGCCGCTCCATGCTCATGCGGACGAGTGCGTAATCGCCGGTGCGGCGGCGGGTGCGGATCTCAGCCTTGTGAGCAGCCATGCGCTGACGCTGGACTTGTCTCATCTCGGCGACGTCGTCTTGCGGGCTCGTCACCGCCATGGCGGCGATTTTCTCCTCGTAGACGCGGGCAACAGCTTCCTTTAGGAACGTCCGGCGGGAGCCATCGTGCTGAGGTGGGACCCAGTTCAACCAGCCGTTCTCAAGAGCGATCATGAAAGCAGACGAATCCGCCTTGTTGGAGACAGCGGCGACTTCAAGAATCACAGAGAGACCAAGGGTGGAGAGATAGTAGAGCCACTCCTCTGAACGAGCGTCAGCGAGAGCAAAAGTAAGGTGGGGACAAGGGGGGCACTCACGAAGCATCCTTTCCTCGCCATCGATGTCACCCCCACGAACATCCGTTACCTCATACACACCAAACTCCCTGGCCTGCTCGGTGCGTCCCTCCAAAGCCGAGACCAGCACGCCCATGCACGTCCAGATTTCCGTCATGTCGTACAGCTCCTCGGCCGAGAGGCCCTTCGGCCCATTGCCCTTTGCGAAGTGCTCGGGTGCATTGAGGAGCGCGCCGCTCGCGTCAAACGAGTCACTGGTCATGATGGTGGCCCGAATGCTCGTCTGGTGCACCAGCGGACCGCCGCGGAGCCAGTCCGTCTGACCGACGATGTCGTCTTCGCGGCCCTTACCATAGCCGAAGATGGTGCAGAAGGTCCAGATGCGCCAGAAAGCCCTGTCGATGCGAGCAGCGCGGGAGGCGCTGTTGCTGGCCAGCGCCATGACCGTCTCCGGACGCAGGAACGACTGGCATCTCGTCAGCACCAGCGCCTTGAGCGCGGTGATGATGTGCGTGTCACGCATGTGGTGGCGGTAGAAGGAGGTGGGCGTGTGCTCGGGCTGCGGCAGAGCGCTGTCCAGATTCGGAACCTCGAGGAACTGGGCGGCATGCTGCCGCTCGGCGCCCTCGTAGGGGTACGGCGGCGATGACTCGCGATGCTCCCATGCCGGGGGACATTCATTCTGCAGGGCAGAGCGCAGAAGGCGCAGCTCGTGGCGCTTGAAGACGCGGTAGAAGCCGCGATTGACGCGGGCCAAAGAGCAGAGGTCATCGAGAGAGTGCACCCTCTCGAAAATGCCCAGGATGACGACCTCGGCAGCGTCGGGAGCGATGACCCTCTGTGTTGGCATGCGGCGCGAGTGGTTCCTCTTGTGTCTGTGCCGTGATTTGCTCGCATTGCTGTTGGTCTTCGGATCATGCTTATCAAAGTCAGCTCTGGGGATCTGGACGGTTAAGCTCAAGGGCTGACGCGGCCCCTGCACGTGCGCGGAGTGAGATCGAGAAGAAGCAGCGGACGTCTTGAGAGAAAGAGGCCTTACTTGTTGAGCTGCGATGTGATTCGCCGAGCTTCCAACAGGCAGCGACGTGACTCTGGTCTTGCGTCGCGATGACTTGCGCGGAACGGCGGGTGCGCGGGCGGAGGCGTAGGACGGCCTCCGCGAGGATCCAAGCCCGCTGGTGTTGGGCACGTCATCCCATTCGCCAATCGAACCTTCGGCGATGCATGAGAGGTGCTCTTCCAACGCCGTCTCGGCCTCGCTGAGCGTTGGGCTTGGAGGATCGCTGTGGGGAACCGACCCGTTGTCCGTTGCCAAGCCGCGCGCCGGGAGAGACGCCACGCGGTGGGCTCGGCGGGAGTTTCTCCTGCTCGCAATCGAGTTTTTTGCGCTTAGCGTCGGGCTGCTGACGGTGCTCCGCAGTTTGGCCACCGTCTGGTAGATGGTTGGGGCTTGCGGCTCTGGAGGGAGAGGCTTATCCTTGCCCAGATGATGTAAGCTGGACGTCGCCAAAACCGGACTTCCTGGTTGGCTAGTGGTGGTGCCAACAGGCGATGCGTCGTCGAAAATTCCTGCTTCGGCGGGCGAGATGATGGAGAAGGCCAGGTTCAGATTCGGGCGCAGGCCAAGCTCCAGGTTGTCGTCGATGCTGGTCCACGAGGTCCTGTTGCTCCTGGTGTAGATTGAGGATTTCGAGTCGTCGTTTTCTGAATTGGATGCTCCTGAAGAGCTCGAGACGGACGGGTGCTTCGCCATGACGGCCGAGCCGGGCATTTCGGAGACCTTCTCTAGATAAACCGGCACCGTCTGTTGCCGCTGGGTCAAAATCTGGCGTGCCACTGGCGACACGGCCGAGTTACGTACTTCGATCATGTCGTTGGCCAAAGGCGGCGAGACATCGCGAGACGATATGATTTCACCTGCGCTGGAGTGTTGCACTGCCTGTGACACAAAAGGAGGCCGCGCATGAGGAGCGCGATTGCGGACATCGTTGGGAATAATGACCTGGATCCTGGGCCTCTTGTTCTTCTGCCCTCCTGGCAGCTCGCGGGCCGGAGTCTCCAGTCTGATCGGTCTCGAATCGAGCTCGGCGACGGCGGTGTTCGGAGGATGTGGCACCGCAGGCATCGAGGCCACTTTGGCTTCCCAGTGAGCTCTGCCATCTTTCCAGAACCCGATGCGTCCTGCGTCTCCCTCGCTCTTCCTGTCCTTCTTGCTCTTCTTCGGCGGCACATTTGAGACAGACGGGTGGAGGGATGGCGTAGATGTTGATGCGGGAGACTGCCCAATGTTGCTCAAGATCTCGTCGTTTGGTGACATGGCCATTGTTGCGTCGACATGTGCATGGCTGAGCGGATCCGAGGAAGAGCGGTAATTGAATGGAGTGCCAGGAGCCGCGGCAATTGGTGATGGGACAGTGGGAGCCCTTGCGGCTTTGGGGACTGCTCGGAGCACGCAGCCTCTGAGCTCTGGTTGCTTTGACCGGCCCATCGTCCACCTCTTTGACGATGTCCTGGGGGCAAAGCTCTCGAAAGGAATCTGGGGAAGAGGCTCGGAGAAGGGAGCAACAATCTGCACCGGGGTGTCTGCTCCGCGACGACTAAAGACCGACTCGGGACGTCTCCGGAAGGCAAACGACGGCCGACTGGTGACGCGTTTTTTTGAGCCTGAGCGATGGACGCGAAATCTCTTGGAAGCATGAGATGAGAGTGGCTGTGGGGGCCCAGACGCCACCGAGACGTCTGAGTAGGACATGGGCGTGGAGGACATTATGGCGGTTGGCGTAAAGCAACCAGAAGTTTTGGGCTCCAGACGGAGCGAAGGTGAGCGGCGACGGAATTAGGGTGTGATATTAGGTGGTGATTGGGGGAACGAGCCGCGTATATCGGACGGGCGTCGCTGGCTGCAGGCTGAGGGCAGATTACGCGTGGCTTAGTGGAATGGCTTGGGGGACGTATAAGACAGGCACGGGCGGGCTCTGCCGGTGGAACCAGGCTGGTATGACCGAAATAAACTACATCTCTGGGTGCTCCATGAGGCATGGAGCGCCGGTGCTGACGCCAGCCGGGTCCGGGCAGTTGGCCATGTTGCTTCGGCGACATGGGGCTGACTCTTGGGCTTGGGGTCCAGCATAGCGGCCGACGGGCAGGAGACGACCAGGCGCACGGCATCGATCTGCCGGGGGCGTTGGGGCCAATGACGATCGAGGGTTGGAGCGAGTTGCAGCGGCCAAGAAGGCTGAGTCCGTAAAAATAGCTGCACAGACTGCGGCCCGTGTGCCCCACCCCCGCCGCGCACAGCCATCAGCGCACCGTCTATTCTTGTCGCCTCTCCCAGAAAACAACATGCAAATACATACTTCTGCTCGCCGCCCAGCGCTGGGCCCCAAGCACGCAGCCGCCCGATCGCCTTAAAGGCTGTGGGCCCCACCACCCATCATCGACTGAGACTTTTTTCGACCGAGTGCGCACACTTGACCCTCAGCTGAATCAGCTGAAGGCCCGGCCGAGCAGCAGCCCGTACGCCAGCGGCAGCGATCGTCGTCGGCCGCTCGATGGGTGCTGCCGTTTGTCGCCCCGTCTGGATCCCGCCAGGTGCATGTGGAAGCCAGCCGCTAAGCCAGCCTGCGCAGGCCCGGCCGATCGTCGACACGCGGGCATGCAGAGCGAACAACATCCATCGCCAAGAATTAATAGTCCGCCACCCTTCCTTTGCGTTGCGCGCATGGCAGAGCACCGTCTTGCCGGTCATTTTGTATGCATGATTTGAATTTCGCGCACGTCGCGCACGATGCGCCCGTGCCAGGCAACTGCGTGCATGGCCGGTGGCGCCATCGTGAAGGCGATTCGGCAGAGGTTGCGCGCGCCGACGACGGGCTGTGGCGGCCGGCGAGCTCCTCAGCTTGCCCGTCCTCCGAAGTTGCATTAGGTCGCTCCATGCAAGTCGTCAGCGGTGGCTGTTGGGGGCTTTCCCCCACCTTTCCTTGCTCCCTGTGCCCCATGGCCATGGCACTCCTCCAAACATTTCCCACGATGCTTTCCCCCAAAGCAAGGCACAATTCTGTTCCAAATCCCCCATGATTGGGTGTCGTTGCAACAACAAGGTGTGGCATCCGCCTTTGTACTGCACAGTTCCTTGCATGTTTGTCTCGAGCAGCAAAGTCAAATACCCTTCGACGTCTGGCCAGGTAACAAGCCGTGTACACACCCGACTCGGAATGATGCAAAAACCACCAGCCCCATGCCCAGGCCCCTCGTGCGATGCAGAGCAGCCGCTCGCCCACGCAGCTTCCCAACAGCCCTCGCCCGTCCATCCGAGTTCGACCGCGGCGTCAGCCATTATGGAAGTCCGAAGACGCGACGTCACACAGGAAAGCCGCTGCATCATGGCCTTTCGGCTGGCCGCTCTTTGCCTATACTTGACGTCGCACCGCAGACAGCAGAAGCGATAGCGAGCAGGGAACTTCCGCAGCATGCCCGCAGTTGGCGAGGATAATAGGCACGCACGAGGGAAAACGAGACGCCGCCTGCGGTCATCGAGCCATGAAGCCATCTCCAGAGTATCAAAAGCCCTTCGGCTCTCCAAGGCCGGATGGGTAGTTGCTCAAGTACTGGGAAATAGGCGTTTGCCGGCACGCGCTATAACGAAGGCCTGGGGCCGGCATGGCCATCAGAACAAGCATCATGCTCGTAGGCGGGTACGCGGGAAGGACCCTTGGCGGATTCCTCAGTCCGCCTTTTTCTCGTACTGGCCATGTACGTGCGCCTTTCGCTAGCCCCCACCGCCAGGTCGGAGCTGGGGCTTGCCCTGCACTGTTGTCTGCCTTTTCCGCCCGCTGAGCCCTCGGGCGAGCGAGAGCGAAGGATGTGGGTTTGTTGACTCCACAATTCGTCCCGGGCTTCGAAGAGGCTTGAGATCGGCCGGGCTCTGATCTCCTCTCGGATCACAAGATTCGATGAAGGCGGGTGGAGAAACGCGCATATCCGTTGGTCCCGAAAGCTTTGAAGCAATCCTCGGTGTTTACTGCGTGATCCTTGAAGCTCTGATTGGACTTTGGAGAAGCCCGCGGCCACTTGATCTGCGATGAGGCACAATGTTCTCGGTCCTCGGACACATCTTCTCCGAACGATGTTGGGGTCGATCATGTTGGCTGTGACATCATCATACGATGGGCACATGGACCGTCGGAGCGAATCGAATCAGAAACAGAACACCGGACCGCACAAAAGAGGGAGCAATAATAATGTGAGTGGAAGCAAGCAGGTAAATGATGATGGTCTGAGACTTCGAGAGTGTTCGTAGGCAGACAAACGTCGGATTGTCGTTGGGGTTGCAGTCAACAGGCCAACCTCTGGCACCAACCGAGATGAATACCAACACCCGACTGATTAAATTTGGATCGAGCGCCTGACAAGGCAACGATCCGGCTCTCGACCAACAATCCAATATAAGCACCGCCAAAAGACGGTATAGGCCCAGACGCAAACGGTGCTGTAGTCGCGAAGGATTCACTGCTTGCGCTCTCGAGCCGTCAAGCGGTTTCTGGCACCGAAAGGGTCGGGCAGAGCCGCAAACGAGCCTCTTGGGGGCACCAACGGATGAGGCGCAGCGCCGCAATCCTGCCCTCTTACCACTCCATGGGAAAACAAGCAATTTTGCAGACGCGACGCGCCCGGCTCCTGCCTCGTCAATGCATGCAATCTCGCCCTCACCAGTGCTGACACCTTGCTGGCCTCATCAGCGGCTAAGCTGACCGGCGATACTGAGCAATCCACCCCCACAACACCCACCACCCAATACGACCCCTCCCATCGCACGCGCGCAAACACCTCAACCACCAAACGCTTCCCCCATTCACGCCGCCCCCGCCGCCGCAGCAGCCCCATCCCTCCCCGCCGCCGTCCTCTGCACCACCTCCTCCATCCCCACCACCTCCTCCAACCTCCCATCCTCCACCAGCTCCCGATACGTCGCACACACCCGCTTATGCCCCTTCCTCCAGTCCTCCCGCTGGCACTCCCTCCCACAATACCTCACGACCCCGCACCCCGCGCACTTCTTCGCCGGCGCCCCGCCCTCGCCCTCCCCCCCACAAACCTTACACCTCACGTCCTCCCTCCCCTGCGGCCGCCCCACCATCACCCGCTCCCCCTCGCACCCATGATCGTCCTCCATCGCGCACCGCACCCGCCTCCGCGCCAGCATCCCGCACTCGTCCCGCGCGCACACGGGCGTCACGAGCACCTCGACGCGCTTGCCGCCCCTCCCGCCTCTACTACCACCGCCGCCGCTATGGTCATCGTACTCCGGCGGCGCCGCCTCGTCGACGTGCAGGAACGATATCGGCGTCAGCAGCACCGTGTGCGCCGCCGAGCTGCATATGTCGCATGTTTGCGGCGCGGCCGCCTGGCATTCGGCTTGGTGCTGGCTGAGCGTGGTGTTGAGGACGTCGAGGAAGAGGTCTTGGGCTGAGGCGGGCGGGGCGGCGGTGCTGAGGAGGATGTCCGGGACGGGGTGGTGGTGGGTGATTGTTTGGGTTGTTGTTGGGGTTGTTGGCGGGGACGAGATGGAGGTGGTGGAGGAGGACGGGGCGGAGGCGGTGGAGGCGGCGGCGGCGGCGGCGGCGCTGCTCTGGATGAGGAAGTGGAAGGGGATGGGTGTGGCGTCGAGTTCGGTGCCTTCTTCGAGGTTGAGGGGTGTGTTGGCGGAGGGAGGCGCGGTGGTGGTGGTGGTTGGGTTTGTGGAGTCGGCGGCGGTGGTGTCGGAGGTAGACGGAGGCGCGGCGAGGTCGTAGGTCGGCGCTGCGTCGCTGTAGGCAGGAGGCGAGATGTCGGAGGTGTAGGAGGGCGCGTCGGTGGTGGGTTTGGAGGTGGATGCGGGGTTGTTGGCTGCGGTGGTGGGGTCGGGCGCAGCGCCCTCTGCTGTCGTCGTCGAGGGCATATTGCTTGGTTAGAGGTAGGTTGGCTTGATCCAAAGTTTGATTATTGTCGTGCGCCGTGCGTGGAGCTACGGGATGCAAGTGCGTCGCGCTTGGGTTCTTAGATTCGCGAGAGAAAGTTGGGCGCTCAAGCTGCGCGGGCCAACGTGACGCAAGTCGATCTGATGCAGCCGCTCGCGGGCGGAACCTTCTGGATATACGTATTCTGATGACTCTACTCCCGTTCTCTCGAATCATAAATGTCTTCGACTTTACTTTGACGAAGCCATAATTGCCTCAACGCCATTTCCCACACGAAGTTATGATTGCAGTCTTTCTCCATGCGTTGGCGACGCGAAAGCCCGGGATTCACGCTGCGCAGGACTGAGATCCACACGTCCAAATACCAAATTCGATACCCTCGAGTTTTCCAGGTTTCTTGAGAATGTGTTTTTTGGTGGGACTGACCCATTTAAAGTTCTACTCTACCAGAATAAAAACAGAGGCCATTCAAGCGATAGTGTATTCCGAATTCTAAGACCAGAGATGGTCATGCAAGCCTATTCCAAACGCCATGTTCTTACCCCCATCTAACCCGTGCCAGTCAGAGTACATGTTTTTTCGATCATTCGTTTGCGTCATGAACTATTGGTGATCGTTGATGTTGTGCAAACTCATGTCTTGCGTCTCTCTGATACGGGTTTGCGACTCATCCGTGGATCTCCTTTCAAAGTCGCCGGGGCGGCCAGTGCCACCACTACCGATGTCGGCATGGCCGTTTATCGGGCTATCTTCTTCCGCGGGAATGACGTTGCCATGCCTGTCAACTTCGACTCCCTTGGCCGCCATTCGAACTTGGCTTTCAGTTGCCGCACCGTGCATCACAGCTTGCCTGGCGCTCTCCATAACCTTCAATTTTCTACTCTCGCCACGAATGCGCTCAAGCCGGCGGAAGTAGTCGTCATCCACAGGAGTGACGTACTTGCCACAGAAGACACCGACCTCGAATTTCTGGGTTGCAGGGTCGCGAGGCGATAGAGAAGCGCAAGCAGCCTCCAGGTCATCCAGAGTCTGATAGATGACTGCGTCCGCTCCGATCTTCTTGGCAATCTCGGGCGAAGAACGGTTGTAGGCGATCAGCTCGGACGTCGAAGCAAGGTCGATACCGTAGATGTGTGCGTTGCTAGTCTCAGAAGTCAGTACTGGTTCGAAACCATTTAAGCTGGAGCGAACTTACGTGATGGGCGGGGCGCAGCTGGTGAAGATGACCTTCTTAGCGCCGGCTTCCCTGGCCATCTGGACGATCTCACGACTTGTAGTGCCTCTGACGATACTGTCGTCCACAAGAACAACCACTTTGTCCTTGAAATCAGACGGCTTGGCATTGAGCTTTGCGCGGACACCCTTTTGGCGCAGCTTCTGGGTGGGCATGATGAAGGTGCGGAAGATGTATCGGTTCTTCACGAAACCTTGAACGTAGCGCTTCTTCAGACCGGCGGAGACACACAGAGCAGAGGTAATGGCAGTTTCAGGGATGGGCATAATGCAATCAACCTCTGCGAGACCCTCGGGCCCGAGCTCGTTCTTGATGGTCTCAGCAAGCTTGTAACCCATCCTCCGACGGCTCTCGTCGACGTCGATGCCATCCATGACCGAGTCAGGGCGAGCAAAATAGACATACTCGAAGATGTCGGGGGTGTAGCCAAGCTGAGGATGGACCTGACGGAAGATGGGCTCTTTGCCCTTCTCAATGATGACTGCCTGACCAGGGAGGATATCCTGGAAGGTGGTGTAACCGCACTGCGTGAGAGCAACAGACTCAGAGGCCATCATGTAGTCGGTCCCATGACCGGATTCTGAAGGCTTGGATCCCAAGACCATGGGACGAATACCGTACGGGTCACGGAAGCCAATGAGACCGAAACCCGCAAGCATGGCAGTGCAGGCCCAGCCACCGACGCAGCGCTTGTACATCCTCATCAGAGCACTGAAGCAGTCCTCGGCGTTGACACGAGCCTTGCCAGTCTCGTTGAGCTCATTGGCAAAGCAATTGAGCATAAGCTCGCTGTCGCTCTCGGTGTTGATGTGGCGGTGGGCCTCCTGGTCAAGGAACTGCCTGAGCTCGGGGGCGTTGATGAGGTTGCCATTGTGGGTCATGCAGATGCCGTACGGGCTGTTGACGTAGAAGGGCTGGGCCTCAGAGTTGGCGCTGCTGCCAGCGGTAGGGTAGCGGAGGTGACCCAGGCCCATGAAGCCGGGCAGATCCGCAACCCTCGAGCCGTCGTGGAACACCCTGGACGCCATGCCGTTGCCCTTGCACTGATAGAAGCGACCACCGGCCGCACAGGTAGCTATACCGCAGGCGTCCTGGCCTCGGTGCTGGAGCAGGTATAGGGCATCGTGGATCTCGACGGCGGCCGAGGTGGACGCGGGGTCGGCGTGGATAACGGCGATGATACCACACATCTTGCGGGTCTGACAGACTGTTTGCGCGCCATGTTAGCAGTGCGCCGGCAGGTGGTGGTCGTATGGGGAAGTGTAAGAGCTTTAGATCAGAATGTGCTGTCTCCGCAACTTTGAGCTCGGAAGTCTAACATCTATAAAAATAACACTAGATCATCATGATAGGGCAGAAGAAATGAAGCGCCTGTAGTCTACTGACCTCACGGCGGGAAACCGGCTGGAGCGCTGCGGGGCTCGACCTGGAGGGGCTGTTGAGGACGGCGGAGAAAGTTTTCTCAGCGGTACCGGAGAGCGCAGCGGGATGGAAGGAGGCCGGGCAAAGCAGGCGGCCTCAACGGCAACAACAGAGACGTTGCGAGAGGCGACGAGGGCCAAGAAGCGATTGGGTTGTCGGATGCCATTTTGAAAGGTTAGGTTCTGAGGGCGCAAAGCGGCGCAAAACTTTATGAACTACCGGGCAGCGCACGCGACGCTGGCGGAACTTCTCGGCTCGCCTGAGCCGGCCCGACGCAACCTCCACACGGCGCCAGCGCGGTGTGATGACTTCCCCCCGCTGCCCGCTCGACCAATCTTTGTACATAATCCGCAGGATGCCTGACCGTGAATAAGCCCGCCTGCCATTGGCCTCGCTCCGATTTTCGCAGCGCCGCCAAAAGCGCCCGCCGACCACGCCCGCTCGCTCCTCTGGTCCGCCAACCGCCAACCGCGAACCGCGACGCGTCCTCAACCGTGGCGCGCTTCACCGCCCCGCGCGCGACCGCCAATTTTGACAGCGCCGCACATGATGGTCCACCAAATATCAACAACAGCGTCCGATTCAGCCAAGCGCCGCCGGCACGTGCAGCAATCAGGTCAAGTGGGTGTAGGCCAATGCGTTCAAATTGGCCAATGAGAAGGCTCGACGCCGCATGAATGCATGCCGCCAGACGCGCCGATGCATCCCCCGCCGGCCATCTAAGACTCCAGCCTCAATGCTGAACACGATAGTAGCGTTTGCGACTTGGGTCATTGACGTTTCGGGTGATGTCTCGAAACTTCGTCGTAGAACAGTGAAAGTAGCCAGAATTAAAGGACTTGGTGAATATCAAAGTGAAGCCTTTGTTGCTATGAGAGGACCATTTTCTTTCTGGCTTGAAGAACCCAGCATCCCGAAATCAAGCGCGACGTCCACAGCCAAAGCACCAACTTTGTCTCTAGCATGAGAACAAGCTGTTTGCCTTCCAAGACCGCGCTCCTTCAAATAATCCAACAGTACGAATGTTGCTCATCAACTATGTTAGTCTTTGAAGCGCTAGGAAGCTTGGGACGCCTCAAGACAATCACTGTACGCACAACTTCACTTCCGCCTCTGTCCTCTTCACTTCACGTGTCAGCACCAGCCACCCTGGTTTTTACACTTGCAAAGAACCCACCGGCTGAATCTCACTTAACTTCTTCAACCACCCTCCAGCTCTGTCCGCGCACAACCCTCCCCCTCTGCGAACCTTCCACCACGACATCGCTCAGCAAAGCACCTTGAATGAGAGGCCCGTAAGATTTACACACTGCGAGACTGGCATCATCGGTCACTCGAGCTTTCACTACCACCATGGAGTCCACTGAGCGCGACTTCAACGACGATGATGGTGAGCTGTCATCCCCACTTAGCGATTGGAGCGATGCGCTAATGTTCTTATAAGTTATAGATCTAACTCCTCCAAGCGCGGCTCTCCGTGACTTCATCATTATAGATGATGAAGACGAAGATGCCAGCCTGTCACCTGAAGCCAGCATTCCTCAGGAAGCTCGTGCAAGACCGGCGCCAACGCGAAACCAACCCCCTACGTGGCCAGAGGAATACATCACAAGTTGCACGTTAATCGGTGAAGAGGCACGGGCACGAGGCCCAACCGCTTCCACGATCAGAATGGGAGACACCGTCGAAGTCATGACAACGCAGCCAAACAGCCCTGTACGAGCCGGAGATTTCATCAGGGTGATGAAGATTGTCGAGAACACACAGTCCGGCAGAATCAGCTTACGTGGCCTCCTCTTTAGGAGGAATCGGTACCTTCAACCAATGCTTCCGCGGAAACTGAACGAGGTGTACCTATTCTACACCATCGACGAGAATGATCCGCGCCCGTATTTCGTTCAAGGAACGGAAGAAATTCAACTAGAGGACGTCCTCCAAAAGCGCCGGCTGATAGTGACTCAGCACGCGTACCCGGCGCTTTCATTTCGCGACCATACCCATTTTCACTCCGACCACTCTAACGCTGAGGCGATCAGGGACAGCATTGAGGGGCATGATGTGCTAGTATGCCGTCATATGTTTGCCTACATTTACGGCGAAGGAGAAAGGCACCGGGCTCGCCGAAGACCCCATCAAGGTCTTCTCCGGCACATCTCATCAGAAGAAGCTGACGCTGGTGATGGGATTCTGACTGGGAAGTCCGCCGTCCATATCAACCTCGAAGACTCTGACGATGACGACGTCACTTTTGAGCACAACATGCGGCATGGCCCGAACCGCCTCGGTAAACTCACTTTTGGAGACGCCTTTCAGGGAGGCGGGGGTGCTAGCTGTGCCGCAAAACTGGCAGGTCTGAAGGTGGTCTGGGGATTCGACCACGATGCTCCTGCTGTGACGACGGCCTTACACAATTTCCGTCGAGCCCGAATTGTCCACTGCGAAGCAGCGGACTTCCCGCCCCGCGGATTTGACCCCAAATGCGATATCTTGCATCTCTCTCCGCCATGCCAAGCCTTCAGTCCGGCTAACACAAGCCCCAATGCGCGGAGAGATGAGGCCAACACGGACGCTTTATTTACAGTTGGTCCCATCATTCGAGCTGCCAAGCCACGTATTGCCACGCTGGAAGAGACCTTCGGCCTTCTAACACGAGAAAGGCATACGCAGTGGTTCGGAATTCTACTGAACATGATATACGATGCAGGATATAGCATCAGGTGGTCTATCATGAACACGCTCGAGTATGGCGTCCCTCAGCCACGGAAACGGCTGGCATTGGTTGCGGCAGCGTAAGTCTCAGTAGCACCTCTAGATGGGGATCGGAGAGAAGAGGAGCTGATGACGTTGCAGACCGGGAATCCCCCTACCAGATTTCCCCAAACCGACTCACGGTGAACTCGGTTCTGGCCTGCCCGGTTTCGTGAGCGTCAGAGAAGCCATCGGAAACATACCAAGGACAACGGCCAATCACGATCCGATGTCCGCAAGACAGATCTTCCGAGAGCCATGGGATCCAAGTTTTCCTTTCAACCGTACCATAATGACCTCAAACTCGGATGTCTACCACTGGAGCGGCCGGAGAAGGTTCACGAACAGAGAGCTCGCTGGAATACAGGGCTTCCCGCATTCGCACAACTTCTTTGGCTCACATAGCCAGATCGAGAAGCAAATTGGTAATGCTGTGCCTCCGTCATGGTTCAAGCTTATCTTGGAGGAATGCGTGAAGGTCCTCCGGAAAGTGGACCGCAAGGAGGGTCGTGGAGCAAGAGATGATGAGAACGGGGGTGAAACTGACATGTCCTCTTCAAGGACGCTTTTGCGCGCGCCGTCGGTGTCTTTTCTAGGACCAACGGGAGGCTCAGCTGAGAATCCCATTGTCATCATCGATGACAATATTATCGATCTTGACTGAATGGTATTCAGACATGGTGGTTGTTTTTCAGAGTCACGAGAATTAGAGGAAGAAAAGTATGGGTTAAAAAAGGGCGGTAAGAGCTGAGACTATGGGCAAAGAGAGCGTGCGAAGAGGGGTTTCATTTTCCTTGCCATAGTAATGTCACCGAGGTTGCGCCATCGCGGCGCACACATGGCCCGCTGATGAGGGGCGGAAAGAGCGGTTGGGTCTGACGTCGGGGATTCTCACGTAGGTGCAGTACAAATGAATGAGCTTGCGGATTGAGTATGACAAAGGAATCGGGATGACAGTTGCGTGCTGCGGTCACCTAGTCATGCGTTCCGGGGGCGTCCATATCTCACGCTTCACTGTCGTCATTGGGACTGGAGACTTGCACAACAGCCGCTGCACCGAGCCTCCTTCCAGTAACCGCGGTGGAGGTGGTCTGTTACCGCGCAGCGTGCCAGCCACGCGTGTTATTGTAGCAGAGCTATAATAGCGCCCGAGGACAGGAGACAGAGCAGCCAATGTAGCGGTGCGCCAGTCTGGGCTTCAGATACGCGTCCGCTCGGGATTGGCAGGAAGGCAGCGTACCTAGGAAAGCGGCCCTGAGCTCCCGGGCGTTCTGGATGACAGCGGACCTGCCTCCCGCACGCATTAAGTCTCCGGCTCGTGCCACAGGCGCGCACTGTGCAACCCTGGGCCCAGGCGGTGGGGAAGGCAATCGCTGATGCGCGCCTTCCCAGCGAGCATCCCAGGATTCGCAGCGAGGTGCCTGACGCAGAGCGGCCATGGTTGGCGCCAGCGTCGGGCACGCGCAGCGCCTCATTCCCAGCGAACCGGCAGCGTCGCCATCATCTGGCGGGCGTGCATCGGGCATTATTACTACGTATTGCCTCGCCGATGAGCGGCGGGGCGGCGGGGTGAAGTGCCGGGCACCAGCTACGTCATCGCCTTCTGCGCATCCATGCCGCCCGTCGCCGCCAGGCCGTCGCAACGCGGCCATCGGCCATCGGCCATCGTGAGCACCTGCTGACCGCACGGTCCCGTACGCCCCAACCGCCGCTTCTGCTTCTGCTCTTGCGCCCTTTCACTAACTGCCCTGCTCACGACATCACTGCGCCGACCGACATCCATTCCCCCATTTCTCCCTCACATCGCCACTCGCTGGATGCTTCTGCACCCCTCACTCACTGCCACCTATCCGCGTCTATGAAGCACTCGATCTGGCGCATGACTGAGGCCTCTCCCGACCATACCCTGCAGGGTCCCTGTGCAAGTTGCAGGGGCTGACCGCCGCCCTTGTGCCCTCACTCGCGCCAGCCGCTTAGCTCCAGATTCCTTGCGCCTATCACCAACCACCCACCCTGACGTACCCGCCGCTTTGCATCATCATATAAACCACACCATCCGTCTTCACCGCCACCTTTCACATTGGCCTACTTCAATCCCAAAATGGCAGGTCTGGCACTCAAGGCGATATCATACGGTGCCGAGCATATTCCGGACAAGCTCTTCGAGGCCATCCCCGGCGGCTACTTCAGATCGCAACAAGAGAAGGAAGCAAAGAAGCGCCGCAAGGAAGAAAAGAAGCGGGAGAAGCGCCGCGCCCAGAGCGAGGGCCGCGGTCGCAGGCAACGCTCGCCTTCGCTGACCGAGTCCGACTACTACTCCTCGGACTACTACTCCGAGGACTCCGACTACGACCGCCGTCGCCGAAACCGCCGCAGCAGTGACACCGGCCGGGGCCGTGACCGTGGCCGCGAGCGTGACCGGGATCGCAAGCATCGCCACCATCATCACAAGGATCGCTCCTGGTCCAGAGGCCTCGATCATCATGATTCGCCGCCTTATGCAGACAGGTCCAAGTCACTGGGTCCTACCCAGGGCTTGCACATCCCTCCTCCTCCGGTGCAGCCTTTCCCGCCCGCTCACCTAGCTGGCGAGAACTACGCTCACCCGCAGCCCTACAACGCGGCTCACAACCACTACGCTGCAAAGCCTTACAACCCGGCCGACTACGTCCCAGGCGCGATGAACGTCTCGGAATACACCAACGGACAGCCTGTGCCAGTGAATACTCAGGCACTTGCGCAGGCTCCAGCTGCGAGTCAACCACCGGTAAAGCAACCCTATGCTATCTCAAAGACGCCTCACTAACATTTGCAGGCCGCTGGTTACTACGGCACCCAGTTCCCGCCACCTCCGTCCGGATCTCGCTCTTCGCGTGGTTCATCAGTCGACTCCCGTGGCCTCCAATCTGGGCCCTACATCCCTCACAGTAACATCCAGGCAATTCCAGTTCCGAATGCCACTGCCGGGGCTCCGGGCCATTCGCCCTACGGAGCCAGGTTCCCATCTGCGGCAAACACTCCTCCGTTCGGCCACACCCCCCCTCAATATCGGCCCCAGAACAGCTCTCCTTACCAGCCCAACTACAGCCCGAGCTATCCCATGCAGCAGCCTCACGGCTATGGCTCTCAGCCAATCTCCCGCCATGGCAGCATCCACAGTGGAAGTCCAAATGTATATGGCGGTCAGGTCGGAGACGGCGCTCGCTCTCATGACCGCCATCGCCGTCATAGCATTCCCACGAATCCCGATAGTCGCATGGCTTACCGCACTCCCTACCGCAGCAGGGCTGGATCTTCCACGACCAGCACAAGCAACAGCGTTCGAGGCAGCAGAGCTGATGCCATCCACGAATTACCCAACCTGAACCAGGGCGATGGAATTGATGACCATGGACAAGCTTTCGCTGTTGCTGCTCCGAGGGAATCAGAGGCCGGTGTTGCCATTGAGGCCGCTTCGGAGGGCGTCAACACAGCCGAAGCTTTGAAGAAGCGTCATCAAACCAGAGCGGGTCGTAGGTCTCACGGCAGTCGTCGGGCTATCAGGAGCGCTCCAGTGGATGGTTACGGCAGCGCCTGAACCCATCCTCATTCTTCTGCCTTCCCTTAGCACCTGCACAGAACTTGAGCGGATTACGATTTTTCTTTTTCTTCCCTTTCTCCTAACCTCATACAAAATTGCTCGGATCTTCTATTAACGCTTCATGCATAGCGATGCGCGGTGAGCACTTCTTCAAGACTGGCATTGCGTAGCTCCACAGCTGCCTCTCTACCCCTTTGACGAACTCATTTCTTTTCCTTCATTCTGTGTACGACTAGCCAATTCCTTTTCTCTGCTTCTTTTTGGCGGCAGCACCTGGACATGACTTTCTGCAATATTTTCGGGTTTCAACATTTTGGGAGGTGAAGCTTCCTTTTCTTTCAATACGAGCAAGAATGAGGGGTATGAGGGTCTATCGATACGAAGTCTAGACTCTAGATGGGGGTGGCGCGGTGTTGTATCTGTTGCTCGTGGCTTGGTGTTCGGTCTGCGTAAGCGGCATGAGAATCATGATTACGACCTTTGACGAGTCTATGACAGTAGACACATTTCATAGATTAACCCATGCTCGAAGTTATGTTTTCTCTTCCTGTGCTTCGTACGAGTCACTGGTGACACCGGGGTCGCGATCTTCAGCATGCCACTGCCACAGTCTCGGCGGGTCATCCACAAACAACCCCCGCACCTGCGCCTCGCTGCTCGCCCTACCCTTGACCACATCATCCGCGTCCCCAAACTCTCGCGGCACTGCTTTGTGGCAATCGAGCCTGATGTCTTCTTCATGTCGGCGGACGTGTCCAAAGCGAGGATGGACACTTTGGTGTGGCGCGTACATGGCGTGAGGCCGGCTGAGGGTTTCGAATAAGTGTTGTTCCCCGGCGAGCTGGAGTATGGGGCTACGAGAGAGCGGGAGATGTCAGGCTGTGGTAAGTAGTCTAGCAGGGCTTCTTCGGAATCATGGTTCTGCCCACCACGATGCTAGCCGTTTCGGGGCTACCAGCTGTGGAGAGCAGTTGAAGGCCCCGGAAATCCTCAAAACCACCGCCCTCGAGAGCCAGCTCATATCGATCGGCCGCCGCCAGAACCGTCCGGCTCACCAGCGCCAACATCTTCTCCTCGCCACATGGGCCCTCGGCAACGGCCATGGCCAGGTCCAAGTGCTTTAAAACCGCAGTCGCACAAGCGATTGTCGTTCCGCACATCAAGCAAGCCAGAAACTTCTTGGCCTCTTGCTCAAAAACCTGCTCGGTGTAATCCAAACTCTTCGAATCCACGACCCCGTGAGATCGGAGCCGTTGTAGAACGGCCGGTGACCCGCCCGAAGATCCTCTGGCCGCGTACTGCCTCAGCGCCGGTTCTGCAAACCGATGGGCGAAGAAGCGATGTAGTAAGTCTTTTTCACTTTGCAATGCCCTACCAGACCCGACGAAGGGGCCAGAAGGCGCCGACAAGACCACATGTCGCACGAGGTCGACGCCGCTCTCGCTGACTTCCACAAGATCCTCCAACGCCGCCAGGTCATGGATCTCGAGCAGCCTGAGCACCACCGCTTTGCGAAGGCGGCTCGGCTGCGCGTCCACCCCGGAAGTCGAAACCTCAGCAGTCGAGCGCTCCTCCGCTGGGCGTGTACTACTGCCCACGTGCACGATGGAATCGTAAGCTTCGGATATGCTGGCCGGGCTTTCCGGTATCCACGGCTTGTCGGAGTCCGAGGCCATGGTCGTCATCATGCTCCTTGGTATTTTCGGCAGGATACCCGCGGAACCGCGGCCTCGACCGCTTTTGATCCGGACCTGCTCGCAGGCGTCCTCCAGCAGCTGGTGGAACGACAGGTTTCGCACGTTAAGCGGCACGCGGTATCCGTCAATGTCGGGGAACACGGCCAAGACGTAGTCCCGGGCCTTGGATGTCCTGCGGTTGCTTTTCCAGGCGTCGCGGATCGGCATGTAGCTGCTGGCTGCGGGGCCGGCGTGGCCGCTGTAGTTGGTGACGTCCACGCGGTGCTTGTACATCAGGTCGAAGTAGAAGCATTCGGAGGCGATGCCACCGTCGTCCGGGATTCCGTGGTATGCTAGCTTGTCGGCTATGAAAGTAGCGACTTCGTCGCGTTTGGCGACGGCCTGCTGTTCGGACAGCCAGCGGTCTCCGTCATGAGGCGCCGCTGGGGCGGTCGAAAACCGGGCGCACGCAACCTCGTTGAGGATGATCATGCGGAGTTTCATCGCATAGAGCCCTTCTTGTCGTGTCCACAGCCGGTCGAACCATGGGTCCATGAGGACGAGGTTGGGGCACTTTCGCGCGTGGGCTGCTTCCTCGATGCCGAAGACGTCCGTGTCGAGAACGCTCTGTTCCGCGACGTCGGTCGCCTGTTCTATCCAGGAACTGCATACAGGCGATTCTATGAGAATGACGACGACGGAGCTGGACCTGTAGATTGCTGGGATGGCCATGAGCTGAGCTGAGATCGGGATGGGCGAGCTCGGACTTTGATCGATGCAGAAGAGATCGAGCCAAAACCACCCGGCGCCGCATATGTCGGGTCGGCGAAGAATGTGCAGGAGGTCTTTTTTTCCCGGGCTGAGCTTCACAGGCCCTACTCCGTCGATGTGCACAGTGTTGATCGTAGACGGGTCCCCCCACACGTGGGAGATGGCGACGTACGATTCCGCGGTGATCAAAGCCTGCTTCCGTTCGACGTATAAACTCTTGTCGTCTCGCTCGCGCACGCGAGCCAGATAGAGTTCCATTTTGAATGTACTGCGATGCGAAACCCCGCACCGCGGGTATAGGAAGCCGCTGTGGGATTTGACACCGGTTGGTGTTCTTGCGGCAGAATTTGTGCGCAGTGGGGGCTCAGTGTCGAAGAGATATCTTATGCCGCGACTTCAGGTGAGAGTCTATTGACTGACGTGGCTGCGGGGCCTGCTGGCCCTCGGAGTGGGGTCCGTCGCTGCAAAACAATGCTTATACGCCACTCTACCTGAATTGTAAAGGTATCGTAGGGATATATATTTGATATTTCCTTCTTGCGTTTCACGTGCGGAGTACAACCATGGGTCGTTGCAGTCGAGGGGCAGTCAACAGCCTGTGGACTTGTAGTCATTAGCTCTATTTGCGATTGTTTCTTTCACATACGACCATAGGTCGCAGAATATAGGGCTTCCCGTCCGCTCAGCCGTACTCAAGCTGCGAACCGGCCGATTAGTACTCAAGTGGGTGACCATTGGGGAATCCCGGCTGTTGTATGTTTTGTTTTTGCTCCCACATTTCGTTTTCTTTTGACCGCCTCGTGGGCCGCGCTAGTAGCGGTCGCTCTCGGTTCGGGCGGGACACTCAGCAGCACTATAGGCAAGCAACGTTGCCTAGCTGTTGGGGCCCCACCTGTTTGCTGCTCCGTTGAAGCAGTTTCCGATTGATTTTTGGCAAAGACCAACTAGCGGTTGGGAGATTAAGGCAGATCACGTATTTGCACAGATTGCTGTCTCAGCATTCCGTTACAGGGCGTAGCAGTGCATGGTCAGGCAGAGGAGTTTGGGTGGAGTGAAACTCGGAAACTTGATCGAACAATAGGTTTGGAAAACGCTCGCCGCCAGCCAACATCCCCGCCAACCCATCGGCAGCCGGACGCAGCGCTATCAATTTTCACCCGTCCCAGAGCACCACACCGATTTCTCTAACCCGCTTTCTTTCTTCTTTGGACGGCTCCTCCTCTCCATCTAGCACCTCATCAGCCCGTCCCTTCACATCGGAATTGAGAATTCCAGACAGCAACAAGCAGCCTTTCTACCAAAACCGAGCAGCCAACTCTTCAGCGAGATCCTCCAACCGGGATGAAGAGTACCATTCCCCCTTCTGTCTGGCCTCCAGGTCCGACGGCCGCTGCCGCGTCGTCCGCCGGCACGAATCGAAATAGCAGCATCCGGCCGAGTGAGTCAACCGCAACCGCTCGAACAGCGAACAACGAACGAACATCGGCACCAACCAGCCCCATGCCGGCGACGAGAAGTCGAGACCGTCGCTCCGTTCCGCCGGCCTCAAGCTTTCGGCATCTTGTTTGAAGGCGGCGAGGGCCGGGACGCAAAGGCCGGCGCAGCAAGGGGCATTCGTCGTGGTCTTGTCCGCTACGGGACAGGTAGATGTCCCAGAATTTGTCGAGCAGTTTGCTGGCGTGGTGGAAGGAATCGTCGGGTGGTAGTGGTTGTGAATTGTACCAGGATGTGTTGTGCATGAATGTGTGGAGGTTGATTTGTGACGTCGTGACACCTTTACTTGTCACCCACAGCAACAGGTCGACGCTGTCTTGAAGGATGTGGTAGGCATACCGTTTGTTGAAGTCGATGTTCCCGGTGTCAGATCGGAAGCCGGCGTCGTAGATCAAATTGGCCGCAAATGCATTTGGAGCAACGAGTTGGCTGAAAAATGAGATGGGGCCTGATTCGGGGTTGAAGTACGAGAAATCGAGGCTGTTGGGGATCGAAACCGAAGCGTTTTTCATGGCCATGTACGTTTCGTAGATCGAGGGAATGTCCAGGAGGGCACTGGCTTGACATCCAAGATTTTCGAGTTCTGCACGGCCAGTCGGAGGCTGAATGAAGTACGGTGTGCCTCAGCAAAGTGCGGTGAAACAACGCAGAAGGATCCTTGTCAAGAATCATGTGGACATCCGACAAAGACTTGCGAAGTATTGCACAGTGAAGATCATTGAGCCCACAATCTACGGAGCATTAGTCAATGGGAGCTAGTACGAGACGTCTACCATGCTTTGTACCCCCAAAAAATTAGAAAAGAGAAAAAACATATACGAACCTTTAGCAAGGTCGTGATCGTATTGAAACAGACGGTACAGGAAAGCTGATAAGCCCTCAAAGGCTTCGTACCATACAGTTTGTTTGGAGAAGATGTGTTGTAGATCCTCCTCAAACTGGCAAATGGAATTCGGATGGCTTATGAGACCTTTTCGAAGACCTTTGTACAGCGGGACCTCATGTGGGCGTTCCAGATAGAGTATTTTCTCCATCAAGATAAACGAAGCAGTTCTGTTACGTGTTAGAACGATCGGCGGAGATATGGTTGCTAAAACGGGCACACTCACTCTCCATGCCTGCCCATTTCGCCTACTGGCACTCCAGCCGCTACGAGGCCCATTACCAGCTCTTCCATAGCCAATGAATATTGCCTGTGAGTAGCGACACTCTTGGAATAGTCGAAATTAGGTTCATGGTACTTCAGTGCACGCTGTATTTGATTAGCAAATGTTTTTTGTCAGATATAAGGCCCTCAGCCAGTACTGAAAAATGTACGGCGTCGTACCTTTTTTCAAGTCCGACATTTTTCATCCGGATTACTTCAGCCCTACATGGAGCAGTGTGTTACCATCGGCATCGACGTCGGTGGGTGCGCCTCTCCCATCTCTAAACATCTCAAGAATCGATTGCCGAATTTGTCTGACAAAAATCCCAGGCTCACTTTCTGAAAACGCATGAAGAAGACGATGAGTTTGTTTGAACGTAGGGTGATCACGTGGCACAACAGCCTTGAATTGTAGGCAGGGGCTTATTGAAAATGTCCCAAGGGCTTTGTTGTAATTCAGAGCTGCGTTGACATTCCACGATCTTGAACAAGTTCCAGATCTGAACTTGAATCCAATCGATTCGTCGAGGGACTCAGGACCGCGATACGGACACTCTTGGGAATGGCACATCATTGTTTTGCTTTCTCGGAGGAGAATGAGAGGTCCAGCTCGGTATACAGAACGTCGTAGTCTCACACGTTGTTTACATGAACAGAGAGACCAGCTGTGTTGCCGACTCGAAGTGTTCCGGTTCATTGGGGGCCGGATTTGAATTTTGTTTGCGTGGTGGGTGGCTCGGCGGCAGAATTGGCGGTCGCGTCTGAGAGTCTGGCGGATATTCCTTACTTCTCCAGTCCATTTCCTAGCACCATACCACTCCTCAACATACACATCCATACGTACAGATACAAATACAGAAGCAAGAGAGAAGTAATGCATGGTATCAACTCTAACAACCCCAAATCTGATAGAAGCCCTCCCCCAGGTGCAAAGACAGACAAACAACGCCAACGCTATGCGAAACCCAGACCGAAGCCAGCCACCCTACTAATCATCCGCCTATCTCTGGCAAAAAAGGAAAAAGGACATGAGACCCTCTCTATATGCCGCCGTGAAGAACAGACCAGAACAGGACGGGAAACTTTTTCATGAGTAGCGAGCACCCCCGCCATTCGTAATGTATGGTGGGAAACGTGTATGTATGTTGGGAATGAGACGAGTTGAGATGAGATGAGATGAGATGAGAGCACATATCCTCCCCGTCTGAACGAGGGAGGGAAAAGGAGAGAGAGAAGAACCCAGGGTCGAGCGATTAGCGCGGAAGGAACCAATCAAGTGGAAGAAGAAGGCGCAGGCCCCGTCGACTCCACGCCGTTCGCGTTCGCGTTCGACGACGACTGCTGCCCATGACCATGCCTATGCAACGACGACCTCCTCGCCGCCTGCAACTCCGCATTCACGCCCAGCGCCTGCTGCGCATGCATCTCCTTCAGCTTCTTCAGCTTTTCCACCCTCTTGACATCGCCCGCGCCAAACGCCGCCGACGCCGTCGACCCCGAGGCTGTCACGCCCGCCGCGGCAGCGCCGACGGGAGGTACCCTCGGGGGCATAGGAGTGTTGGGCGACGACGACGAGAGAAGCGCCTGCGGGCCGAGCTCGCGCCAGGACGAGCGGCGGGTGCCGTGCTCGCCCCACATGGAGACGCGCTGGACGCGACGCAGGCGGCCCAGGCCGAGGTAGCTGGTGAGGAGCGTGGCGATGGCGCACCAGCCGCTGACGCCCCAGAAGCCGAGGTCGGATTCTTCGATGAAGTTCTTCAAGTTCATGCCGTAGAGGGCGGCAACGAAGGTGCCGGCGGCTATGCCAACGGTCCAGACGGAGAATTTGAGGTCCAGGAGCATGAGAGAGTTGCGATTGGCGTCGAGGATGGCTTTGACACTGTAAGGGTGCGGGTTAGTTGGTGAGGTCGCTCGGAGGAGGGGTGTTGGAGGGGTTCTTACATTTCCTCGGTGTTGCGAATGTTCGAGACCAGGTTCTCGGCGGATTGTACGATCTCGTCGGCGATCTTGTGGTACGATTCCAGCAGCAGTTCGACTTCGGCGTGGTCGTGCTCGCCGCGCTCCTCGCCGGTTACCTTTTCTGTGAGATACATAGACGCAAGGTCGTCGTCGGCCTCAAGGAGCTCTTCCAAAGCGTCTCTCACGAGACGGGCCTGCTGTTCGAAGGAACCGAGTTTTTTGGAATAGACGAGCAGGTATCGCAGCTTGTCGCGGTCGATGTCCTCCTCCAATTCCCGTAGGACGCGTACAACGGGCTCGCGTACGCCCTCAAATTCGCTTTCCAGACCAGTTGTCACGCTAAGAAGAACGGCTTCCAAAGCGCGGAATTCATAGGGCAGAGAGCCGTTTTGACGCAAGTCTTTCTGCCTCAAGCGTCCTTCCAGATCGTACATGAACAGCGATTGAGCGTACGAATTGGTAGTTCCGTACGCATCGAATACGAGCACGCGGTTGTGCTTGATCAGAACGCGCAGATGAAGGAGGTTCAACAGGATCGCGGACGGACGGACGAGGATGTGCGGGAGCGTGGAGGAATCGATTTTTCGCAGGTCTCGAGGAAGAAGTCCGTACTGGTAGCTGTCAGCAACACTCTTTCTTAGCGGCGCATGTCCAGAGCATACCTTTGCAATCAGTTCGCTCTTCCTGAATTCACTGTTCACAAGTGTAATGTTTCCGTTGTCATCGAATTCGGTGCACCTAATGCGTGGTTCGTTGATCGGGCGTAGAACCCGGCCCAGATTGCCGTGTTCATCCGGAGCATAGGCTTCGGGATGACGGGGGGGTAAGTCATTGGGCTGAAGAGGACCAGCGCCAGACTTGCGCTGTTGCTTTTTCCAGAAGAAATCGGCGGAAGATGTATTCGTGAATGCGCGATGCGGAGCGAAGCAATCGGCTTGCTTTTTCCGGGGTACGAGGGACAACGGCTCCGCCGACGACAGGAAAGTTGGGCATGACGCAGTCGACGGACGAGAAAGCGCTTTGTGGAATGCACGAGCGGAGTTTGCTGTTTGAAGCGGGCGCGCTGAGGGCTGGTGGATGTTTGTCGCGGCGAGCGAAGAGTCGAGACGTGCATGAGAAACGGAGGCGCAGCGCGGCGGCGCAAAAGAGGTGGCGGTTGGCAGCCTCGACAGAGTGGATTGAGCCCTTAGGAAGCGCAGAAGGGCTGGCGAAGGAACAGCCGCATGTCGAAGAGAGACTGGAGGCATCTCTGTGTAGTGTGCGGCTTCACCCAGCAGCCATTCGGGTCGAGGTTGGACGGGCGCGCTGTAGGACCTGATCAAAAGAAAATCGCGCCGCCGGAAGCTCAGAAGCAGAATGACGCTTCCCGAACGGTCCGTGCGCGAAATCACGTGCTGTGTGCCTGGACCTGGGATTTCTTCATGCATCGCATCTGTATTATTGCAAACCCTTGAAAACTAGTCTTGAAACGACGGGTATCTAATAATTCCTGGGGACTCCGTAGTACACCGTTTCTGCGCCATCCAAATGAGATCCTTTGGTCAGGCAACTATTCCTCTGCGTCCGCTGCAGCCTGGGCTTCAGCCACTAGTTCTTCCTTGTTACTTGCAGCTGCCCTCAATTGATCCATTAACCAGCGGCCTTTCTTTTTATCGCGGGCCCGCTCAGCCCAGTTCCATAGCATCGGATCAAAGTACTCGATCTCGCTGCGCAAGCTCCAAGTGAGCATGCTCTCCACCAAGTCCTCATTGCAGCCACCATCAATGACCGCGCGCCGGAGCAGGCTCTGAGGTATCTGAGTATCCGAAGCAATAGCAATACAGATAAGCCATTTCGCAATTTCAACGTTCTCCGACTCCTTGTCCCTGGCGACGCCCATAAGACCCTCGATGAGAGTTTCGGACGAAGTCGAGCTGTCGTGATCGATGCCAAGGTTCTGAATGAAGAGAAATCGAAGCATCAGGTGTTTCTCATAGTCCCATGGACCCTTGAGAAGCTTTGCCGGCAGCGGTGTTTTCTCGTGCAACTTCAGGAAGGGAGGGATCTCCTCGGCAAGCTCACATCCAAGGTTGAAGCGGTCCAACACGTCGAAGTCGGAGTCGCGCCGCACCAGTTCTTCCAGAGTAGCTTCGGGCTCCTGCTCTTGCAGCCACGGCCACGCGCCGAACTTCTCACATGCTTTGGCGGCATATTGCTTGTAGAAATCCCAATCGAAAAAGCGCAGCGAGAGCAGCTTGCCCTGCATTTCCGGAAGGTCGGCACTCTCTGTCCGCTCCTCATCGTCCGGCCAATAGAGAGCGCGCAGCGAGAACTCGAGCTTGATGTGGTCGCTGTTCAGCTTGTGGAGCAGTTCGATGCTTGCGATGGGAAGGCTCATGTTCATGCTCTCGAGGAAAATCTGCTGCAGCACCTCAGCTGGCAAGCGCTCCAACGGCGATAACTTCCTCCAGTATGAGGACCTCCGCTTCTTCTTCTTTATCAAGGGCGTTTGGGTGCCGTCAGGTAGAGTCGACAGCTGGGTCTCTGTCTGCGTCTGCGTCTGCGATTGCGAGGCCGAAGCTTGGAAGTGCTCAGGCCATGGAAGTGGTAGGTCCCACTTAGTGACTGGCCTGGCGGGGATCTCTTTGCCTGGAGGTAGTATCTCCCTATCTGGGTGCCATTGTTGCTGTAGCTTGACGTATTTCGGCTTCCACGCGCGAACCGGAGACAACGGACGGGTGCGCGGTCGGCCTGGGCGACGCTTCTTGGCTGTGGGTGCATCTGGCGGTGGATCGGACCGCGCTTTTCGTTTGCCTCGGATGCGCACCGCGGTGAGCTCCATGGAGGGCACGGAGCGAGAGTGTCGCGGTGTTCGCGACAGTGACGTTGTGGAGATAAGAGGCCGGTGTTAAGCGCAGACTTTGGCGCCACCGAAAATTTTGGCTCGGGGGTCCGCACGGGAAGGTTTGCCGACTGCATTCTCTGGCATCTCAGTAGCATTGCATTTTCAAGTATTACCAGTGGCTGAAGTCAAGAGAATAATCATGTGTAGAGATCTGGAAGCTGTCTTCGAGCCATGTCCGTTCCAAGAGATGGCTGCTTGCTAGGCATCGTCTTTGTCGGCCACGACTTTTGTCAATTCACATCTAAAGATGGCGCCGGCCGCTGCCTCTTCAGTTTTCAGCGTCTTCATCACGTCTTGCACGCCAGCTGACGGCTTTAGCTTCGCAGCAACATTTGCCCTGACCCGTCTTTTATTGTTGATACTGAAGGATCGCGGCCAACCGGGCTTCAAAGAGCATGGGAAATACGCCAGAAACCCAGGTCGATGCTACCACCGTTGAAAATGGGAAGAAGGCCTTCCAGCCGCGCGACATTACACACGAGCCCTCCACATTCTCTCTCCCGGACGAATCGTGGACTTCCATGTTCGAAACGGCATGTGCTTTTGAGCCGGAATATTACCAGCGCGTCATGCTGAACCTCATTCGTCACCCGGAGATTGCATCAACCTACCTTTTTCGCGCCGAAATCTTCTATGATAGCTTCAACGACCCAGAGGGAAAATTCGTCAAACATATCAAGGCCGATTACCAACCACTCCCATGTCACGTACCAGGCTACCAATTAGAACAGACCATCGTGCGGCGTATGATCCCGCGCAATCCACAGCGTGACAACCCTCTGGTTCAAACCTGCCACGTCTTCCAGAAGAGAGACGACGCCGGCTCTGTAAGGAATCTTGTAGTCTACATCCCCCACGCCCAGTCCGCATCCGAAGTTCCCTTCTACCACCCCACCGTCGCCGCCCTCGCTTTCCTCCATACCTGGCCGTCATCCCACCCCACTCCAAATCCCTCCCCCAACGCCTCCCCAACAACCCTCGGCCAGTTCTCCATCCACTACCGCCTCTTCCCCACGCACCCGCTGGACAACCGCCTCACTCGCACCGCGCTCAGCCTCCTCACCCTCATCAACAAGCACAGCCTCGGCCAGAAGGCCGGCTACACTAAACGCGTCCACCACGACCAAGTCATCCCGCAAGCCCGCTTCCAGGACACCTACACCCGGCTGAAGACGGTATACGCCAAGAACTTGATCGACGGCTGGGTCGAGCAGACGCCGCCGGGCAAGCATGTCTTCGAGGATCTGGGTATCGCAGCATTCCTGCTCGAGCTGTGGCGTGACATGTACGCCACTCCCATCGCCAACGACGCCAGCGGCGCAGGCAAGGAGAAGAGAGAAAGTGACGAGCAGCATCCGGCACAAAGCAAAGACGACAAAGAAGCGGCGAGCATCAAACCCCCCTTCCCGGGCTTCGTCGACATCGGCTGCGGCAACGGCGTGCTCGTGCACGTCCTGCGCAGCGAAGGCTACCCCGGCTGGGGCTTCGACGCCCGCCGCCGCAAGACGTGGGACACGTTCCCGCCCGCCGTCCGCGACGACCTGAAGGAGATGGTTCTCGTGCCCGAGTCCTTCACGCGTGCTGCTGGTGCCGCCACCTCTGCCGCCGCTGACGCCGCGACCACCCCCCTCGCGGACCTCAAGCTCTCAGACGACAACGCTACCGCTGGCGCCCCCGCCTCCTTCTTCCACAACGGCATCTTCCCTCCGGGCACCTTCATCATCTCCAACCACGCCGACGAACTCACCCCGTGGACGCCCCTCCTCGCTTTCCTCTCCTGCTCGCCCTTCATCGCCATTCCCTGCTGCAGCCACAACTTCGCCGGCGCGAAGTTCCGCGCGCCGGTACAAAAATCCGCCTCCGATAGAAAGGAGAAGGAGAAGGCGAAAGAAAAGAGGGAGGAAGAAAGAGGCGGTGCAACAGGCTCGCTCGCCGCCGGTAATAAGAAAGGCAACGGTGGGAAAAACCAGCAGCCCTCCGCGTATGCGACGCTGTGCGACTGGGTCGCGCGGTTGGCGGAGGATGTGGGGTTTGTCCCCGAGAAGGAGATGTTGAGGATTCCGTCGACGCGGAATGCGGGGATTATTGGGAGGAGGAGGAGGGGGGAGAGGCGTGGGGACGATGAGGGCGAGACGCAGCTGGATGATAGGCTGGAGGTTGTCCGGAAGCTGTTGGTCAAGGAGATGGGCGGGAACGTGGATGGGGCCGGGGGGTTGGAAGGTGTTGGGAGGGAGTGGGTGGAGAGGGCGGGGAAGTTGGTGAAGGGGCAGGGTGGTGGGCATTGAGTGGGAGGGTGTTGATGGGTGTGTGGTGTGAGAAGCGATGATTGGACATTCCCATCTTAATCGGCGAGGAAAGGCTTTGCAGTGAGTAATCAAGCACTTCTCTTTAGCCCGTCCGCAATGGACGTTCGACTTTCAGTATGTTGATTATGACCGGGACAGGGTAGAAAACAACTGGGTTTGACACATTACGGAGCCACTCAAAAAGCGAAGATAACCTTGATGAAGGACGACAGCTGCAAGGCAATCATTCAGATGCTACGTGACAGACTGCCCTGGCTTGCAGCGTGGCTGCAAGAAAAATGGGGCCAAACAGGATGTCAGCCAGCCTTTCGGTTGATTATGAAGCAGCCACACCTCACTTCTGGACCCATCCCGGACCAACCGCTGTAAGAGATGACCAGCACTATATTTTTTGTTGCTGCTGCCTCGTCGACCCCGCCTTCTGCCTAATTTCAGCTCTTGTAATTGGTTACTCAGTGGGCAGGCTGAGGCTCAATGCGGCGAACCAGAAAAATCCCCCGGCTTTTATGACAGCTCATATATGCTTTGCGCTCAGCACCCGATGGTCAGCGCATGGAACCTTGCTTTTCCGACACGATTGTTCATTGCTACAGTAACCTGATTGGTAGCTTGCCGTTCAGCCTCACGTTTTCTCCAGCGCAACATTTGCCCGTGTGGAGCTGAAGCAGCAGTGGCGAGCTGAGATCTTCAGCCGTTCTGCTTTCCAGTTCTCTCTCGGTTGCTTATATGTATTGCGCCTGCTGCATGTGTTTGCTAGAGTGTTGGGCCTACCTCCAAAACATCAGATATGGCCGCTGAGCAGGGTCGGACGGCTGATCCGGACTTGGTCCGGCTTTGGCATGATGCCATCGAAGACTTCAAGGGGAAGGCTCAGGCATCGAAAGACTGGGATGTTTTGAAGACGATCATCGACACTCAGAAGCATCGTAGCTGGGTAGACATCAAACAGGATCCTGAGAGCTGGAAGAATACGTTTGAGAAGAAACGGCATCCACAGGATCGTCTATCCCGATTCCGAACAGCGACGAACAACATCTTCTCAAGCCTTGAAAAATTCGTCGGCGTCTTTGGTTTCGCTGTCGAGGTCACAGCTGCAGTGAGTTAACAGCGATCGACCGCTCATTATTTTTCTCTTCCTTTATTGACAATAGCAACCAGGCTATTCCCCAGGCAGCGCCGGCTTCCTTCATCATTCAAGCTTTTTCAGCCATCATGGAGTCATTCAGCCGGGTTAGCGATGCCTTCGACAATTTCATGTCATTTTGTGAGAGCATGAGCGACACTTTCTGTCACCTTGGGGAACTCGAAGGACAACTCAGTGAGAAACCAGTCCTCTCAACAGACATTGTGCAAGTGTTCCGATCCACACTTCAGCTCTGTGCCGTAGCTATTCAGAAGCCAGACAAACGGATCAGTAAGTACTTGTTCTGCATACATTCAGCTGGCAAAGTTGCTGAAGTTCCCCACACAGAAATATGGTACAAAAGTACCTTCAAGGGGGGCGATAAGGAATTAGATGCAGCCTTCGAAGGCATCAAAAAGTCAATTAATCGTCTGGACCTTGGGTTGCGCGTTGCCTCATACGTTACCCTCCAGGAACTCAAGAAGATGCACGCAAACGGATCGGTGGAGATGAACAAGACTCTCAAAGCAATTCAATTGAACGTTGACGAGTCTGACAAATACGACAAGAAGCAGCTCGCAGAAATCTCGCAATACTTGGCAACCATCGACCAGGGCTCTATGCGCACTGAGAAGCAGCTTTCAGTGATCATACAACAGCTACAACGCACCGCAAATCCAGCTCGGGGTGTTCAAGAGAGCGGCAGAAAAACCAAGAAAAATCTGGCAACCAGAAAAGATCAAGTAATCGCCGCGCTTGAAGAGGAACTATCCTCGCTCGATCTAACAGAATACATCCAAGACCAGGAGGAATGGCTTTTCGCTCCATCCTGCGACTGGTTTCACGACCGTGATGAGTACAAGCAGTGGTGCAAAGACCCCGAAGCCCGCATTTTGTGGGTTACGGGAAAGCCAGGCTGTGGCAAGACCTTCTTAGCTCTGTCGACCTTGAAGAGGCTTGAAGGGCAGAACGAGAGTGTTGGCTACTTCTTTTTCCGGGAGGACAGAGTAAGACAACGTGAGCTTGATTCTGCACTCGGAACAATGGCAGTTCAAATAGCGAAATCCGACACCTACTACTCCCGAAAGATCAGCGCAGACCTGAAGAAAGATGGGAATCCGAAAGCCAATGGCCAGGGCAGCGCCGACTTGTGGAAACGACTTTTCGCCAATCAATTCACCGAAGAGATGACGGATCCCGTGTTCCTAATCTTCGACGGCATTGACGAGGCGAGCAAAGATTCTCAAGAAGCGCTATGCAGTATACTTGCAAAGATTGCTGAGGGGACTACACGAGTCCATGTTCTGGTTACCGGGCAGGATGCCTCAATCCCTGTTCAGGCAGAGCCTGGAACAAAGGTTGTCGACATGTCCGGTTCTGGTCTCAAGAAAGCTTACCGCTTGCTGTGCTCGGAACGCATTGGCAAGAGTATGCGACGGCTGAAGAAATTCAGCAAACCCACGAAGCGGAAGATAGCCAAAGTGTTATCGGAGAATGCGGATGGTAAGTCTCGAAGAGGTACCCAAAATATAAAGACTAATTGAAGCTAGGAATGCTCTATATTGAGAACATGCTCTGCAGACTGGAAGCAATCGGGCTTGAAAAACCAGTCCTTGACGAGATCAGCACCCAGGTCCCCGAGGACATACATCAAGTATACGAGCTGATGCTTCGCGATTGTCGCAAGGGACGAAATGAAGATCAGGCGAAAGCGCTGCAAGACGTGTTTGCTTGGCTCGCGTTTGCAAGACAGAGAATGACCCTGCAACAAGCGGCAGCCATTGCCCAACTTTCGCTACAGGACAAAAGTTCCCATCTCGTCATCGAGCATGAGATCGTAGGGAAGCTTTCTGAGTAAGTCTTCCTATTGAGCCAACTCTTTGAAACAATCTGATTTGGAGCGAAGCATTCTTGAAATTGTGCGATCTGAAGACACCATCCAGAAGAGCTTTGATGACCAGGAGACACCTGATGTTGAGGACGGTGGCCATGCGTCAGATGAATCAGAAGAACTTCTCACCTTAGCTGATGATTTCAAGCGACCAATCCAATTTCAAGAGAGGAGCTTGCGGGATTTCTTCAAAAACGTGCCAGATGGAGAAAAAAAACTTCGACAGACACCATATGCAGCACACCTCACTATCTTTTTGATGTGTGCAAAAATAATCACCAGACCGCAGTCCGCCGAGGAGGAAGATTCATCGACTCCCGATGCGCAGCTGGAAGCGTATGCATCCGACTTCTTTGCAGAACACCTGACCGAGATCAGCCCAGGAGGACGTAACAGTATGCACAAGATCCCAACGCAAGACAGAAAGGACGTGGTCGAAGCTCTTGCAGGTATTATGACCAACAAGAACAATGTCTGCGCTCGGCTTGAGAGACATGCTCAGAGGGTGTTCTCGAAAATCTCGAAAGACGGTGACTGGCGCTCTACTGTGCGCGAATGGGCTGACATTCCATCGGAAAGTTTTCATGACTACGGTTTGTCCGAAGAAGCAGCTCGATGGGTCTCATCTGTCAAAGCCGAGCACAGCCTTGGAGAAATGATGATTCCACTGGCCAAGGGACATGCGGAAAATCTCATGAGAGAGTCAAACCCTTGGCAAGCCCAGGAAATCTACAGATTCGCTGCCGACGCATTTCTTTTGGTATGTACGCCTGAATGGCCGTTGGACAACTCGCCACTGAACTATTTTGCAGACCAACATGTGCACTGAAGCCATGAGGGATGAATCTTACGATATCAACTCCAAAGATTCTGTCGATGCTATCCTCAAGAGCCTCTTCAATACCATAACCGTTGATGATGAAGGATTGGCGAATCGCGCTATCGGCATGATTCAGTACATTCTTGACCACGCCGATGCAGATGTGTTGCTCAGGGCCGTCGAAGGGTGCAAGAAGAGGTTTGACAAATCTTCTTGCTCCATGGTTCTGGCATACATAAGCTTTCTCGAGAACCGTTACACGGAAGGGATGAAGCACGCCGAGCGGGCTCTCGAATTCCTGCAACAAGCCGAACAAGAGGATGTCTCCGCACCCGCTCTGAGAAGCCGGAAAAGCAGTGCTCTTGTGGGCATCGCAGTAATGAAAGCCCGGCTGGTCAGCGATGGAGGAGATACAGAACTACTCAAAGCAGTGGTTGACTGTCTGCATGATGCTTTTGACGTGTCTGAAGAATATGCGTATCCGGAAGCGCTGTCCCTTCTGATTTCAAGTGCAACAGTGCTCAACGGGGTTGAGAAATTGACAGAAGAGTTTGGAAAATGGCCAGAGAAACATCAAAGAATGTGGCTTGATGGTGCCTTTGAAGAACAACACCAAGGAAAGCTGGACATGTTCAAGGAGGGTGCCGTTCTCTCTGGAAGAACAGATCTGATCACCCACTGGTACAAAAGACTCTGCAAGGCTCCTCGCGAGGATCCACAGACCAAAGCATGGGCAGTCTACGAGTTGATCAACACCTACAGGTTCACTCTAAACCAGCGTGACAACGCCGAACGCGAGCTAGATCTCCTCCTTCGAGCTGCCAATTCGCCCTCCCTTAGCTCGTGGTTTCACATGGCCCAACGGGATAAAGCTGACATACTCTATGATAAGTTTCGGCACAGCAATACCGTGAAAGAGAAGGAAGAGTATCTGGAGAAGATGAGAAAGCTTCTGAAATCAGAGGACAACGACAAAAGCTTCGGGCTTTATGATTCTCTCGCCTCTATCCAGCATGCCCGAATGGTGCGAGTGGTCGGAAAGCCGGCGGAGTACATTGACGTGCTGAAGCGCACATTCGACACTTGCGTCGACTCATTGGAGGACGAAATCTTGGACAACGACGGCAGTAGCTTCCGGCTCTTGGCCAAAACCCTGACTTGCCTACCTGATATGAAGCAACAAGCCAAGGTTGCATTGTCATTGCAGTTTTCGATGGTCGACACCAATCTCACGAAACTGTCGAATGAGGAGGGTCGGGGCCACGATGTAGAGGACGGCGATGCAGAATGCGATGAGAATCAGGAGCATTCTCAGGAAAGCGGTTCCGAGCCTCAGGACGAGCTGTCCAAAGTTTCCGAAGAGAGCGATGTTTACTTCTTGGAAATGGATAGGCAGTTCGCCGGAGAGCCGACCGAGGAAGACCTGAGCAAATTCTCAATCTACTGTGACGGCTGCGCCGTGGGGATCGGCTGGTGGGAAAAGCCCATGTATCTGTGTTTAATCTGCACGGACTGCGACTTATGCTCCAGGTGTCTCAAGCGGCTAAAGGAAGCAGGGGATGATCGCCCAGAGGGGTCATGGCACTATTTCTGTGGCAAGGACCATAAGTACATTCGGGGCCCTATGGATGGCTGGAAGGGCGTGAAAGACGGGGAGATTCATTTCGGCGACGAATCTCTTGGGTTCAAGGACTGGCTGAAGAGGTTGAAAAGTGAATGGGCGAGAGCATGCGAGAGGTTCTTGGCTGCCGATTCCTTTGTTCATGACATTTTCTGAGTTTCTTTATTTCTTCGTGTCTTTTCTGGAGAGACTCTATCACGGCCGCTATCATACTTCAACCAACCTCTGCTGTGCTTGTCTGATGGCGTCAAAGCTTGCTGAACCCATGCGGGTCTCAGCCTTGGGTGAGAAGTACAAGGGAGGTACGTCAAGCGACCAACGTCCTTGCATGACATGAAACATGCGACAAGGGATTGGGGGATCCCTGCGGCATGCTGCAGGTGTGACTGGTAGAGCGAGAAAAAGCAAGATACAACAACACCAAGCAAACGCACGGGTGTGGAGCTATCACAAACGCCAGAAACAAGCAGTTGGATGAGCGGTGAAAAGAGCATATAAATTAGACAAGATGGCCGGAGCGGGACCATGGGGAAAGACAATCTCCGGGTGTTCTTTTGGTGATGACGTTGGCAGTGAGATGCACTCCACCCACACCACTCACTTATCGTCAGATACTGCGTGTATACACATGAATGGTGACTGCTGGACTCCAGGTGAGACACGTCATCGCACACTACAGGTGATCAGTCACAAACCCGCCTGACTGGTAAAAGAGTGGACGACGAGGCTGAGAGTGGCCTGTTCGCCCAGCCTTGCTCAGGAAGTTTGGGCCTCAGGCTCCCACTGACTCACGCGGCTTGTCCTAGGTAGTTGCACAGCGCCCGCCAGCCTTTCATCCTCTCCACACCCCGCTCTCGCCACCAGACGAAGCAAACCCATCCAATTCTTTCCTCAACCTTGTCCTGCTGCTTGTACCCATCTCCCATCTATCAGTTTCGGACACCATGTCGGCCAGAGGCGGTAGAGGTGGCGACCGCGGAGGAGCCCCGCGCGGTGGACGCGGTCGCGGAGGATTTCCCGCCCAGGGCGACCGAGGAGGAGCCCCCGCCCGCGGAGGCTACGGCGGCCCGCCCTATCGCGGCGGAGGAGGCGGCGGCGGCGACCGGGGCGGCTTCCGTGGCGGACGTGGAGCCGGCGGCGGCGGCGGCGGCGGCAGAGGAGGCTTCCAGCAGGGTCCGCAGGTCTTCGCGTAAGTCTCCTGCCCATTGTCTTGACCTGACGCGTGATCACGCCCTGACCGACACGCGTCTGCAGCGCCAACGCCATCCCCGCCCCCAATGCTCGCGTCACCCAGGCCGAAGACGCCATTCAGAAGGCCGTCGCCGGTACACAGGGTCTCGGTAGCCTGTCGCTGGACGACCAATTCCCGGGCCGTCCGGGCTTCGGCACCAGAGGCACCCCCGTCACCCTCTGGGCCAATTACTTTGAACTGGCTCCACCCAAGGACCTCGTGCTCCATCGCTACGACGTTAATGTCTCCCCGGAGGCCAAGGGCAAGAAGCAGAACCAGCTCATAAGGCTACTGCTTGACACCCCCGAGCTGAGCCCCTTCAAGGCCGACCTCGCCTCGGATTTCAAATCCACCCTCATCTCGCGGAAGAAACTGGACAGAGACGAGATCGTCGTCGGCTTCCAGTACCGTGCCGAAGATGAAGACGACCCTCTCCCCAATGCTCAGATGTACCGCATCCGCGTCAAGTTCACCAACACCCTGAGCGTGGGCGAGCTGCTGGATTACCTGACTTCCTCCAACATGGGCACGCGTTACCCGGACGAACAGCCCATTACCCAAGCTTTCAATATCTTCATGAACCACCACTCCAAGGCCTCCAACAATCTGGCCACCATTGGCAAGAGCAAGACCTTCTCCGTTGGCGGCGAAAAGTTTGACCTTGGAGTTGGCCTGGATGCCATCAGAGGCTTCTTCTCCAGTGTTCGCATGGCCACTTGTCGCGTGCTGGTCAACGTCAATGTCAGCTACGGTGCCTTCTACCAGGATATTCCGTTGGTGGAGCTCATGCGCAAGTATGGTACCGGCAACAAGCTCCGCCTGGAGAAGTTCCTCAAGAAGCTCAAGATCAGGACAACCCATCTTCCTGAGAAGAAGAACAAGTCAGGCAAGGTCCTCCCAAGGGTGAAAACCATTGCTGCTTTTGCGAACAAGTATGACGGACGCAACTTGGAGCATCCACCCAGGGTCAAGGCCTACGGCGCCGGCCCGAAGGACGTTGAGTTCTGGATGGACAGCGCGCCCCAGCAGACGTCTGCAGGCTCGGGAGGTGGCGGCAAAGGAAAGGGCAAAGGCAAGACCGCCGGCCCGGCGAAGCCACAGCCCGCGGGCTCTTCTGGTGGTCGCTACATCAGCGTCTACGATTTCTTCGTCCAAGGCAAGTGACTTCCCATGGTGCAGGACAATCATCACGCTGACAACAGGTAGCATACGGCAGGAAGATTGCCGATCCCTCGCTCCCAGTCGTCAACTGTGGTACGAGGGATCACCCATCATACCTCCCTCCCGAAGTTGGTGTTGTGATGCCCGCTCAGCCATCCGCGTCAAAGCTGGATCCAGACCAAACTGCTCAAATGATTAAATGTGCCGTGCGTCGGCCGTGGCAAAACGCTACGTCCATTGTCAACGAGGGATACCAGACAGTTGGCCTCAACAAGGAAGGAAACCTGCAGCTGGTTAGTTTTCCCACACAGTCCATCTTTTACATGACTAAAGCTCGACCAGGCGCAATTCGGCATCACGGTTCCGAAGTCGTTGATCACCGTGCAGGGACGCATCCTCAATGAGCCCAAGGTGGTCTACAAGCAAAACAAGCCCGCGAAGATGCAAGGAGGCTCTTGGAACCTCCTGAACGTCCAGTTCCACACTCCGGGCACGGCGTTGAAGAAATGGTCCTACCTGCTCATCTCCATGCCGGGCTACCCGGACACCTTGCGTGAAGGAGACTTGCAGCCTCTCATCGCCAACTTCCATAATACCTTGAAACAGACGGGCGTCCCGGTTGATGCCCCCATGCCAGGCAAACTGCTGCGCATCCGAGATCAAGACGACCCCGAGCTAGACGCCATGTTCTCGCGTGCGTCGAAGGGGCTCGACCTCCTCTTCATCATCTTCCCCGGCATCAACAAGAAGCTACCGGTCTACAACCGCATCAAGCGCCTTGGCGACTGCAAGTACGGCGTCCACACCATCTGCACCGACGGATCCAAGATCCAAAAAGAGCGCGGCCAGGACCAATACTTCCGCAACGTCGCGCTGAAGTTCAATCTCAAGCTCGGTGGCGTCAACCACACCGTCTCCAACATTCCCCCCCTCCTCGACATGTCCACCACCATGGTCGTCGGCGTCGACGTCACCCACCCCTCCCCGGACTCTAGCAACACCGCTCCCAGCATCGCCGCCATGGTCGCCAGCATCGACGCCCGGCTCGGCCAGTGGCCCGCCACCCTTTCGGTCCAATCCGCCGCGCGCCAAGAAATGGTCTCCTCCCTCACGCCCATGCTCATCTCGCGCCTGCGCCTGTGGCAGACCAAGGGCAAAAACGCCGCGCTCCCGGAGAACATCCTCCTCTACCGCGACGGCGTCTCCGAAGGCCAGTACAACCAAGTCCTGCACGACGAGATCCCCCAGCTCCGCGAAGCCTGCCGCCAGGTGTACCCCGCCACGCAGACGGCCAAGGGCCTCCCGCGCCTCGCCGTCGTCGTCGTCGGCAAGCGCCACCACACGCGCTTCTACCCCACGAGCGAGCAGCACGCCGACAAAAACTCAAACACCAAGCCCGGCACCGTCGTCGACCGCGGCGTCACCCAGGCCGCCCGCCAGTGGGACTTTTTCCTCCAGCCCCACTCCGCCCTGCAGGGCACCGCCCGCCCCGCCCATTACTTCGTCGTCCTGGACGAGGTCTTCCGCGCGAGGTATGCCGGCCCCGGGAAGAAACCTCTGCCGCCCGGATGCAAGAACGTCAGCGACGTCCTGGAGGAGTTGACCTTGGCGCTGTGTTATCTGTTCGGCCGCGCGACCAAGGCGGTCAGTTATTGCCCGCCGGCTTATTATGCGGATATCGCGTGTGAGCGGGGAAGGGCGTATCTGAGCGATGTGTTTGAGGCGAGCGTGGCGGGGTCGTCGAGTGGTGAGGGTGCACAGGGTGGTGGGCAGGTGAGGGACGAGGATATCAGGCTGCATGAGAAGTTGAGGGACTCGATGTTCTATATGTAGAGGATGGTGGGGAGGCAGGGAGAGTTGGTTGGTTGGTTGGTGAGTTGGTTGGTGAGAAGGCATGCGTTGAGATTGGATCGGGCCTCTTAACTTTTTTTCCTTCTTCTTTTTTTTTCTTCTCCTTGCGTGGTTGGTTGGACTTGGGAATTTGGATATGGTGCCAGGGATTTCTTTTTGTGTAGGGTTGCTTTGATTTGGTAGTCTCGACTCTTGATGATTAATGATATGGCTTTGGCGTTGGTACTGCGCGGCCCCCGCGTGATTTTGTCGTGGTGATCGGGTCTGCTGGGAGGTGTGATTGGCTTCTCAACAAAAGCCTGGTAGAAAAGCCAATCGGTAACGTGGGAATACCCAACTAGCCTTTCCATTCCAGAAGACGGCCAAATATGCACATAACTACCTTTCCTGCTTCTACACTTCTTCGCGTTTTTGGTCAAACTTTGCCCGTTCCTGACCTCGTGCTGATGAATTGTCAACATCCATCATCGCGAAGTGTCTATCTACATCGCGGCTCAATGCATCGTCACAGCATCATGCCAAGTCGATGAGGCGTGTCACCAAAAGTCCGCATTCATGAATAACTTGTCCCAATATGCAATGCCTCCAACAACGCACGACAGTGACACTTCCCCTTCGCAGTCGGCCGGGAGCTGTGCCTAAAGGATAATTCTCTACTCTCGTCTCACTTCACGACCAACACGAAACTCGGCCCCCGCACTGGTCTGCAGTAGACGACAAGACTCCAGAGGCCGAATAAGTAGCCGACTGATTTACCCACCACCACTCTCGTCGATGTGCACGCTGCCCAACCCCCCTGAGCACGGCGACTCGACACATGCCCGCCCGATCCGCTCCCGGCGATCGCGTGCCGTCGCCATCGGCACGGACGGCGGTGTCATCTGTCTCAGCTGTGGCACGAGGAAGGCGTCGCGCTCCATCTTTCACGACAGTTCATAAGCGTGGTTTCTTCGGTTGATGGTCCGTTTTCCTCCGTAGGGTCTGGGTGAGATGTGCGTGCGTGTCAGCTAACGCTAAAAGAAATGACTGGGGCTCCCAGTTCGACGGAAATGTGACGACCCAGCCGCTGTGGGATGGGGTGGGGCATTGCTCGACTCCGAATTCTTTTCACTGCCGACTAGGCGAGTGTGGAATGCATCGTTTTGGTTTGATGATGATCAGCTGCGTTGATGGCCGCTAGTGTGGGTTGGGCATTTCTTTTGTTACTGAAGCTTGCATTCCCTGGCATGGTAGGACCGGAGAGAGGGAAATGAAAGATGTGACAAGGCCAACAAGAACCGACGAAGTGTTCCAACCCTCGATAAATCGTCCCATGCTTCTATGAATCGCATCCAAGGTATCTTTGCGGCTTTAGTGTCTGACAACCGTCAACGTGGCTTTAAATTGTAAATCGTGGTCTCGCTCGCAGACGTCCAGCATGATCACGTCAGGATCTGAATGCACTGGGCCAGTGACGTAGATACATACGTACAGTTCGCGCTAGACACAAACCACATATACGCCTGCCGTCAGCCCGCTCGTGATCTCAAGGCAGTACTAGTCATAGCACGTTATACGCCCTAGGGATACCTGATCAGACTTCTTTTCCCTGCTGCTGCTTATATAGCACGTATCATTTCGCATTAACTTCCGAGTCTCGCTACAGTACCGTTCCTGAGCGGCCTCGACACTGCGTACTCCTTGCCTGGCTCCACTCAACGTTCGCACCTCAGCACTCTCTTCTGAGGGGGCAGCGGCAGCGGGCTTATAACCATCATCTCTTGTTCATGACGATCATCAGCATTGTCCGTCTGGCCTACAGTGTAGCATCATCCACGCAAGGCTTTCGCTTCGTTAAGCCGGCAGCCAGTAGCGCGAGGTGGTATGTCTTGAACTCGGGGCAAACACGACGGCAAGTTTTGGGTCTGGATGTCTTGCTGGTCCAATTCGATGTGATCTCTGCGAGTAGAGAATTATCCTCGGAATTTCAAGCATGTATCGCCGAGATGGATTTGTGTGGGCACGCTCATCTCAAGCCGCTCACTCGGTGCCAGCTCCCGCGGGGAACGCGTGACTTACCTGCTTGAGCTGGACGGACCACTCGGCATGGGAGCTGCGGGGGCTGTCTTGGGACTATACATGCTAGGAATTTCGGACTGTGAAGAGGTTCGTTTTGTGCAATAGCATGCCTGTTTGCGATTGGATAGGCATGGGGCTGGAAATAAACCATTGGTATACCTCTAGGAATCATTCGATTCCTTGAGACTACAAGGCGATATCACGACGCTTTGTCCTCCGCTCGCAATAGCCTCAGTCAAATCCACGTGGTTCATTGATCAAGTGATTGACGACACGCATCGTTGGAAAGGATGGGTGGTGGAGTTCAGCTTTCCAATGTGGTGAAGATCACCATGTAAATGCTGATGCTCAACTTTCCTTGCAAGTGGTAAAGGTAGTACTGCGATAAAGATGGGAGGCTGACTCAGTCCGAGCTTCGTGCTGTTCAAGAGATATGCGAGTGACCGAGCTTGACTAGAGAGTAGAGAGTATTGTTACACTGCAGGGACGGACGAGACTGCCGATATCAGGTATTGGATGTGAGCGGAGCTGCTCAGCTCTCTTATAATGGCAGTGTAATGCCAGTAATGCATGCACAACACGTGCATGTCCTTTTTCTCAAAACGGCGACTGAGCTCTGCGATCGCGGAATCTCTTAGTGGCAGCTGATGGAGTACCTTGACGACACACTGCATTAGTCGCGAGGGTAAAAGATTACCCCGTGATTATGAGCCGTCTATGTTGTCAGGTCGCGCATTACTTTTAGATGCCGAGATGTGGTGAGAAAAAGCAAGGAATGATCATCGGCTGTCGTCGAAACGAAGATTCTCGATGCTCGTAAGCAAGTTGCGCGTCCATCGTGGCTTCGAGAAGCGTCGTGGGGGCGAGATTGACGATGGAACTGCCTAGAGACATGTCCAACATGACTGCAGGTACGGCCATCGTATCCGGTGGGCGCGGGCGATGGGCTGGAGGGTCGTGTGATTGCAGGCAGGGGTATCGGCGTGGCCGTCGGTTGGGAATTCTTGGAAAAGTCGGAACAAGGTGAAGAAAAGAGGGGAGATAAAAGCACAATGACGATGCTAGAGGGTCGGTGTTGGCAGAAGAGGTAAAGGGTCATCAAGGGGGTCACGGAGTGGCGTCGGGGAGAGCCGAATGATGAGGGCGGAAGCTTAGCGAGAGGGCCCTGGCATCGAGTGCTGGTGGGGTTCTGGGAGCATCGGTAGGCACAAACGACAGGTCGCAGACAAGGTAGCACGGCAATGCAGAGGATTGTTTTTAGAAAGTCGTGTGTTCGATCGGGCAGACCGGGATTTGAAATGGGCTTCTGGGCAAATCAGAAAGCAGTGCGAAGGCAGAAATGCAGGGTGGGATAAGCGGAAGCACGATGCCGGGGGACTCGGTTCGGCGGGGCGGTTAAGGCTGATGGCTTGTGGTGGCTAAGGGGCGCTGGGTTGCAAGGTGCCACGAGGAGTGGCAGTGAGACCAAGAGTGGGCGTGAGGCGCAGGAGCAGGCTGAGAAGCTTAAAAATTAACATTGAGCTGCGAATCGGGATTGGCGGATTTAAGTGGAGCGATGGGGAATCATTCCCAGCGGTTGGTGGCTGCGGGAAGCGCGAAGGCCGCAGCTGAGGGGAGTAAGCCGGGTGGTGTGGCTGGTACGAATGGCTGCTGACACTCTGAGGTGAGGCCGGTCGTGTGGACCAGAGTCGAAGCGGTTCGTGTGCCTGGGAAGCGGAGCGATGACGCTGCGGCGGCTCGGGAGGCCTGGGTGGGAGCCGACGCTCTCTCTGGTGTTGGTTGTCCGTCAGCACTGGCGAGGCAGCGCACCGAGTGCGGGCCGATTGTTGGCCTCCGCAAGCCTGGAGCAACGCTTCACGAGACTGTGCAGACTGACCGGACGGAGCATAGCAGGCGGAGGCAGGCGGAGGCAGGCAGAGGCAGGCAGGTCTGTGAGCGTCAGTGTTCGCATCGCGGGTGGTGAGGCGGCGTTGGTGCATCGACGCGGTGGTTTGGGATTGCCGGGCAACATGGGCGCGGCCCGTGCTGCAGCCTAAAATGCGTTAGTCAGCGCTTGTTCTCCCGCATCCGTCGCCGCGTGTGCGCTCAGCCCCGGTAATCGTCGCGACTACACCTGCCTGCTGTCCTCCGCCTCCAACAGACGTCGCTTGCATGCTTCTTCTGGAATCCACCCGCCTGCCTCTGCCTCTTCGCCCCATGCCGGCCCACCACCGGCGCCATGAATCCTTCCGGCTCTTTCATCTGAGCCTCAACTTTCTACCGCTACCGCCCGGCTCCGTGCGTGGTCCTCCATTTTCTTAATTTAGCACCATGCTGACCGCTGTCGTCTTTTCAATTGGCCCAATATCTTTCCCATCTCGGCCAATGACTCGTCAATTCCTGGACCATGGCTCTGGACCATCACCACCACCGCCTCCTACTCATCGGGATAGCCGGTGACGCCATGGAACCTTGCTCTGCTATCTCCATGCTTTTGATCCCGTCCTCTATGACTGCGCTTGCCGAGCCATCTCAATTTGTCAACCACGAATGCTGACCACGTCCATCTGCCCGCTTCCGAGCCACTTTGCTCACGTTTCCGCATCATTCTAATCTCTGACCATATCATGTTTCTCCACACACGTCTTTTTGCGAAAAGGCCCCTTGCTATCCGTCAGCCCCATCCTGCCGCTTCTCGCGAGCGCCGGGGCCCCTCACCATTGAGCGGGCCTCATAATGGGCCGCAGCTCGCATCACGAAAGGAAGGAGTGATCCGTGCCCGACCAGCAACACGATCCGCCATTGCACCTTCCAAGAAAAGGCCCTGTGGATTAGACCTTCAGCATTCGTATATATCCTCTCCGCCACATGTATTCAAGCCACCATCACCCTGCACACACACCAGTCTTCCAACTTGGATGCCCATACTCCCAGTCCCTACTGAATTCGAGAGACCCCCGCCTCGTATATATCTGATTCCGGTTTTTGACATCATGTCCAACGGTCCCATCACTGAAGTAAGCCGTGTGAGCTCAGAGGTCCCAACAAGGCTGATAAGAGCGGCAGAATGAGAAGAGACAGCTTGTCGGTGCTCTCCAGACCCATCGTCTGAATACCATAGCCGAGCTTCGCCGCGCTGAGAAGTCCCTGGCCACCATTGACTCGGCCGATGTCTCGGAGCCCATGACCTCTGCATGTATTATTGCCCCTGCGCAACTGTTGCGGCCGGCAAGAGACTGATCTGAAAAGGGACATACTACGTCAACCACCATGGCCTTCTCACAGAGCTCCGTAGCTTATCCCGCAATTACCCTTTCAAGTATTATTCAAAGCCTTCAAACCTTGCACGACATGGACTGACTCGTCTTTCTTGGGCAGTTCTGATTGCGTCGAAGAGGCCAAACGCCGCGTTTACTCGGATCCCAACAGCAACCGGAGTTGGAACCTTGCATGGCTCGTGTTGACCAAAATCCAGACCGAGTAGGGCTTCCCGATCCAACTCGACAGTGCATCTTCTGATTCTTTTACAGCCAGTTGATTCCTTACTACGCCCGCTACCAAGCCTCCCAACCGGCCATGTGGGGCAACCACGCCCCGACTGCGGACGGAGTGGCTAAGCTCGCTAGCGCCTTCGTTAGCGAGTGGAACCATGCCGTCTCACAGATGCTCCGCTACTGGGAGCGTCCGCCTGTCTCGCATTGAGATGTCGCAGTCTTTCGAAGACAACAGCTCAAGAGAGTTGATTTCGTTCACTTTTTCAGCGTTTCGTCATTGCTAGAATTTTTTGTCATTTGACGTTTGCATGTTGTCCCAAACACCTCTCAAGTCTCCCTTTTCACACCGGCCATGGAATCACTTCAATCGTTTCAGCTATATACCTCTTCAGCCGGTCCTGTCGTTGGCACTTTCATAGATATTTCAGATCTCGATCCGGCATCGAGCACTTTCTTTACAGTCTGCTGTTCCGCTTCTTCGCCTACTCGAACACGTGTCTGATTGTTCAACTTTTCTCTTTCAACACCCTCCATGGAGTATTCCATGGTTGTGCGCCGTCTTATGTCGCAAGAAGAGAACCAGACCAAACAACACCTTTCCATTCCGACTGGACCGGGATATCATCAGGAGGGCCTGGACAACCCCCTCCAACATGGCTAACGGACGCCATGGAAGAACAGTCACATAGGGTAGGCCGCGACTCTCGACGAGGCTGTCAACCAACCAACGGCGAAGGCGCACATCAGGTAAGTGGCGATTGCACAACGGCGACTCCGCTAACGCGAGGTCAGATAAAAGCATCTCCTTTGACCGTTGCCATCTGTCAACCCTGCCAAGCCAGATTGCTAGGCACGACGCGCGTGCCTGAGACAGGGCGGATGTACCCGAGAGGCGAGGGCGAACTTTGATGAAAGGTCTAGACACTTCGACGGGCATGTCCAAGGCTGAGACAGGACCGGGAACGCCGGCCTGGAAAAGTTTAAGCCAAGAGGATGCTTCGTCAGGGTTTGCAGGGTGCGGAGGGGGGTGGGTGAAGCCTGGATGCTGCTTGGGATCACCGAGGGGATGACGAAGCCCGCGCAGAAAACCGGACTTTATCTGATCAAAAGGGCGGATCTGGCCGAGGTGAAGGAGCAGCAAGGTGTGCTGGGGGGCGGATTGCCATGTCAGTGGCTGCGCATGGCCGGGGGGTGAGATGAGGCAATGACGAAGCGTGTGGCTAAGCGGTCGAGGTGATGATGAGGAAGATTCGCGAAGTGCACCTGGATGAGCTGGCAATGACGGGTCGATGGAACGGCCGAAGCGATTCCCAACTTGCCTGATGCGGAGAAAATTGCAGCAACAGAGATCCACGCGGCGGAGCTCGGCCTCAGCCCTGCTGCGGCGAGCGGTCGGTGCTGAGAGGGACTCACGTGCGAAATCGGCAGCGCCCGAAGGCCAAGCGGAAATCTCTTCTCTCAGGCTTCTGTGTAGGGGTTGTGTCTTAGGAGCGGCCAGCTAACAGCGTCCATGTCAGGCATCCAGACGCGTGGCCCGGGGTTGTTTGGCCCAGGGCGGCGTCTGATTGGCCCAGTGTTTCATTGATCCCCCGGCAGCACACGTGCGATGTCTCTGCTCGTGCTGGCCAGCTGCGGCGGGCGGCGGTGCGCTCGTTTTCCGCGCTGGCTGGTTCCGCGCTCGCGAGAGGTGGGATGGTGCTTTGTCAAGGCTTGCAGCTACATGCCACCTTCCCGGCCCGTCGTGCCAGAAACGAGGCAGCCGCTGCAGCTGCTCCCAGGGCCTGGCTCTGGCGGTGGTGTGGCCGCACCATTGGCTCTTCGGCACGCAGGTGGGCCACTGCCGACAAGTATGCGTATGCGCGCAACGTACCTGCAGCCTCCTTCATTTGGCTCGTCACCCTACCACCGTCGGAGCGGTGCGCCACAGTGGCAGCCATCGACCGTCCGCGCTTCCGTTCCCGCTGCCGGCCGCGACCACACGCCCCCTCGTGCGCCGGGATGGGCCAGCCTGAAGAAGCAGCCGCCGGTGCCCAGCTGGCGCTCGGACGGACGCCTGCCAACGACACAAGGCGCAAACCAGGTCCGTAATCCGTCTCCTCTATACCTAGCCGAGTGCGGCAGGTCGACGGCCCAATCACCGTGGCGCAGGCCAGACGCCCCCCACCTGCCACTACCGCTCCCACACTGCCGCACCTCGCTGCGCGTGATATAGGGACACAGGCCGGAGCCTTCCGTCGCCTTGACTCGCCGCCACTTAATATGGTCGCACACAGGGCGATCCATGCCAAGGCTGATTCGGCATCGAGACCTTCAAGCTCCGAGACAATCCTTCATTATGGGCAGCTGCCGTCGCTCGAGAGCCAAGCTTGTATAAGAAGCTGCTCTCGGCGCCTCGTCTTGGTTTTGCTTCACCAGCACATCATTCCTCCTCCCTGCCTCCTGCAGCAAAGACAGCAAAGATACCCAGAACCCTCCTCTCCTCTTCCGCCTTCTTCAAGATGCGTTTGACCTTCCCTCTCGCCGCCGCCGCCTTGGCGCTTTCCTCCCCCGGCAGCACTGCGCACCCGACCATTTCGTCGAGGGCCAGCTCCAGCGGCTGCACCGTCTACCTGAACAGCACTCGCACCAAGCCGGCGAACCCTGCCGAAAACATCCTCATGAGTAAGTCGCCCCCCGGCCGTTAATCCTCATGTTATGCCGCTCGTACTGACAAAAACATCACAGAGACCATGATCAAGTGGAACAACTCGACCGACAGCTCGGGCTTCTCCTCGGTAAGTCTGAGTCCTTCCTTCCTTTCTCAACTTCGGCAATGCACATGCACGCCCTGAAACCCAGTTCTTGTTTTTTTCCTTCCCCCCTCTTTCCCCTCACCACCTGCACCTCCACCTCCACTCATCACAATCGCATGACACACACAAACGCGACCTTCCCCACCCACCACACCACAGTACACCACCAAAACCAAACCCCCAAACTAACACGATCTCACGACGCAGAGCTACTGCGACTGGTCCAACACGATCCAGGACCCCTTCTCCATCTTCTTCTACGCCGACACCATCCCCGACTACGAGACGACGGACGCGCTGGCCGCCGTGCTCGACCCGTGGGTCGGCACCTGGCTGGTGTCGTCGACGCCCAAGCCCGCGACGGGCAACGCCGGCGATTACAACATCACGGCCGTTGAGTGTACGTCGGCTTGATTGTGTTGGATTGGATTGGATTGGATTGGATTGGATGATGGATGGATGGATGGGTGGTTGAGGTGAGGGTGGTGGTGGTTAGGGTTGGGGTTGGCGGTGTCTTCTGTTCTTTGGCGGGTTTCTTTGGGGTGTGTTTGGTTGGGCCGGCGGGCTTTGATTATTTTTTCTTCTCTTCTTCTGAGCATACATGCGATACGAGCACGATTTTTGGGTATATGCTTCTTCGTGTCTTTCCTGCTTCTGGGTGGAAAAGTAAGTGGATTGAATACAGGAAAATGGTCTTGGGATGTAAGAGTACGTACCTTGAGGGCAGCACGATATTTGTGCGTCGTGAGTGAAGTCTCGCCGCGGACCGCCGCCGTAGAAATGGGAGGTGAAAGATCCCAAAGGCAACAAGGGTAGACGTGGCTCGAGGAGAGACGCCCCTATGTTGATGGGCGGGGGGAGGAGGAGGGGGAGGGGGAAAACGAGTTGAAGCTGGTTAATTCCCATTCCCAACCCATCAAGGCGGCCCGCCCACAGGCGCAGGCCGCACACGGCCCTCTTCCTCTTCCTCTTCCTCTTCCTCCTCCTCCTCCTCCTCCTCGGACGACCTATCCCTCAACGCAGCCATCTGCAACGAGTCCTCCCTCCCCAACGCCCCCGGCTCCGCCCTCCTCCTCCCCCCCTCGGCCCTCGCCTCCGCCGCCTTCACACTCCCCCCCTTCTCCTCTCCATCCCCCCTCCCCCCAGCCTCCGTCCGCCTCTGCGCCTCCTCCTCCCCCCCACCCCCCACCACCACCCCCATCTCCACATCCACATCCGCCTGCGCCTCACCACCCCCATGACCATTATACGGCCACCTAAACTCATCCTCCCCGGCCCCCGTGCCCCTCCCCCCGCCCACCCCTCCCCACCCCCCACCTCCATCGTTCCCACTCCCACCACTGCTCCCACCGCTCCCGCCACTCCCCGGCAAACTGAACTTGTTCCCGCCCCTGACGGCGGCGACGAGGCGGTTGAGGATGGCGAACTCGAGCTTGAGCTTGACGCTGTAGACGAAGGGCTTGAACGTCGTCTGCACGCGGTAGAAGTTCGCGAACTGGGTGCCGAGCAGGGTGAAGTCGAGGGCGACGACGACGAGGTTGACGTAGATGAGGTGGCGGCGGATGGCGCGGAGGGTGTGGCGGTTGGAGAGGGAGGGGTAAACGGCGGCGGCGGTGAGGGAGGAGGAGGTCGAGGTCGAGGTCGTTGTGGTTGTTGTGGTTGTCGCGGCGAGGGTGGTGGAGGTGGGGGAGGGGCCGGCGCTGTTGGGGTTGGGGTTGGGGTTGGGGTTGTTGGGGTTGTGGTGGTGGTGGTGGGCGGCCGGGTTGGTCATCAGCGTCGTCCGGGCGGTTTGCGGGGGCTCGGGCAGGGGCTTGAGGACTTTGGTGCAGGCTTCGTAGATGTAGAGGCCGGAGATGACGCATTCCTGCAGCGTAAAGGCCGTCACTTGGACTTTCTCGTACGTCATGTACAGGGCGGCGCGGGCGGCGCTGGTCTCGGCCAGGAAGACGAGGACGCAGGTGGGGATCTGGAAGAGGATGGCGTCGACGATGATCATGGCGAGGACGGCGCGCAGCTTGAGGGCGCGCGAGTCGCGGATGACGAGGTAGAGGCGCGAGTACAGGGCGAGGGACTGGCAGGTCACCATGGGCACCCAACCTATGACGATGAAGGTGAGGCCGACCCAGCGCGTGGCGTCGATGGTGACGAAGTATTTGATGACGAAGCCGACGACGTAGAGGAAGACGCCGGAGGTGGAGAGGGTGATGGACCAGAAGTAGAGGCCGGAGCGGCGGCGGAAGGTGAAGTAGATTTTGGTGAGGATGTCGACGCCGTTGAAGGTGGCCATGGAGAGGAAGGCGACCATGACGAGGGCGAGGCCGTAGGGCGGCCGGTCGCGGCTCATCTCGTAGAAGCTGCCTTTGTCCTCCATGAGGAGCTGGCGTGTGGGCGGACGTGACGCGTGTTGGGCGAAGTGTTGTGGCAGAGGGTTGAGGTTTTGGGGTACGGCAGCAGTGACCCCAAAGCATTATCATGGGGCGAATTGATCGATTGGTCGGCTGGGCCGGGCACCGGGGGGCATTAGGCTAGCCAGGTTGGCGATCTGGTAGTCGGGATCTTCGGGGTCTGATCTGAGATGGCGATGACGCGCAATTGGGGGCGCGGCTGGGAGGAAGTCCCCATCGAGGACGCGGCTAGCGGTGACGGGGCCGGGCTGATTCCCATGAGTGGAGGCGGGTTTCGGGGAGACGGTCATGGTGGGCTACGTAGAGATCCGAGACAATATGGGAGTGTCCCGATGTCATCGCCACGAGCAGCCGGGAGCGGAGTGAGAGCGGTGAGGTGTACACGCTTATGACGCGTGGAGAAGCTTATCGTAGAGAAGCAGGATGTGCCTCCGACCAAAGGCACAGGCTTGACTGCGGCGCCGGCTAAGCGAGCCCCGCACTCTGCACAGCTTTCTGAGCAGACGGGACGGGACAGCTCCAGCCACTCCAGCCAGCAGGCTAGACCGTTTAGCTCCCGCCATTCGCGCCAGTCAGCCGCGTCCAAGTCTCGCGTTTGCCTCTCCCCGCCTAGCGCCGGTCAACTATCCGGAGAATTCGGGCGTCGGCGTCGCCGTGGCGTTGACATGGAAGACCGACAGACAGCCACCCGGCCTCGTGGCGAAGATCATCTCTCACCGGCGTGGCGACCAAGACCGTCGTCACCACCGAAAAATCGTGAGCCCCGGCTTCAGCAATGTAGGTACGCCCCAGGCACTAATCGTCGGATGATGCACACTAGGTAGACGGAGCAAAACGCCCACGCGGCACCGCAATTCGATGAGTCGAGAAGCGCGGGACGTTGGCGCCGAATCCCAAATCTTCTCGAAGCCTGGCCTGCATTTACCCACTGCGGTCCGATAGCTGACCGCGTCCCGTCCCATGGGCCCCTAAATAGCATCATGGAAATAACTCAACTGAACCCATCGTACCCAATAGTGCGCCGCCCCTGCACCTGCACCATCCCGATTTCGGGGAGCTGAACCTCGGATGCTTGGTAGAAGACGAGACCGGTACCTGGAGGCGGCTCAGAAAAGCCACCCTGAGCCCCGGCGATCAATCATCGTGGGGGTGGATCATGCAAGGATCAGCCGCGGCCATTCTCGAATCCAGGTATACTTCAAATCAAGCGGCCAGGCGCCATGGCTAGCTTACTTTTGCTTGTTTTGATTTGGCATTTGAGAACCCTGGCGTGACGAGTTCTCGACGACACTTCAAAAGAAAGAGATATGCTGCCCCTACTCTCGACACGCCATGCATGGAAAATCAAAGACTGAGTGGGTTTTCACCTCTCTCTACCAAGCAGGCGCAAGCAGGACGACGTTACACAGAGCGCTGCTTGACATAAAAGGCACTGGGCGACACGAAAATGAGAGCAAAAGCTACTGCATTCATTGCCTTCTGATCATGACACTTCCACTATTCATCCCTTTGCATCGATTTCCTCCAAGCTACGGATATAACCGTACTGAGCTTTTTCTTTTGGCGTCAGGAAGCAATCCCACTTCCCCGACCAAACCCCCCATCAGCACCACATCCGGCAACTGCCATGCTTTCTTCCCCCCTCCCCCATCGCCGCCGCCACCACCACCCCCTCCCCCCTCACGCCAACGCCTCCACAATCGCATCATACGCCTCCTTCGCCGCATACGCCTCATCAAACAGCAACGGCGTGGTGCTCGCGCGCCAGCTGCTCGCATCACTCACGCCCCACACGGTAATGCCGACGCAGTTCTCGACGTCCACGCACGCCTGCGTCGCGCTCACGTAGTCGCTCGCGGCCGCGCCCGCGATGTCCAGCTCCGTGATGGCGCACTCGCTCGCGGCCGCGCACAGCGCCTGCAGCGCCGCCGCCGTCCCCGTCGCGCCCCCCGCCGACAGGTGCGACTGCGACCCGATGCCGTCGATGGGGACGCCGGCTGCGATCCAGGACGTGACTTTGCTGATGAGGCCGGTGGTTTTGGCGTAGGTGGCGGAGTCGAGGCTGTGGGTGGGTGGGTTAGTTGTTGATGTTGTTGGCGGCTTGGGGAAGGGATTGGGGAGGGGGGG